TCTGCTGGAAAATCCTGGTTCCCCAAAATAGTGAAATATACACAGATATGTTACAGTTCAGTGCTGCTTAGTGGAATGGCTGACCTGGCCTGTATTACAGTAACCTGAGTGGGAGAAATGTGGGGGGCATTGTGCTTACCCAGCTCTGCCCACTTGGGTTTTCTATACAGCGTCAACTTTGCCTGGAGGGTCGGGGAGGTGGAGTTGCTGTTGTCTATAAAATACAATTTCTGTCTTGAGGCTGCCTGTCCACTTGAAGACAGGTGTAGAGTGTTTGTACCTAGTGCTGGGTGATCAAGATAGATTGGGGATTTTGTTGGTGCACCACCCACCCTTCTGCCCAACATACTCTGCCTGAGCTGAAGGAAGTCATCTTGGACTTGGTGTTGGAGGCACCCCCAGGATGTTGGTTCTGGGGGACTTCAACTTTCATGGTGAGGCCACTTTATCCAGGGTAATTCAGGACTTCATGGCCTTCATGACAGCCATGGGGCTGTCTCAAGATGTGACAGGCCTAACACTTGAAAAAGGTCACACCCTTGACCTGTTTGTTTGGGGTTTTTTTGGACTGGACAGGAAGATGTTGATCTGCAAGTGAGGGAATTAACAGTTACCATATTTTTCTGTCTATAAGATGCCCCCATATATAGAATGCCACCCCATTTTCTTACTCATCTCCAAGCAAGCAAGCTGCTGCTGTTCTTGCTGCCCCTCTGCGCAAGCGTGCGCTGCCTCACCACTCCCCCTGCGCACTTGTGCTGCCTTGCTGTCCCCCCCGTGTGCCGCCTTGCCACCCCCCATCCGCCCCGCCGCACCGCCGCCCTCCCCCTCTCTGCCCCCCCCCCGTGTATAAGATGCCCCTCCATTTTGAAGTAAATATTTTTAAGAAAAAGTATCATCTTATACACGGAAAAATACGATATTCCTTTGTCATGGTCAGATCACTTCCTAGTCAGATTTAGACTTTTGGCTCTGTAAGGGTGGGGATGTATTAAAATGGTCCATCCTCCAAGTCAGATGGATCCTGATGGATTCCTGAGGGCTCTGGGGAATTTCCAGTTGACAGGACTGGGCTTCTGTTGGAACCCAGGTCACTCTATGGAATAGGGGTCTGACTGGACAATCAACACGATCGCATCTAATTGCCCTCTCCTCACCTGCAGAGCTCATGTGGCACCTTGGGGTACATCTGAGCTGGGAGCAATGAAGCAAGCTAGAAGATGGATAAAGTGTTATCATATCTCCCCTTAATTTTATCTTCTTGAGGATAATCATGCTCGGTTCTTTCAGTCTCTCCCCATAGGGCTTTGTTTCCAGTCCCTGGATTATCCTTGTTGCTCCACTCTGAACCCTTCCCAGCTTGTCTGCAACTTTCTTCAGCTGTGTTGCCCAGAACTGTACTTCAGATAAGACCTAACCAGTGCTGAGTAAAGGGGAACTAGTACTTCATGGGATTTGGAAGTGATTCTTCTATTAATGCAGCCTAAAGTAACAGTTGCCCTTTTTGCAGCCACATCATGTTGATTCATACTCAGTTTGTAATCTCCAATAGTTCTAAGATCGCCTCCACTATTCCTGCTGCTCTGTACTGGATGTCCATAATCCTCCAATTTCCAAGGCTTGTGGATTGTGCCCTAAAATATTCCTTGTGGGGATGAAAGTAATGTTTGTGTGTACCTTGTGTAAATATAGATGTTTTAAGGTATAGACTAAGCAGCTGCACCTGGATCCCATTGAAATCAATGGGAAAAGTTGGCTGTGATTCAAAAGACCACTGGTTTCAGTGTGAACTAAATGCTGCTCACTAATTTTGGATTCAACACATAATCTTTCCACTGTATTCTGTTAGAATGTCTGAAAAGCTGCGAATCTCAACAATTCATTCTCTCTTTTTATTATAATTAAAATGTTATTACTTATTAGGAAATACTCTAATTAGAACATATTTCTAGTGATCAAGCTAAACCTGAACAAATTGACTCAGAGAGCTTACAAGATGAGTATGCTTATGATGAATTTCCTAGAAAATATTTTTTTTAATTCTCTGTTTTGCTCATTTTTCTGGAGTTTGTTTCCATCACAGATATACTTGAAATATATGTGCAAATAATTCAGCTTTCCCTCAAGGAAGATTGGTTTGGCTTTCCAGATGTCACTGGGACTGTGCTTTGTACTAAATTGTTTTCTTAGATGAGCTTTTCCATCTTCTTTCTAAATGGATGGCAGACTTTTGGCATATTAGAACAGATAGCATTCCTTGCACAGTTATTGTAGCTGGAAATATGTGGCAGATAAGATTGAGTTCATTAAAAGTTTTGGTCCATCTCTGCACACTTGAATTCAAATTTGCAAAGTTCTGTGAATAACCTGGACTGATGGGAAGATGAACGAATCAAGTCAGAGCTTTCCCTAGAAACAGAAATGACAAGACTGAGACTGTCATTCTTTGGGTACATTATGAGAAGGCAAGACTCACTGAAGAAAACAATCATGTTAGGAAAAGTCAAAGGCAGAAGAAGAAAAGGAAGACCAAAGAAGAAATAGATTGACTCTACAGTCTTGAATTTAGAACAGCTAGGTCATGAATAGGACATTTTGGAGGCTTTCATTGAAAGGGTTGCCATAAGTTGGCAACAACTTGATAGAATATAACAAGAAGAGAATTTAAAATTGGTAAGATTTTACTTTGGATCAATTATTAGGCATTCGTATCATTTTTGGATTAGCATGTTGGCAGTTACAGGCCACCCATAAATGCATGTAAAATAAAATAAATACAAATAAATGTCAAATACAATAACTAATGCATACATTCTTTCAATTTATTTAAAACTTTTGTATGCCATCCCTTATGCATGGCATCTCAGGACGGCTTACAATCATTAAAACAATTACAATAAAACAGCTAAAAATAACAATTAACCAAAAGATACAAATTAAATAAGTTAAAGTTAAATATTTACCTACTTCTTGGAATTTAATTTGGTCTACATAAATGGATTTCTTTACACCCCTTGGACTGCAGGTGGCATATACAGTATATCACAGAAGTGAGTACACCCCTCACATTTTGTAAATATTCTATTATATCTTTTCATGTGACAACCCTGAAGAAATGACACTTTGCTACAATATAAAGTAGTGCGTATACAGCTTGTATAACAGTGTACATTTGCTGTCCCCTCAAAATAACACAGTCATTAATGTCTAAACCGCTGGCAAAAGTGAGTACACCCCTAAGTGAAACTGTCCAAATTGGGCCCAAAGTGTCAATATTTTGTGTGGCCACCATTATTTTCCAGCACTGCCTTAACCCTCTTGGGCATGGAGTTCACCAGAGCTTCACAGGTTGCCACTGGAGTCCTCTTCCACTCCTCCATGATGACATCACAGAGCTGGTGGATGTTAGAGACTTTGTGCTCTTCCACCTTCCGTTTCAGGGTGCCCCACAGATGCTCGATAGGGTTTAGGTCTGGAGACATGCTTGGCCAGTCCATCACCTTTACCCTTTAGCAAGGCAGTGGTCATCTTGGAGGTGTGTTTGGGGTCATTATTATGTTGGAATACTGCCCTGCGGCCTAGTCTCTGAAGGGACGGGATCATGCTCTGCTTCAGTATGTCACAGTACATATTGGCATTCATGGTTCCCTCAATGAACTGTAGCTCCCCAGTGCCGGCAGCACTCATGCAGCCCCAGACTATGACACTCCCACCACCATGCTTGATTGTAGGCAAGATACACTTTGTATCTGGTTGTCGCCACACACACTTGACACCATCTGAATCAAATAAGTTTATCTTGGTCTCATCAGACCACAGGACGTGGTTCCACTAATCCATGTCCTTAGTCTGCTTGTCTTCAGCAAACTGTTTGCGGGCTTTCTTGTGCATCATCTTTAGAAGAAGCTTCCTTTTGGGACGCCAGCCCTGCAGACCAATTTGATGCAGTGTGCGGCGTATGGTCTGAGCACTGACAGGCTGACCACCACCCCTTCAACCTCTGCAGCAGTGCTGGCAGCACTCATACGTCTGTTTCCCAAAGCCAACCTCTGGATATGGCACTGAGCACGTGCACTTAACTTCTTTGGTCGACCATGGGAGGGCCTGTTCTGAGTTTAACCTGTCCTGTTAAACCTCTGTATGGTCTTGGCCACCGTGCTGCAGCTCAGTTTCAGGGTCTTGGCAATCTTCTTATAGCCTAGGCCATCTTTATGTAGAGCAACAATTCTTTTTTTTTTTTTTTCAGATCCTCGAGAGTTCTTTGCCATGAGGTACCATGGTGAACTTCCAGTGACCAGTATGAGAGAGTGAGAGCAATAACACCAAATTTAACACACCTGCTCCCCATTCACACCTGAGACCTTGTAACACTAATGAGTCACATGACACTGGGGAGGGAAAATGGCTAATAATGCCCAGTTTGGACAGTTTCACTTAGGGGTGTACTCACTTTTGTTGCCAGCGCTTTAGACATTAATGGCTGGGTGTTGAGTTATTTTGAGGGGACAGCAAATGTACACTGTTATTCAAGCTGTATACTCACTACTTTACATTGTAGCAAAGGGTACAGGGTTTTCACATGAAAAGATATAATAAAATATTTACAAAATGTGAGGGGTGTACTCACTTCTGTGATATACTGTAGATGCCGCTCTGAAATGGATATGATTATTTGATCTGCCTTTGTTGAAATTTATGTTATAATAACTTCTACGTGTATTTACTTTTTATTTTTATGGTTCTGCTTTGTTGAAAGTTATAATAAATATAGTTATTTTTCAGTATGATTTTGGGCATATAGAAAAATGTCTTTTAATCTCATGTTAATGCCTGTTATGTTGAGTGAGGGTTTTTTCTTTTTTCTTTTTTTACAGGAAGCACTTGGTGTGGGGGGGGCAGTATTTGGTAAGGGAGGTAGATAATTTAAAATACCTTGCTTGAAGATATCTTGTTGAAAATTAGCTTAGAAAGTACATTACTTTTTTTCCTCTTCTTATCAGCTTTCTAAGACCAACTTCTCCAACAACAATGATTTCCGAGCTCTCCTCCAGTCTTTATATGCTACTTTCAAGGAATTCAAAATGCATGAGCAGATTGAAAATGAGTACATTATTGGTTTACTTCAGCAGCGCAGCCGGACTGTGTATAATGTACATTCAGACAACAAGCTGTCAGAGATGCTTAGCCTTTTTGAAAAAGGGTTGAAGAATGTGAAGGTGAGCTGTCAGAGGGGTTTGATACCTTCATTCCTTCATATAGCTTACATTTCTAAAATCAGTGATGTTCTTCTGCAGTCCCATTTAAATTAGTGTATTCCTGGTGGCATGCGGGGGGGGGGGGGGTGTTACACTGCAGTCCTTTGCATGTTTACTTGTATTCAATGGGACTTACTCACCAGTACATGTGTGCTTGAACTGCAAGCTTAGTCACAACATTAGAGGCTTCACTGATTCTTTTAGATGACTTGGAATTGTACCTTTTGATCAAGTCATGACCATCTTCTTATTAAGCTGATCCTTTCTATTGAGAGACTTTTGTACAATGTCATGAACTCTGATGCTTCCTGAGATCATCTAATATGAGTAACTATCCAAATAAAAGAGTAGTCAGAGTGAGATGTGGATGGTGATAAGTATATCCTAGGCACTGAAAACTGATAGTGATAACCAATAAATGTGTGGGTATGTGGAAGAAGCACTGAGCCTAACTCCTGTATCACTCCATATTTAATTATGTAATGTAACAAATAGGTGACTTCAAATGGTAAAAAGGCCCAGTAATTGAACTCTTCTTTAAAATTTTCAGAATGAATATGAACAGCTTAACTATGCGAAACAGCTAAAGGAGAGGCTGGAAGCTTTCACCAGAGATTTCCTTCCTCACATGAAAGAGGAAGAGGAGGTGAGCAATACTTAGGAAATGGTTTTAGAAGTGATCTCCCTCCCTCCCTGTGTGTGTGTGTGTGTGGCTGTTTACATAAGTTGCCATTTGGAGTAAGTACGCCTGCTATGTTCTTTTCCACCAGCATTGCATCTTCTCTGTTGTCTAGTGAAGCTTTTCTGAGTGGTTCGTGGCCTGATATTCTGGGCCACATAAAGAAATTGTGGAGTGCTTGGTTGTACTTTGAAGAAAAAGTCACTCAGATTTGTTAAGAATTGGACACCATAATTAATGCAGTTAATTAATTCCTGGGTACTGTCCATTCCAGTTTTATTGGATGAGCTTCAGTTTTTGAGGCCAAGGATGTTGACCAGGTGCTTGGTCAAGTCCAACCCACCACTTGTGTGCTCAACCCTTACCCTTCATGGTTTATTACAACAATTAAGGAAGGGATTTTTGCTAGGGTTCAGGAGGTTGTAAATGCCTCCTTGAGAGAAGGAGTGTTGCCAGCCTCTGTGAAAGAGGCTGTAATTAAGTCATTCCTGAAAAAGCCTAACCTGGACCTAGAGAATGTTAGTAACTATAGGCCAGTGACTGACATCCTCTTCCTGGGCAAGGTGCTTGCACAGGTGGTATCTGAACAGCTCCAGGCACTCTTGAATGAAATTGATTATCTTGAGCAATTTCAATCAGACTTCAGGCCTGGTTTTGGTATGGAAACTGCTTGGTCCCCCTGTGGACCAAGCCAGGAGAAAGACAGGAGGAGTGCAACCCTGTTGATTCCACTGGACCTCTCAGAGGCTTTCAATACTATCAACCGTGGTATCCTTCTGAATAGGCTGGGTTGGGTAGAAGTAGGAGGCACTGTCTTCCAACGGTTCTGTTCCTGCTTAATTGTCTGCTTTTGGGGGTTTATTGCTCTGTGCCATGGCTGTTATGCCATGGGGTACTGCATGGTTCTGTTTCATCCCCTATGCTGTTTGACTTCTACGTGAAACTGCTGGGGGACATTATCTGGCAGTATGGGCTGAGGTACCACCAATATGCAGATGACACTCAGCTCTACCTCTCTTTTTCATCAAATTCATGTGAGGCAGTGGCCACTGTAAATCTGTGTCTGAGCATGGTAATGGATTGGATGAGGGTCAACAAACCTGAGACTCAATCTGGACAAGATGGAGTAGTTGTTTAGTGGGTGGGTCATCTGTCCAGTTGAGTGATATTCAACCTGTTTTGGATGGGGGTTCACTCCCCCGGAAGGACAAAGTTTGCAGTTTGGTGATGCTCCTGGATCCAGAGTGGTCACTTGAGGGGCAAATGGACTCAGTGACATAGAGCACCTTTTATCAGCTCAAGCTGATATACTAGCTACAACCCTACCCAGACAGAAGGAGCCTAGCTATATTTATCCATGCTCTGGTAACATCTCATTTGGTTTATTGGAATGTGCTGTATGTGGGGCTGTCTTTGGATCAGCTGAACTCTCCAGACAGTTTTCAAAACAGGGCAGCTAGATGGAATGGAGACTAACCCATGAGAACACATTATCTTCTTTCAGTTGCACTGGTTTCCAATTGACGCCTGGGCCCAATTCAGAGTTCTAGTATTACCATTCAAAGACCCAAATGGGTTGGGGCCAGGTTATCTGAACGATCGCCTTGTCCCATATGTACCTACCTGAACTATGAAGTCATCTTTTGGGGTCCTTCTCTTGGAGACCCTACCAAAGGAAGTGAGGCAGGTGGCTATGCAGGTGGAAGTGCACCTGGTGCTTGCTTTGTATTCTTTTTGGTGCCAGGTGAAGACCTTTTTATTTTTCCAGCATTTTAACAGTTTTAACTTTTAACTTTTTAAACTTTGTTTTTATATATTCCATTTTATTCTTTACTGCTTCTATGCTAAATAATAGCAATTGCTACCATGGTTTTGTTCTTTCAAATTAATGTTTGTGTTTGTGTCTTTCTAACTTTTGTTTAATTTTAACTTTTGTTTACTGCCCAAAGAGTCTCGGCTATTGGGCAATATCATAAGCAAATAAATATTTCTGGTATACTGATGTTAGAATTTTAGTTTTTTATAAAGTTCTGTTCCTTTTGTTTTCTCAGAAAAAAGGTTCTGAGTTTATTTCTATCCTTAAGTTGGATAGGGTGGTAACCTAGCAGGTTTTCAGATATAAAGAAGCTGTGACTGAAAAACTAGTCTGGCACAATTTTGCTGGGTGCTTCTTTTTCCTATTCCTTTATTTCCCATTGCTCCCTATAGTTCCTTTTATATATACTATATATAGGAATGGGGGGTGAGGAACTCCCTATAGTTCCTCACCCCCCATTAAGAGTTAGAAATGTTGGAATAAAACAAGGAATTTCAAAACTGTCTAGTTGGAAATACGTTTGATACAATTTCCTTATATTTGCTTCCTTGTATCATGTTTCTAAGAATGTTCATATATGTATTGGAAAACAAAACAAAACAAAAAATAAAAAATTGACATGTTTAGTGTTGTGAGTCATTGTCAGTTCAGGTACTAATCTGCAACCAAGTCTAATCTAAGTGTTTGTACTTTTCCTGCCAGTATAAGTGAATGACAGTATCAGATTGGTAAAATACATATATTCAAAAGCTAGAAGTATGGAGTGTGTACATTGTTTATGAATTCTCAATTTGTATATATGTTAGGTTTTCCAACCAATGTTGATGGAATACTTTACTTATGAAGAATTAAAGGATATAAAAAAGAAAGTAATTGCACAGCACTGCTCACAGAAGGAAACTGCAGCAGAAATACGTAGAGGTATAAATCTCTGGAATCAAGCTGAGGAACTCCAGAAAGCTTTTAAATATTCTGTGGATGAAAAAGTGGATCAAGGTGAATTTAAATTGAAAGTACTTTTTAACAGATAGCAGCCTTCTGACTGCTGGTTTCATAGAAAATAATAGTGCAGTACAAATTCCAGTGGCACAGTTTATGTTCCATATAACTGTGAGGGATTTTGTTCTGTCTTATCAGTGATCTTTACCTGTTATGTACTGCTAAGTCTTGGTCACTGCCCCAGTTTGCAAATAACAGCAGCAGATCATGGGTTAGTTAACCTGCTGCATTGTGTGCTACTTTCAGTTGGGCCAATTACAGCTTGTTTCATAATGTGTAATTCCAAACACTTTGGTTTGTTTGTATGTTAATCCAAAACTAACCTAAGAACTAATTCTGCATGGCCTATAGCCCTGCAAATTGTGGGTTGGTTGATTCATGATTTTCCACTATACATATAGGCCACTGACTTGTATTTAACCTTTTTATACTTCATTTTCATTCCAAACGTGCTTCTGTTTCATGGGTCCTCAAACTATGGCCCGTGGGCTGAACCCAACCCGCCATGCCCATTTATCTGGCCTGCCTTATTGGTTTTGGACTTGCTCGGAGAAAATGATCTTTGAGCAAGCTGCTGCCGCGCCGCACACATGCCTGCCACCTCGCCTTGCCCCGTGCCTGTCACCACTTCGCCTCACTCCGCGCATGCGCACCTGCCCCACCTCACCTTGCCCCCCCCCCCCCCACGCTGGCCTGCCACCGGCACCACCTTGCTGGCCCATGCCCACCACCAGCACCTTTCAACTGGCCCCATGTTGAAAAAGTTTAAGGACCCCTGTTCTATTTCCTGATTGAGAGTAGGGCCTAACAATAAAAAGCCATGAAATATAAGCAATCCTGCAGGAAGTTATTTGGGATATTAAAGTGGATGGCACCAGTTATGTTCTGAAGCTGTGATCTTGGACCATGCTTTTGAGATGCATTTCTTGAAATTCTTGGCATAGAAGTTACTAGGAGAAAATATTAGGATGATAAGAAAAGGTTCAGAAAAATACCCTCCATTCTCAGAATGTGGATGTTCTCATGATTTATTACTGTTTGGCTTAGGATGAATGGCTAATATAAGATCAATGTTGAAGTATATTAAGCTCTAAGGATAGGCTTATCATGGGGATTGATGGATGAAAGTAATGTCAAAATTCTACAAAGAATGACCTAATGGACACTAGAGTTCTTGGACCTTAATAGATAGAAGCTATTGTGCAGCACATTTAATTGTTCTTAAGCCCACTAATTTTTAGTACCAGCATGCTCATCCAGTTACTTAGTGTTTGTGCAAGCTAGCAGTAGCTGAGCTTGCAATTTGTTCCATATCACCTATTTTTTTAAAAAAAGTGTACTAGTGACTAGCACTATGATCCAGTGATATCTATAAAAGTGGTTTAGTTGTGTATGGGCTTTTTTAATGAATAGTGACAGCTTTCCACTTATGGCATAACTTCACTGATGAATATTTAAGATTGCATAGTGGTAAAAGCAATTCTCTTCAAGCCAATGCTGAATTTATTTCCATGCATTTCAGAAACTGAAGAAACTGACCAAGGCAGCAATATTACTCATCTTCCTTCTGAGGTGATGCTGACTATTTTTAGCTATCTTAGCCCCCAAGAGTTGTGTCGATGTAGTCAAGTAAATACCAAATGGTCTCAGCTGGCTAAAACTGGATTTCTTTGGAAACATCTTTACCCTGTCCATTGGGCTAGAGGTAAGTGAGTGAGAATTCTAGATCTTTAGCAGCTGAAAGTAACATCTTTTGCTATATTAAAAAAGGTATATGTGTGAGGAGGCAGAATGAAAGAGGAAGGGAATATATGATGTTCAGGTGAAGTATTGCATATGTGGTACTTTTATTCAACTCTGTCATCAAACTTTCCACCTAATGAATAATTGTTGGCTTGGATCAATAATTATATTATAGTTTGGTCCTTCTCTTCAAGTAAATGGTTGTGTTTAGGGTTCTTGCGTGTGGCCAGAGAGTGAAATAGAAGCCATTAATACTGCAAATGTGTAGTGTAAAGAGCATTTGGATTGCATGGTATTTATTTATTTATTTTGTTTAAAACATTTATATGGCATCCTTCACTATCATGTCTTAGGACGGCTTACAAGATTAAAAGCAATAACCATAAAAACAGTCAGTAAAACAATACAATAAAATTACCAAAACTGATACAAATGAATCCAATCAAAACAAAACAAAAGTGACTGTGAATTGGTAAAAATGCTAATTTTTAAAATAACGATTAAATAAAAAGGTTTTAACCTGGTGCCGAAAAGATTATTAAAAAGATTTAATTATTATGGCATTAAATGGATTGTGCCCCTAGTTCATGGGTCTGCAGCAGGGTGCCAGTAGGATTCTTTAGTGGTAGCTGTTGAGGTTCCTCAGTATGGTAGCCATGGGCACACACAAAATTAAAAAAGGTTGCCTCATTTTTATAAACACACATACTTGTATGTATCCATTGCAATGAAAAGCATATAACTTTCTAGCAACTATATATTGGCTTCAACAAAGTAGACCAAATAATGCAATTATTATCCATTTGAAGGCAGTGCCTATATGTCATGTAAAGTCTCCAATTCATTGCATTATAGGTGAACATTTATCCTTTCAATGTTGTAATACTAATCCTTTAGCTCTCAAATGAGTTTAAATCGACCATTTATGCTGACTAGTTGTTAATTTCCATGAAATAGATAAAAAAATTAAAACAGTTGTACATCAGTAAATATTGAAGACTGTTCCAGTAAAAAAATAATTATGCAATAATACCATTCCTAAAAAAGCAGCTACTGTACATTGCTAAAAGATACAATAGCCATATTACAGTGCCAGTAATAAGCTGAATTAGACAATACCTTATTAAAGATTTTTTTCCATGTTGAATAGACATGAAACAAAACGTTTTGCTGACTATGACAGACTCTAACATTAATAGACATGACAGATAGATGCAAATGTGATCATCTGATTAGACCTTTTGTCTGATTAGACAACATTTTCTTGAATTCCCTGAGGTGCCCATGGGTCCAAAAACATTGGATACCCTTGTCTTAGGTAGGATTAACGTTCAATTAAGTTTTCATCCAATATGCAATTAGAATGCACAACTGTGTAGAAAATGTGTGGTTTAAAATCTAGGAAATTACTTACTACTTACAGTTCATAAAAATTAATAATGACAACAATATGTATGTTTCCAACATTTTGTTGTTCCTGATGCTTGCTCCTTTGCTTTTTTATGAATTGAGTTCTGCTGTCCTTGCTGTGACTAATTGGAAGACTGCTTTACCAATGTTAAATGCATTCTTGTTGGTTGATCAGGAGATTGGTCTAATGGCCCACAAGGTGATTTTGATACAGAACCTGACGAAGAATGGGTGAAAAACAGAAAAGATGAAGGTCGTGCTTTTCAGGAATGGGATGAAGATGCTGATATAGATGAGTCTGGTAAGCTAAAGTTTGAAGTATGGTTCTACCTGTTACAATCTTAATCACTTCCAAAAATAAGATTTGACTTCAGGTGGACTACAGTGTTGCACTTCAAGATCATGACTTGTTTTCATAGGAACAGTATATGTCCAGATTGGGGTTTGGGGACATTGCGATTCAGCATCTTGCCTGGATGTCCACTTGAATGTAGTACTGAGAAATTATTGCTTTGCCCTGAACTGTCACACTGTTGTATGCTGAATGTGTCATTTTGCTTCCCATGATGTTCAGCACATGTAAGAAACTACTCAGTCAGTTTGCATGATCACCACAGCCTACAGTACTTTATTTAAGCCACGATGGCTTGTGGTACATGCCTGCAACCAGTCCCCAAGGATTAGGGGGGGTTGTTATTCTTTGTTCTGTTCTACACATCTGGGCAGCAGGGGTTCTTTGAGGGTCAAACAATTCTTAAATACCCCTACAATATGTTCATTTATTTAACTTGAATTTGTTTTTGATTCCTTTATAGATGAAAATGCAGAAGACTCATTGGCTATCAGCATTGTTCAGAAAGAGAAGAACTTACTCCAAGGCTTAATTCATAATGTTCTGCCACGTGTAGGCACTTCAGTGAAAACAATTGTATTGGCATATAGCTCAGCCATATCTAACAAAATGGTATGGTATACATAACAGGCATGTTTATGATATCTGTAAAGGGTAATTATAGAATGTGTGTTTATGTTTAAATGCTTAAAAAAAGTTGTGCTACTTTTCTGCCATAGTTTGCATTCAGGGTAGATTAACAAATTATGAAGGCACCAATATGTAAGTTGAAATGAATTCTTACTGCTGTCTTCACCCCTTTTGTAACGTGGACTTCTTGAACTGACTCTTTATTTTTAGGTGAGACAGATCTTAGAACTTTGTCCTAACTTGGAGTATCTTGATCTCACTCAAACTGATATTTCTGATTCTGCATTTGAAAGGTTGGTAATCCCTTTTTAGGTGGACAGGGAATGGTGGTATTGTTGATTTTACCTGGAGTAAAATATCTACACTACACTAATAAATAGAAAGTTGATATTTAACTTGGTTAAATTGTTTTTGGAGGGGAGGAAACTTTGAAATTGTTATCGATCATATTTAAGATACAGATTAGGTGAAACTGTAATGCAGTGGATACAATTTGGTTTATGATTCTAATCTACATTACTACTAACCAGTACAGTTGCTCCTTTGTCTCTCGGGTAATGTGAAAAGCCCCAAGCTCAGGCAGTATGTTTGTGAGCAAAGCCACCAAAACCTAGGCACAGTGAACACAGTAAATGATTATGTGATATATTGCCATCTAATGGGGTTTACATTTCACTTGAATGGTGTGGAAGTAGTTATTGAGAAATCAGGATTTACAGTATTCAGAATGTAATAGTGGAACAAAATATGTGTAGTTATTAAACATCAAATTCAGACAGTGACCTGGTTCAGACTATCAAACAAATAGTTCACATACTGTGGGTTGTTTGTGAGCTTGTGAGAGTGAACATGCCATCCTCGGCCTGCTTCTGCATTTCCACAGATGTCCCATTAGCCCATAGATGTCCCATTCCTGGGTTGTTCTTGGAACATGCAACTCTGTGTGTTCAAACTTTGTGTTGCTAACAAAGCAACAGTGGCTGAGCAAGCAGGAGGCAGCATGGTTGCTTGCCTTAGCATGGCTACAGCTAATGGGTTGTTCAAATCATAGTTGCCATGATATGCACCCCAGGCCATTGTAACTGTCATATTTTTCTAAGATTACATCAAGTGCTCAATAGTAAAAATGCAAATTGCAAAAGATTTAAAAGCTATACCTTAGCAGGGCTAGACTTGTGTTTTTTGTCCATTTTGAACACAATATTGTGACCACAATGGAGTAATGAAGTCCATGTGGAAAAGAGACACCAAGGAAGAAAGGGTGTGCCTTCCATCCTGGCACATGGGACAAGTTGATAAAGCAAAGGAAAAGTTAATACCTCCTAAAACCAGAAACATGGAAAACTATTAAAAATAAAAGTCCCAATATTATAAACAGAGCAGCTTGCCTTTATATGCATTTTTTTCTTACAGGGTTTCAACAAAATTAAATTTGAGCCAGATCACTATGAACTCCAGAGACTCTGTTTATATGGCATATTTTTTCAATATACTATTTTTTACTATACTTAATATTATTGCACAATTTTGTCCAGATGCTAATAGGCCAAAATGATCCTTGAAAATTAAAAAAAGCATTTATCACATAAGCTTCTTCTCTATTCAAAATGATGATTTTCTGTATGTTTTGATTCTGAACAGGGCTTGAATTTATTATCACAATGGATCCTGACCATTTTTTGCCTTCAGTGCTTTTTGCATTTAAGTCAAGCTGTCAGTCAATTCATCTTTTTTTCTTTGAATTCTAACTTGGCAAATTACAGCAGTGGATGCAGGGCTGTAATTTTTGGTCATTAGCTTGTTACTGCTTGGATCTGTTGTGGTGCAACATACATAGAAGCAACAGCAGACATTTTGATAGCAGTAAAACTTTCAATATTGAACTTTTAGTAATTTCATAGTCTTTCCCCTCTCTGCCCTGTTCTAGATAATTTTGAGCTGTTTACACTGCACCCCTGGTGTATCTTTCTGTCTTCTCATTTAGGTGAAGTGGGGAGCTTCCAAAACCACAATTTCTGGCTTTTTGATATAGAAGGTCCTGGCTGTGTGCTTCCCTGTGTCTCAGCACACGGGATGGGGTTGCAGAAATCAAAGTGGCCCAAGCAGCAGGCCTCCAGCGAAGCACATTCCCCTCTTTCTTGAGTTAAAAGTGAGGAATAAAAATGTTCTTTGTGAGGAGCAACTGGGTGGAGGTTGCAGGCTGGATCACCAAGGGCTGTATTCAGTTTGCAGGCTGTCCCCTGACCCCATGAGTAGGATATATTCCTTCCCTTTTTCATTTATCTCTGCCTAAGGAGAAGATCTCAGAGGCATCGTTTCTTGGTTTATTACTTTGTTTGAGTTAGGCAACAAACCAGTAATGGAAACTTGTAACTTCCGTCCCTTTTTAATCCAGTAACAGGGAAAGAGAGGTGGAAACCCTGAGTTTATACTTGTTCTCAGTGCAGCGAGAGATTCAAAACAGTGGTAGCTACACTCAGTGGCAGGAGTTGCAGTCTTGTGGGGGTTTTTTACCGTAGGGTTTTGTCCCAGAATGCAGGATTCAGATAATTTAAAGCTGAAACTTTGGCAGTTGTGTGGAAAGTTAGTCTAAACTAACTATGGAACTTGTGGGTTGTGTTTGTTGACTCACTGCATTAAAGGCAGATATATATTCATAGTTTGACAATACTTTTACCAGTTGTTGCTGATATAAAAACTGTTCTCACATTTAGACAAGGACATGCCAGACATGCATAGCATGGTTTCAGTTTCCTTAGCTGTGTCCTTCTAGTATTATTATTTATATTTTCAGGTTTAGGGGTCATTGATACTGAATATAAATATTTTATCTGGAGATAGCTTGAATGTGGTTGCTGGAATGATTAATAAATGCCACTTTTAACAAAGATGTTAATATTTATTTCAGTTGGTCATGGGTTGGTTGCTGCAAGAATCTTCGGCATCTTGATCTATCTGGATGTGAGAGAATAACAGATGGAGCCCTACGAAAGATTTCCATAGCCTTAGGAATTTTGTCATCCCATGAAGCAGGTTCTCTGAAAAGCTGTCGAAACAGGAATGGAAAAAATGTGTGGAGAAGCAAAGATGTTTCCTTGCAGGCTCACAAAAAGGACAGTAGCTTGCATGATATTACAAATGCAAATGTGACTAAAGCAGAAGGAAATGAAAGCCATTGGAGTGTACCTGTCAGATCACAGAGCTTTAGCTCTTCCTATATCTGGATGTTAGATGCAGAAGATCTGGCAGATATTGAAGATGCTGCAGAATGGAAGCACAGAAATATTGAAGGTGTTTCCGTGATAGAACCGGCATCCAGCTTCACTTGTTCTGCAACATGTTGCAGCAAAGACATTTTTGGATTAAGGACTAGCATCTGCTGGCAGCAGCATTGTGCTTCTGCTGCTTTGACATATTGTGGTCACTCTTTCTGTTGTGCTGGGACAGCATTAAGAACTATTCAGGCACTCCCAGGTTCCTCTGCACTATCTAAACATGCACCAAGGACTAGTAAACAGTCAGAGGGGAAAGACTGGGCATACTTGAGGAGTTCAAACTCAAAGCAAGAGATGGGACGAGTTCTTCAGTTCCTCAGTCTGTCAGGATGTTACCAGATAACGGACAATGGTCTCAGGTATGTGGCCTTTTCAAAGATCCTGCTGCAGCCTGTCAGTGAAATCTTTTAAATACTCAAAGCACAAAGTCCTGCTATTGTTTCATTGTTTTTATCTTGTCATTCTGCTGTCTGCTGGATCTGATGACAGGAATTGCAGCAACAAATTGGCTGTTTTATGTGAAAAAGCCTCTGTGTTGCTTTGTGCAGTCCAGGGGAGTTTAATTGATTCTGAAAGATTGAACGAACCCGTAGAAAGTCAAGGAAGTTAAGGGACTGCAAACTCTTCTCTTGCTTGCTGGGTAAACAATTTGTCTCCTGATCTTTTCAATAAACTAGTATGTCAGTTTTCCACATTGTTGTTGCTTATTATATGGTATTGCAATCTTTTTTCCTCTTGTGAGGAACCCATGGTAGTTTACATAGCTCTATTTTATCCCTATACCAACCCTGAGAGGTAGGTTAGGATGAAAGTGAGTGACTGGCCCAGAGTCACCCAGTGTGCTTCATCGTGGAGTGGAGACTTTAATCTCCCAAGTCCCCAGTCCAACTATCTCATCACACTGGCTCTTGGTTACATACAGAGACAAGGAACCACATATTGTTCCCATTTTTGCAAGATGCATAATAGAATTGTTGATTTTAATGTTGTGTCTGGCCTAAATAGTTTTCTTCTGATAGCTGCTAGAGTTGTGTACTGTTGAAAGCTAGGAATTGGGGAAGTTCCTGGTTAAGGTGTCGTTGGTGCCAAAAATCACTAGACCTTGCCCCTGCTCTGCCCCATCTGCAGATGGGGTTATTTTTATCTCCACTGCAGAATGATTGATAGGCAAAGGAAATGTATGTCAACACTGTGCGGCACTCTATAAGTGATAACAGTTCTAAACACTTCATTTTAGAAAACGTTTAAGACTTAACAAAAGCAGTATCTAGCATAATTGAGCTACAGCTTGTGAATCAATTTATTTGTAGTTAGAATCAGATTTGAAAAGTTCCCTGCTTATTGTGTATAGGTGAATTTGCTTAAAATCTTTTTGGGAAAGCATGAAATTTCAAGTAAACTTTATTCTAAAAGTTCAGATAGCCTGTGAAACCAGAAATCTGCAAGGAAGTCTTGCTCTCTTAAAATTGAACAAAAGTTTCCTTCAGTATTATTATGCCCCTGTTCCCCTTCTTTCTGCCTGCACTTCTAGCACAATAATATCTGTGTAGTAGAGGTGAGAGGAGGATATACGAGCTGGTAAGAAGCTCTGGTTTAGTACTGAGGAGAACCATGTACTCCATCCAGCAAGGCCCTGATGCTGATGGCAGCAGTATTGCATTCTGCTCACATACCATAGGCTTGATCAAAGTTAAAAACTGCTACAGTCAAGGTAAGGGGAAAAGAATGTTTGAATAGCAAAGGACCTGTGTGGATCAAATAAGAGTGATGGTGCTTGTGGTTAAAAGAACAGAAGTCTCTTGACCACTAGGTTGCTGATATGATCTTAATATGACTTTCATTTTCCACTCATAGGATGTTGACTCTGGGAGGTGGGCTTCCTCATCTAGAACACCTCAATCTCTCCGGTTGCCTTGCTGTAACTGGTTCGGGCCTGCAAGATTTGGTGTCAGTGTGCCCTTCTCTAAATCATGAACATTTTTACTACTGTGACAATATTAACGGTAATGTCTTTTAATAAAGTGTCTTTTTAATATTGTGGGTCTTGAAATGTTCAGACTTCAAAGCTATAGGTGTGGGTCTTCTGATGTGTCATGTAATTACTAATTTAATTAGTAATTAACATGTAATTACATTTGATTACTAAGGCTGATTACTCTTTAAAATATTCTAAACCAGTCCTTTTATAAACCACCACTTCTTAAGGGAGTATACTCATAATACAGTGGATCCAATTTCACATAAATAATGGGCTGGGCGTATATATTTGGAAGCTCCACCTCTTGATTTCACTCATTCTGATATGTGTGTACACATTTATATATATTAATAATCTCTATTATAGTTTAACAAGTTAAAGCAGAATGTTAATTGCACAGAAACTCACCTTTATCTTGAATGTTTAAAATTCTCTCTGTTATCACATGAATTTCAGGTTTCAATGTTTTACTGTTGCCTTGCTTAACTATTCAGAGCTTTTGATTCCGCATGGCAGAATGGCCTGGTCACATATAACAGTAGCAAACTGTGTTCTGTTTAAATCGTAATATGCTGCAGTATGTGCTGGGTGCTTTCTGTACTCTCCTTGAATAATTAACCCCCATTTGGGGTTGCTACATGATGTCCAGACCCAAATATTTAGACATTAATCATGGGCCAAAACCCATAGTCACCCCAACTAATAATTGAGTTCATTAACTCACAATTTGCCACTTACATGTGGATCAGGTTTATACTTAGAATTGACATTGGTGTACAAACTTGAGATTCTGTTAAGCCTGGACCAGTACTTGGACCTTATTTTCCCAAGTGCTTTTGATGATTGCAGTTTTAGCACCTAAGTGTTCCAGCAAAACCATACGGTTTTCTTTCCACAGAAGGGGAGCAATGACCTTAAATGTTTCCCTTACTTTTACACCTCTCTGTAAGGAGATGGCACACATGAACAAATCTGTCAGAACAAATTACTGCCATCCCATTGCTTCTGAATTCTTAACTAGCCTATATCCACGTCGTGTTACAGTAGTGATGGCTTTGTGTTCTTCGTCCAGTTTCTCATGTAGATGGAAGAGTTTTGTTCTCTCTATATTTTGCCTTTAGTGCAGGTATTTGAACAGTTTATATTTTAAGATTGTTATGAGAATAACAAAGAAAGGGTTACTAGGCTTGTAGGACACTTAAAAGTAAATAAGGAAAAAGAGTAACAAGTAGGGTGAATTTGGTTTAAATCACAATGTAAATCACTAGTCAGTAAGACTATAATTAAATCATAGTTTTCTACATAATTTCCAATCATTCTTGTCTTGCCTGTAGGTAGAGAAACATCATTAAATTAGTGCTAGACTAAGTCTCTCTTACAGCCTGCTGCCTTTATAGGTTTTCTTCCTTAGGGAAATAATAATATGATAAACCTCAGGCTATACACAAAAAGATCCAAAGACTTGTGGAGTATTGTGCTCAAAAGGTTTCACTTATTTTTCTACTTGCCCAGTCCTCCTCACACTTTACTCCTTGTGCAGCTCTTTCCACTCCAAACAATCTTCTGTTCACTGAATTTTTTGACAGCACTTAGGAGGTAAGGGGTTGATTCTGTGTTACATAGATTTGTAATGAACAATGGGATATTAAGGTTTTTTTTCTCAACTCTTTGTTTATTTTATGATTTTACACTGTGAAAAGGCATGTGATCTCTGCAGACGCATATTCACAGTTTTGAGAACTGCAAAACCAAGCATCTATGATGATATCTTCTAGATAGAAAACTTGCCTAATAATCTTACAGAAACCTCTGGAAGAGGATGATATGGTGAATGGATTAGTGCAATTCATTTGACCAAAAATTCAAACATTGCATGAATATACAGTTCATGCTACATAATTAAAAACTAATCTTTATATCATAATGAATGTATCTTAAATAGAAACTATCTTTAGATAGATTTTTCCTCAAAGAGCATTTTATTGTTTACAAATCCAGTTTAAATTAAAAACATATATATTTTTTAATGATTGTTATCCACCCTGGTAACAATGGTTCTGTTAGTATTGTGCTGAGGTAGTGAACAGATGGGGAGGGAGAGACTGTAGGTAACCATTTTTCAAAATGCTGTTGCACAGATATGGCTGTTCATTTTCCCCAAAACAGTGATATCTTGACTGCCTCAGGCAACCATATCTGACCTGACCAATCTAATGCTAAACCACAATCCTGTGTCTTATCTTGAGAGGTAGACTTAGGAGAATGAGTGGTTGGCGTACCTCAGGTACAACAAGGCACTGTGTCTTTCTGTTATGTATGTAAGTGACGGAATGTTTGTCACTCAAAAAATATTTTGCCTTAGCTAATGTTTGGATCAACTTTAACTGTTTTGCCGGCATCATCTTTAAGAGTAGATGATGAAGACTTACTATAAAGGATAGCTGCTTACATAATATCTCCTCTTAAACAGTAAGTATTGTATAGTTCATGCAATGGCACATGAACAGATTTTTTTGTTTTTGTTTTTCCTGGTTATTACTTCTCCTTCGGATGGTTCTCTGGTCCTGTTCATTCTTAATGAGGGCCCATAAATGCCGAATCCCTCCTATGCCTGTAGTCCAGGCTGCTATAGAAAGAACTCTGTCTTGCCTTTAATTTCTAGTTCTGTCTTGCCCTTAATGTCTGGATAATATAAAAGCTCAAACATTTAAGCTGTCGGGCACTGCTCTCACTTCTACTTGCCAGAAGAAACCAAGCAAATAGCCACACTGACTGCTTTCTTCCCTTATTCTCTCTGGTAGCATATTATTTTCTGTAGTTTTCAGGATGAAAGGTAGGAAAGCCCTTTTCTGCCAGGGAAATGGAGGAGAAAAACTGCCTTGATTTCCTTTGCATTGGAAAAGTTCTGCTGAGAGTATGAAATGATGTTGTTAGGAGTGCAGGGCAAGGGGCTAGCAAGAAGGCAGTTTTCCTGGCTTTAGATACCTGTAGTAGCGGTTGGAATCAGAGGTCATTACTTGCGCAGGGTATTCTGGTATGTGTACTCTTTGGTTAGAAGATAGCATAGAAACCAGTTAAAAACATGGTAGTGCATAGAAATGTTGAAGTTTTGTAACAGAATGACCTGGGAAATGTTACATCTGCTAGTCTCTGCAGGTGCTAAACAGAAAGTCAAATATGCCAAATTACTCTGGATCAGAAGCTTATTTTTAGGTCCATCTGTTGAAAGTATACTGCTGCTACCATTTAATATGCAAATTTTGAATGTTAGCTTCAAGGTATAACAGTTTTTGCTTCCCTTGATTGCCTTGCCTTGGAAGCAATTTCCTCAGCCCCTCTGTTGTGGATTTGTTATTGAAGATATGGGGCTACACAGTTCCTCTCAACAACTTTGGCTTTGCTGGATGCTTCAGAAGGGATTTACAACTGCATACAGACAATGTTGCAAGATATGCTGCTCTTGCTAACATTCAAATCAGATTCTTGTTGGCTTAATTGCTGATAGCAAGGTCTGGTCTTTTATCTCTCTTTATAGCCTATGTTCAAACAGGGAACAGTGGGAGCAGGAGGATTTTTTTTTCTGCTTTGCTACATATGTTTGTGGGAAGATCTAACCATGTGGTCCTGGACTATAAGAGCCCTCTCCTGTGCAGCCCTGAAAAAGTTCACAGGGGACCCTCAAATAATGAGGTATAGAGCACAGGAGAAGAATAAGCCCAAATGGCGTGGTTCCCACAGTCTGGAGAGGCTTGTGGCTGGTGGAGGAGATAAGCAGCTTTCTGTTCAGTTACTTTAGAATCCAAGCCTTGTTATTCAGGTTTTAAAAACTGTCATCTAATGGGAATGGTTTTACACCTTTTGTCTCTCTGGGGTGACCAGAGCTACAGACATTTCAAGGTATGGATTCACCATTCACTTCCTGACAAGCTTGGTGATGTTTCTGTATAACGGTTATGCATTTACCACCTTTATCTAATCTACAGATTTGAAGAGATGATTGAATATTTTTAATATCTATTGTTATAATTGAGAAAATGAATCCTGCATCATTCTACATTTTCATAAAAGCTTAGTGAAAGCTTTTAAAATGTACATTTTTATTACTGCATCTCCATTTACCATCAGTAGATCACCTCATCTATGGATTTTGCACCAAAACAGCGCTAATATGAGTGAAGTTGAACTTGCTTTTCAGGGTTTCTTTCTAAAATGGACAATTAGAGTTTCAATTCTAAAATGAACAGTTAGATTTTCAAGCTGGAAACAGCAGTGCACAGCATTGCCATAAGGCTAATACAGAAGCATTTTAAGGTACTGGGATTACAATCCTGTGCAGACTTACCTTGAGGTAAGCTCCACTGAAAACAGAGAATCACATAAAGAATTACACTGTAAGTGCATTATCTTAGAAATAATATATCTGGCTGCTTTTCTGCCTTTGTAAAAAAATTAAGATGTGAAAAAGTGTCTATATCTTCAATAATTCACCCCGTCACTCTTTACAAACAATACTTCTGTATGAGCACTGATGAGCTGTGAGCCTAGACAGTGATTCCTCAGTACCATGAGGAATTAGTTTGTCTGAATTACTCTGTTCATTTGGTGTAGGCTTACTTTCATTCACAGTCACAACTCATTAAAGTCTTTTCTCTTAGATGCTTGTGATTCCCAGTGATCTGCTTATTGAGTAAGAAATATGAAAAAGTAGTACAAGTTTTCCCAAAGGTATAAACAAACAGGCTTTCCCATAATGAATTTATGCTTTCCAAATCAATTACTTGCTTCTCTAAACTCAGGCAAGAGGATTATCTGACATCCTGTGTGTTGCCATTTTGCTGTGGCCAGAGCAGAAGGGCTGTATACTGTATCTCTTCCCCTTTCCTGCCCATTGACAGTGGCCGTGATTTGACCATTTCTGTGTATCATAAATAAGAAAGTCTTCGGATCTGACGTGGCTGGTTCCAGCTCCTTGTAACACTGGCAGGGCATCAGAAACCTTTCCCGTTGTATGCTAGGCGACATCTGGCAGAAGTGGCTTGCACCAAAAGAAATGGCACTATATTGCTTCCTATGGCCACTCAGGCAACTCCTGGTGAAAATAGGATGGCTCTTTTAATTAGACTTGTCATAGTAGGAACAAGAATCTTGGGACGGGGGGTTGTACATACTATAAACAAGCTTTATGTTAAAGTAAAACTTCCTATTTATCAATAAAGTGAAGTCCAACACCAATAATTTGTAATAGAAGCTAAAGTAATTCTAACTAAACCAAACCACTCTTTTTGTTTTGAGCCAGCCATTTCTTAGATCGCTTTATTTGGCTTTTTAGTCCAAATTACATTATTGTGCTTGTCGAAAAAGATTATTTTTTTCTTTTGTTGCTTTACTTGCTCAAATGTATGTTTGGTTTACTTCCCTATTCAAAGTAGATCTGATTTAAAAAGCCAGAGATTTCACCTCTAAGTTACACTTTGCTTTTTCTTAATAATTTACAATTTATTTTTGAAAATAATTTTGCTTTCTCATTCCCACTCAGTCTTGCTTATAAAGGGAAAATAACTCATCTTTTAGTTCACACTGTTGTAATTTACTCTCATACTAGTATTGCATATGGAAAAAACTCAATTTTCCTCATAGTTCATTATAAAATGTTTTATTTTGCAACACCAATGTAGTATGTTGCCCTTCCCTCAATTTTCCTAGCTTGCTAATCTTGGAGCATGGCCTAAAGAGATTTCAGACTCAATATTTATTATATTTTTGTTTGAAACATCCCTTTAATCTGAATAGGGTTCCAGAAAGACTTACAAATGAGTTTTCAAAAAGGCCTGGTTTACATGATAAGATAGCCCACTGTGGCTTAATTTATCCATGTGAGTTGTTTTACACCCACCAACTTGCTGTGTTATACAAACCCAGGCAGCAGAGGTTGTCGGGCATAACCTTCAAATAGTGGAAAAGATACAATACAAAGGGAAAAGGGGAGAAGAGAAGAGGAAGAGGATGGAAGTCAAATTACAGGCGCCAGTTCTTAGGGTTGTTATACTGAATAGCTCCAGTGGAAACTGTTCAGAGGGGAGACTAGATGGGGCAACCAGTAAGTAATCCATTCCTTAATATGACTGTTGGTTTAAGAAAAACATGTTACCTCTACAGAGGTTGGCTTAAAACACTTTCAGTTCTTATCAATTTTCAAAGGTTCTTAGTTCAGTTTTGTCTTCTTGGGTGGGCAGGCCAGCGACAGGGACAGGTGTGTATTTGTTCTTGACCTAGTTAACCCCCCTCCAAATTCAGCCTTACATTAACTAGCTGGGTTTTTTCTTAGTTATTAAAATTCCTTAGTTTTATATGCTTCTAACCCATCACTATCTAGTGCTTCTGATTTTTCAGGTAATGCTCTGCTAAGAGGATCTGTAATGCCTTCTAACATGAGGTATTTTTATCCTGATTCAAAATAGCTGCTACTACTTTAGATTCTGCCTTGTGGCATATTGCATAAACCACAGTTTTTTGAATATTAACATAAGAAAATAGCATTCTGGCTAAATATCACATAATTCACACTTTAAAAAGAGCATGCTTAAGATTACTCCTTGACCTTTTGCAGGAAAAGCACTGACATTCACATCCTGGATCAGGGTTCTGCACCTCCTTCTCCCCTAAATTCTCCCCCTCTTTCCGTTGTCTGCCTTCAAAGGTACCACTTATTGCAACCAGGACCTTCAGTGACAAATAGTTTGGGGGAGTGATATTTTGGTAGGAAACATGTTTGGTCTCTTTAAAAGAAAAACCCTTTCCTAACCCATCTACCTTTTAATTGGATTTTAACCTGTTTTTGTGTGGAAAATAATTTTAGTTCTATTTAGCATTATTATTTCACTGCATGTCTACCCTGGCCCTTTTCCTTTTCTGAAGAACCCAAGGTGACTCATGTAACTCTATCTTATCCTTACAACAGCAGCCCTGCAATTAAGTTAGGCTGGGAGTGACAGATCGAAAGTCACCCAGTGAGCTTCATGGCTGAGTGGGAACCAGAACCTGGATCTTCCAAGTCCCCAGTTCTACATTAGTTTTAATCATCAAGCAGTGTTTTATAGCTGTCTAGTTCTACTATGCTGCAGACCTGCAAAGTGTGCTCACATGATTAATGACTAATAGAAGATTAATAGCTAAACTCCTGTGCCAGTGTTTCCAGAATTGTTTTAAATAATGCTGACTTGCAAGTGGCATATTTAGTACTAAAACGCATGGTTCACTTTTCTGCAACAGGTTATATTACTATATATACACTTTCTGTACAGTTTCAAGAATATACAAAATATGAATATTGCATCACTAGTCTGAGCAGTTACATGATGCTACTTCATTTTGATGGATAACATGGCTGACATAATCTGGGACATCTATTTTTGGTGCTATTTCAGTTAATAAATGCAGTTGTTTAACTTAATTATTTTTGATATTTATAAATGAAGGTAAGTGGCCTTGGTAGAACTGAGACCCATTTTTCTCCATTGATTACTTAATTTTAAAGGAAGTTCTATAACTGCTTTATTACTAACCAGGGCATACACATTTAGGAAAGTTTGACTAACAGTGAAAAAGAAGCTAATTGTATATACAAAAAGTTGGTAAATTGAAGCACCATTGTACTCTCCTGCTGCTCCTAAACTTGATTTTAAAGAGAGCAAGCTAATTTGACTCTTTCTGTACCCCATACTTGTTAGTTTTGCTTTTTGTGCCTGCATGGGAGTGTATGTAGTGCTTACCTTTTAATTGTTTTATTTACCTGTTTTTATTAAGTTTAGTTCCATTTAGCTTTCATTACTACGTTGCATTTATAGCCTGCCCTTTTGTGAGGATCCCAAGGTGGTTTAGGTGGTGGTTTATAGCTCCATTTTATCTTCACAACAGCTCTGCAATGTAGGTTATGTGAGAGTGCCTGGCCAAAGTCACTCAGTGAGCTTCACAGCCGAGTGGAACTAGAACCTGGATCTCCCAAGGCCCCAGTTCTACATTATCTTCCATTATTAAGCCACAGGGGTTGCTAAACCTCCTGCAGCCATGCCACCCAGCAAACATGTTGCTTGATTGGCTGCTACAACTGCATGCAGGATGAAGTCTGTTGTACAAAGAAGGCTCTCTGTGTGTTTGGTGTTAACATAATTTGTTCTATGTTAATTAGACCCTGATTTTATTGCAAATATAGCTTGAAATTCTTAATGAAAATGACTTCTGTATTCCTAAATGCAAACAAGCAAAAAACTAGAAAATGAATGTGTGTTGCCCAAGAAGAAAGCAATCCGTTTTTCCTCCTTTCACATTTGTTCTGTCTTTATACAGGTCCTCACGCCGAAACCGCCAGTGGATGCCAGAACTTGCAGTGTGGTTTCCGAGCCTGCTGCCGCTCTGGTGAATGAGCTGACTTCTTCCCTTATCAGTCTACTTCATTTAGCTCAGCAGGCTTCCTCTCATGCACTTTACTTACAGTCCGTATCTTGTGTTAACAGTTCCCTTTTGGAGTGCAATTTGTAGGTCTTTGCTCCATTAATCAGTCTCTTATAAGAAAACTGGGTAGTGTCATACCATTTTCAGTGTTTCACTCTAATTTGGAAGGTGAAGGGTTTTTTTGTGCTGTGAAAAGCTTATCAAATTGTTTTTGACACTTCTTCCCTAATGTTTGGCACTTGATTTGATCTGATTTTGTTTTGTGCTAAACCCTAATATTTCTTTAAGCTCATGCTTAAATATAAACTTTACAGTGAATGTGAAATACAGCTGGTTAACAATATATTGTTCAGTAGTGATTTCTCCCATAACTTTCTGATTCCAGAGTTGTCTTATTACAAAATTAGGGAGATACCTTCTGACTTTTAGCACCAATTTTACATTTTTAATTTTGAAGACGAGTAAATGAAACATTCCCATCAGCATCCATTTTTTTAGTCTGATATGTTAACACAGTAGGCCAATGACTGTTTGTGTGGCAAAGTATTTGCTTAACTGTAGTTGCATAGCAACCACAATCCCATGTATCTTCTATAGACCCACTAAAGATGCTGAATTCTGAAAGGGATTTTCCAAGAAGTGATTTCTCTGCCATAAGAGCAACTGTAATAAACAAACAAATAAATGCAGCTTTAAGGAACTTGCTTGTGGGAATCTGTTCATTTGATTGAGCGGAAAGTGCAATTACATTAGCAAATAGCAATATTACTCTAGGAACTTGATAGTTAAAAATGTTTGGACATTGTTTTCATTATTGCTGTTGTGCCTAATTGCGTCCTACATCATGCAGTTTCAGAACTGTAGCTAGACTAAAGCGAAAAGAGAGTTTCCAAATGACTGCCCCCCCCCCCCCCCCCCATAAAATGGTAGGAAGATTATATTAGTCACATTGTTTGGAAGAAACAAGCATTTTGCTTGAAGGTATGCAAAACATTGCAATGTCTGGTGCTCCATATCTTTGCAGTACTGTTTCAATTATGCTCAAGCCTCCCATACAACAGACTTAATTTTCATTCCATAGCATGGTAGATAACCAGCACACCCCTCTCCAGAGGAAGAAATGCCAACAGCACTTGCATGATTAAACATGCATGAAATATTTTCACCTCTTTTGTCGAGTAGTTCATAAATTTTAACGTGATATTACACCAGTCGTTTCCATGACAATTAGATGAAATATTGTCTGTTTATTTTCTGCCTCTTTATTTTTACCCAGCATGGTAAACATTCATTGGAACATTAAAAATACAAATAAATCACAGAATAAAAACAGTACTTCACTCAGTGCCCCAGCTTACATATTGCAGGAGTAGTTGAACAGGCATGACTGAAATGGTAGAAAGAGCAGAGAGAAAGCGCTAAAGTGGCTTGCTTTAGCAGGAAAGTCCATTACCTGGGGGCAGCCACTGGGAAGACCTTATGTAGTCACTGAAGGCACCTTTCAAGGTGACAGTATTACAAAGGGCATTTCCACAAATATCTTAAAACTTGGGCAGAGTTGACTGAGAGATGATGATCTTTTCAGGCAGCTGTGTAGAGCTTTAAAGGTCAGCTTTAAAGCCAGCACTTCTGACTTGTACCTAGAAATGTTAAGCAATATACTGAAAGATTGTATTAGTTATAATACAACAGAAGCTAATCTGTTTACACTTCTGCAGCTATATCAGAATGGCTAGAGAAAGCAGCAGCACATAGGTTTCAGAATTCTAGAAGGAAATTCAGCAGATGTTCCTTGCTATGAAAGGGGTGGTAAGGGCTGGTTTAAACATTCTATGGTTGGGCATTTAACTAGTTAAGCACTGCTTTAAAATAACTGACCACATAATTTCAATAGAACAACAAAAGGTAGTTTAATCATCAGATTATAAAAATAGGTGAAATTGTAAAACAGAGTTTAGTTCCTTTAAAAAGCCAGTGACTGGTTTCTATACTGAAAATTCATTAGACAAGTTCTTGGACTTTTATCTGGCATTGGTTGCTTGTGCTTGTGTTGCAAGATGCTTTTGATGGTATCAGGTGGCCAGTAGGAAAAGCGCTATTGTGCTATTCAGTTGGTACCTCACTGCTGCAGGTCCAATCAACACCGTAATCATTAGACTGTAAGCTGCTTCTATTATACAGTACCTGCTGTGTAATAAAGCTGACAGTTCCATTTACTAGTGGACTAATCCTAATATATAGAAAGATAGAAACAGCAAGTCAGAAGGGGCCTCCCAGGCGGTCTAGTCTGACCCCTCCCCAGCTCCAGCTGGATCCACTTATGACATGCCTACCATGCCTGTCCAGCTTATCCTTAAACACCCTCACCGATGAGGCTTCAACCACCTCCAAAGGAAGCCCATTCCATACCCTGGGGGGGGGGGTCTCATATGTCAGGAAGTACTTCCTGGCATCCAAACTAAACCTTGGTTCCCTGAGCTTTGCTCCATTGGAACACGTCCTGCCCTCCTCTGCAGGGGAAAACAGGTCTCTACCCACCTATGTGTGTCATCCCCTCATGAAGTCTCATCCAGGCTGAAAAGACTTGAGTTCCCTTAGTCTTGCCTCATACAGCTTTCCCTGCAATCCAGCCATCATCCTAGTGCAGTGGTCGGCAACCTTTAACACTCAAAGAGCCATTTGGACCCGTTTCCCACATAAAACACCGGGAGCCGCAAAACCCTTTTGACATCTAAAATGAAGATAACACTGCATATATTATTTTACCTTAATGCTATGTATATCTTCATCATGATTTAGCTGCAGCTCTTGTTCAGTCACTAAAAAATGTTATTTTTAATCTTACATTATAAACCACGGAGATATAGGTGTGTTTAGTGACTGATTAGCAGGTAAACAGTCAAGTGCTGTGAATTGTGACAGGTCCCAAGCACAGCTTTTAACATTCAGATGAAAGAGAGTACATTGGGACAAAGAGAATCTTTTCAGCAGCATTTCGTGTAACATGAGAGCCTGCAGGAAGCTTGTTTAGCAGAGAAATGTAGCAATTTACTTAACTAGCTGATTCACTTAACTAGCTAGTGCTGTGTTCCTGAATGGAGCTCCGAGCAGATCAGCAGCTGTGCCGGTGTGTGTTTTGAGCGACGGAGCCGCAGCAGAGGGGTTTAAGAGCCATGTGCTGCTCCGGAGCTGTGGGTTGCCAACCCCTGTCCTAGTGGCTCTACGCTGCATCGATTCAAACCTAGCTAAATTCTTCCTGTAACATGGAGCTCAGAACTGAACACAATACTCAGTTGCGGGCGCACCACATTCTTACAGAGTGGTAGTAATACTTCTCCAATAAGCCATGCTTCTGGCTATGCAACCAAGGGTGACGTTCGCCCTCTTGACCACTGTGTCACACTGCTGACTCATTTAGCCTGCAGCTGACCAAGTACCCCAAGATTCCTTTCACAAGTGCTGCTCTTCAGCCACTCATCCCCTAACCTGTATTTATGGCACTCATTCCTACACCCCAAGTGCAAGATCTTGCACTTATCCACTTTGAATGTCATCATGTTGTCCCCTGCCTTCTGGATCTGGAGTACTTGCTCCTCATTTGTGGCCATCACCCCCATTTTGCAGGCTGGTCACACCCCCTTCTAGGTCATTGATGAAAAAATTGAACAGGAATAGTCCCAGGACAGAGCCCCAGGGGACCCTGCTCATCACTGGTCGCCTTCCCAATGATTCCCCCACTAATAGCTTCTGCTTTTGGTCCATCAACCATGCCGTAATCCATCAGACATTGGTCTATCCAAAAACTACTCAATTTCTCAACCAGGATATCACGCAGCACTTTGTCAAAGGCCTTGCTGGAACCCAGGTAAACCACATCCACTGAATTTCCTCCATCTAGCCACCTAGAAACCTTGTCATAGAATTCCACAAGGTTTGTCTGGCAGGACCTGTTTTTACAGAAGCCATGTTGCGTGGCTGTCAACCTCCGTTCCTTATGTAGGGTTACTAGGTCTCTCGCTATTATAAGCCTTTCCACTGTCTTTCTTAGAATGGATGCAAGGCTATCCAGTCTGTAATTCCTCATGTCCCCTCTACTGCCCTTTCTGAAAATTGGGACCACTGACGCCACCCTCCAATCCTTTGGAACTTCACCCATTCTCCATGAGGCCTCAAAAATGGAGGCCAACGAGTGCGAGAGTACTCCCCACCAACTTCCGAAGTACCCTTGAGTGTAACCCATCAGGGCCCAGTGCCTTTGTAATGTCCAGTGCCCTGAGGAGCTTGACTTCTAGGGGGTGACTCTAATCTGAGCCCCAAGCAGTAAGTCAGAGATGGGCAGGCAGTCTTGCTGGGTTTTTTAAAAATAAGAACTCAAGGATCCACACAGCTAAGATGCAAAACACGTACACTTAAAATTTGTTTCAGGTGCCAAAAGTGAACTGAGGTCAGTTCACAAAAAAATAATTCCTAGTTACCTGAAGATCTTTTTATTTCATCAGCCTACTATAGGTACAAAATAATGACAGTTTGCTTACCTGTAGCTATAGTTTGAGCTGCCATCTGGGCATTCACACATACGGTCTCTAACGATGCAGAGCCTTTGTTGGGAAGCTTGTATAGGCTTGGCAGGAATCTTTCCCCCATGTACTAATATGTCTTATCCTGTGGGTTCTGAAAACTTGAAACTGCTCTATGACCATATGATACAAGGAAGCACAGCATTGTTACCAATGCAGAATGGGAATAATGGACACTCAGACCTGGATGAAAGGTGGGTTGCATGAATGGACAGATGCCCACTCAAAGAACTACGAGTACAACTACAGGTAAGCAACCTGCCTTTCTTCTTCATGGTCTCTGTGCATCACACTTATGGGCAAATAGCAAGTGAAGTAACTTACTGGAGGGAGAATTGGTGTTGTTACTGTTGAATGGATGGCGTTTGGCCAGAGGAGCAGTCTGTTTGAACCCAAATGCTGAAGTGATGATGCCTGAAGTTGTTGGTTCTGACCAAGTTGTAACTTGGCAAATATCTGCCAACATGATTCCTCTGCTGAACACCCTTGACATAGCTATTTCCCTCAACACTCTGAAGTCAGAGCTGGTGGAGTCTTTGCTGGGAAGGGACATGGTGCTGCTCTGGACCTCCGGAATATGATTCTATAAGGCAGTGACAGTGCCTGAAAAATATTGTCTGAAAGTGTCCTCGAGTGTGAGGCAGTGGGTGGATAATAGCACTGAGCAGCAGCGTATATGAAATGGACTTGGGTGCTGATGTCTTTCTGGACAATTTAAGCCAGGGAGATATCAGAGCACTTCCTGGAGTTGGTATGGTCCACAGATGGAGCCTATTCAGGTATGGAAACTTCATTTCTTGTTGCTGGCTGTGAGAGATATGGTGCATTGCATGAGACATGGTTTTTGAGGCTTGACTGCTTCGAATGCTTTCTTCCACAAAAGAGCCTTTGGTCTGTCCAACCAATTTCATTGTACTTGTTTCATAAATGCCTGGCAAGCACAGATATCAACAACACAGACTTCTAAGCAGAAGAGGCTCAGAAAGTGGCACAGAGAGCTTTTGCTATTGGTGGTATAGAAATAAATAATAACAATAATAGTCAATCTTCTGTGCACCCATGATATACTATAGCAGGAGAACTGGGGGAATCCAGCATTGTACTTCATAAACAGGTCAAGAATTGTTTTTTTGCAGTCTAGTTCTGACTTGGACTTGTTATTGCACTGTTTAAGCATGGGATCAAACTAGTGTTTTATAGTGGAACATGCTTCAGTATTTTCCTAATTGTGAAATTTCTGCAATATTGTGACTGCAAGGGTAGTTGATTTCCAACTTGCACAAACTTGCCAATCCCGATTTGGATAGGCCAATATGGCCATCAGGATTTAAATACTTTAGAAATGTGTTAATGTAAAATGGTTAAGAATATCTGCTCCTTAAGTATTAAAATAGAGAAACTTAAGATACACTACCAAATTCAGATTCTAAAAGAAGTAGTGCAAGTCTTTGGTATAGCTGATCAAAACAGGATCGGGTGAAAGTAAGAATGCTTTATCTATTACGAACTAGGGAAGCAATATAAATCCACACCGAAAGGATGTTTTTGGGGTAAGCATGAACATACACAGCTAATGCAAATTCTATATTTGGAATATCAATGCTATGAACTCCAGTACTGTATACAGCCTCTACTAAAGGTGTAACTTCTGAAAATGGCATGTTGATAGGAAATCCTGATACCTACAAGGAAGGAAAAATACATCAGAATTAGTTGGTTGTCAAGATACTCCATTCTATCATGACCAAAAACCTCCCATCCAGGATGGAGTTGTAATTAATAACATGCTAGTTGTTATTTATTACAGGAGTGAATTACAGGAGCTGTAGGAGTAAAGCATAGAATATATAACTTGATAACTTGAACCAAACCAGAACCTATCTCGTTCATCTATACTTGAAAAAGCAAAGGTTGTAACTCACGCCTGTAGACAGAATGTGTTGGAGTCAGGAATTATATCATTTTTACAAATGGCAGTTAAGAGTCACTAGTGGCTCTTTTAAAATGGCAGTTTGTCTTTTCTTCAGACCTGAACTTAAAAAAATGCTTCAGAATAAAGTCAAATAATAGATGGGTTGTTGATTTAGAAAGTGATATCACCATCTTTACACTTAGTCAACCACTGAGAGGAATAGTTGATAGAACTGTATGTAGATCCTGCAGTATTTAGGTGCATTTCCATAAGGAAATGTCCATTTGTGTATTTTTCTGGCTCACGGGATTGTGATGTTACTATATGAGATGCCAAAAGTTCCTAAAACATTATGAAGGTAAGAAGGTGAATTTGAATTGCAGTATAGCATTTTTGGCAGCATTCCTATCATACTCCCCAAAAACAACTTCAGAAAGCTGTTATGAAAAGATCTTCATAGCAGGCTCAGGGAACACCATTTTAAGTAGGTCACTTGTTGCTTTCTCTAAAAAAAAAATGATATAAATTGGGGTGTGGGGGTGATGTGTGTAAAGCTAAATTTAGAATATTGGTGGTTATACTTAAAACAGTGCACTTGCTGGTGATGTGCTACATCATTATCAGAGTTGGAATGCCTGCACACACCAATTGCTGAGGAGCTTGAGCAGGTGGAACTCTGGACCTATCCTGCTCAAGGGATGCTGTGGGCAGCTGGTTTGCCACCATGTGAATAGAATTCTGGACTAGATGGACCATTGGTCTGATCATGCATGGCTTTACTTGTCTTCTGAATATGAAAGCTAATGAATTAACAGCAGTTTAGGCTAGGAGGAAGGACTAAAGAGGGACGGGGTTTGTAAAAGTCATCTTTAGAAAAAAAAAACTAAATGGATACAGGATATCAGTCTTTTTCTATCTCAGTACTGGAATTTCAGTTATGACAAGGAGTTAAGGAGTGACACAAAAACTATAGCTAACTTACCATTACTGGCTTGTGAAAGTGTAAGACAGGTACACCATCTTTTCAAGCCCCAAATCTGGGGCTAGATGCTAGCATAGGAACATGCAACTCAAATGGCATGAGTGGGCTTCTCCACCTATCTTCCCACAGCTGGCTCTCCATCTCCCTGAAAAGGCCAGCTGTGGGAAGGCAGGTGGAGAAGTCTGTTGGGCAACCTGCTGAATGGATAAGATATGATGGGGAAAGAGGAATCCCCCACAAACTGCACAGTGATAACTTCCATGAAAAGAGCCCCCTACTCCTGGAAGACAGTTTCTGGATCCAGTCCCTGGTGTTTGGTGGGACAACCTGAGAGGGCTTTGTGGTCACTGGTGGAAGAGGAAGATTCCCCCACTATGATTCAAGTTGGGATCAGTGTTACAGAGGTACTTGTACCTCACAGCCACAGAGGGAGCTGTGAAGAGATGCATGAAGTCCATGAACTATGCACCACTGTCACAGAGTGTGGTGATAGTCATTAGCTTAGGGGGCTTTAAAAAGGAAGACTTTTGTGATCTATTCATATTAACTGTGACAATTAACCAATTTAGGAACCAGTAGTGCTCTCAAGACCAAGGGAAATAAGGACATGGTATTATATTCATGCCCTGCTTGTAAGCTGTGTCTGGAAACAGTGCTCTTTCTCGTGATATCTAGCAGGAATATTCTGTTCTCATTTTCACTTTTAGTTAGGTAAAGTTTAGTAAAAGCAGCTGGGAAGGAATGTATTTGTGTCTGGCCCAAGTATCCATGATGTTTGGAGGAGTAGCTCAAATCATAATTTGAACTAGACAAACATTTGGTAGAATAATGTCAGTCCCTCACTGCTGGTTCATCTAGAATATAAATTTTTAAGAATGTCAAAATTCAACCAGAGTTAAGTTAGCTCCTTTGTCTTCTCACAAGTGCAGTTTAGTGGACTCAGGAACTTGCAGCTCCAGAACCCCTCTCCTCCACTGAGTCATGCATTTTCTTTTGTGTGCCTTTCTGGAAAAGGCCCCCATCACCTTCAGAAGAACTCCCTGGACTTGAACCACATTTGGACTCAGTTGCCAGTTTCTGTACATAGAAGTTCAGATCCTAAGGCAGCAAGAAAATCTTACTCTTCAGGTTCAGTGAGAGAAGTCTCTGAACTGGTTCCAGCTTAGGCTTGGGTGTACTCTTTTACCAAAGGCAAGAACTACTTGCTACCCTCAAAATAACCATTTTGGCAACACAGCCCAATTCTCAGATTGGAAAGCCACAGTGCATTCCTTGGAGCCTTGCTTTCTCAACTCATTACCATGTTATTAGCTAAACATTGCACTTATAGCTCTGCTAACCCTTCTGCAAGTGCTAGCAGAACACAGAACCACTACCATAACATGTTCCCACAAGTACATGGCACACAACCCAAATTCTTCAAAATTCACCACTTGTACTGGTCCTTTTGTTTTTATTAAGCGCATAGACCTTTTCACTTTTGCATCCAATTCTTCTCTTACTATTTAACTCACTTTCCAATACTGGCTTTCCCCCATAATGTTCTGACAATTGTCAACCTCATTTTATCATCGGTGTGATGCCTTTCAACACAGTTATTCTGTTCTCTCTTAAACCCATTCTTAGAGCAAAACGTCTGTTCTCACAACTTTTCCCCATCTTTCCCATTTTAATATTTCTAACAAAGCTTCTCATAGTGCCATCCCAGAACTTCTTGCATTGCTGAAGTTCATCTCTGGAAGGTACACACTAGTAGTAATCTGAGGAATCGTTGTAGACGGGGAGTACTAGTTCTAAAAAACGTCAGAGCAATGACATTTCTCACTCAAGCATTCCCTTGCAGGAAGACACCCAGGAGAATCAAGGTACAGAACAGAATGTACCAACGAGACCAGCATAAATTTTGACTTTTCCCTTCTCCTAAAGAAATGACTAAATTTCCAAATATATGTTGTCATCAGGCATACAAAACCCAGCTCCAGCCCAGCAAAGGTAATGTTCTAGCCTTTTTCAGTATGACTCACAAGGAAGCCAGCAAAAAGGCTTTCATTCCATTACAAGCTAGAACAGAGGTTCCATTATGTTAGTGGATGAAATGGCTCATAAGCCTAACACAAACGATGCACTGTGCTGAGCTGAAAGATGCCATTGTGGAATGATGTGTGAGAACTACTTTTGAACGGTGTCTATAATTTTACTGTTAATTTAATGTTGTAACATTTGACACAGTACCCTATAATCTCCCAGTTGCTTCTGTAATTCTGCCTGATGGTCATCATCCATATCTTTGCCCTGATTCTTCTCCAGCAAAGGCAAGAAGTGCCGAAGGGTTGAGGTACAGTATCTGTTCCAACGTGTCAAGTGTCTTGGCCGCCATTCCATAATCTTTTCTTTCAGTATCTTCTCAAGTCTAATATTTACAAAATAAAGTTTGAAATGCTGAAATTTTGTTGGTTTCACAAGATGGTGAACACCTGTAAGACATCTGGGTTGACTTCTGCTGTATTGATTACTGTCCATATTTGTATCAAGAAAAAAACCAGGACAACTTCAGGCTGAATTCCTTAACTACACCCAGTTTCAAAATATTCCTGTTCGGTAATTACTCTGCACGGAGGATTTACACTTGCTGAAGGATATTTACAGACTGGGGAAGGAGTGGGGTGTGTGATGCACTTAAAAGAAAAATGCCTACACCTAAAAAAGTAGGTATCAGGAAGGAAGCGGCTAGATTAGACTTTCTACATGTTAGTTTTCCCTTTGCAGGGAATGCTTTTTACAGAGCAATCATGAGGAACATCTAGCCCATGAATGAGGGCCCCTCAATCCAGCTTGCACAGCTGTTTACCATAGGAGCATCCCATCCCATTTTCAAACTATGCCTGCGGAAAGGCCCTTGTCTCCTGCTCATTTTCCCGATCAGGGAAGGTGAGTAAGGAGTGAATCTGGCTCTAGACTTGGCCTGCACCTCAAGGAGTTGCGCTTTGAGATGCTGTTTGACAAGGGGAAGGTGAGACAGCCAAAACTCATTCTAGGTGTGTATGTATATCTTGTATCTATATTTATCATATACATATAAATACATGCACACACAGAAGCATACTTGTTAGAGGCAGCATAGCCTACCCACTTAGGCTATAACCCACCAGTATGCTTGTCTGGAATAAATGTTGCCTTTGTGTCAAAACATCTTTCCTATCCCTGATTCAGAGGAACATTAAATCTTGTTAGACCACACAATAGCATGAAGTACCAATGCCGTTTGTGAAAACCAAAACCAGTATGTTAAAGAATCTCAGATATATAGCAGGTTGAACAAATACACTGCAGAATAAGCATATAATTGCCTAAGAAAGTAGTAAGATGCTAATTTTTCCAAATGTCTTTGGAAAGTCATGATTTCTTAGGAAACCAAGAAAAGCAATTAAGCAAAGTAATTCATTGCCAAAACTGTCTAACATCTGACAGCCAGCTGACTTCAGACAGATACAATAATTAATGCAGTTGCAAACACATTAGGCAAGATCACCTGCTCTGTAGATCTAGTGCAGCTGCCTTATCTGCGCGTTGGTAGAATATTTCTTCTGGCTGACAAAAGAAGCAACAAAGGATAATTTTGCATTTAAGAAATGTAAAATATGTAGCTTCTTAAAGATCAAAACATTCTACTAGTTAAAAATTCATTGTACTTCTACTATTTCAAGCTGCAGTGAACCAGATCTGTGATAGGTGGCTCAAGTGCCCAGCGTAATAACAATAGTTTTGATATGTATTCTCTTACCCTTACAAGGCTCTTGTTATTGATTTAATATATGAAGGGGGACCCAACCCCCCCCCCAAAAACCAAATTATCTTCTGGAGGGCAGGCCCCTTGCGGTACAGGCTTCTCCCACTGAGAGTGTTCTAGGAACCCATCTGCATCTGTGTACTAGGTTGTGTTGTTGCGAGAGGCTGCGTTCGGCTTAAGTGAGGATTTTTTTTGGAGACTCTTTCAACATGTTTGCCTATTTTGTGATGGCTGATTTACACAAACTATGTGCAGTGGTGAAATTTTGTTCAGCTGAGTGTTCAGCAGTTTTTGAAAAAAAGGAAGACTCTTATGCCCCACCCTCCCTGTTTACCCGAACATGCTCTGAGCAATGGTTGTTTTTTTGTTTTGTTTCCTCAGATGAAAAAAGTCCTCAAAGGGAAACATTTTTCTGATGGGCAAGAGGTGAAACAAAAAATGGCAGCAGCGCTAAAAGGCATCAAAATCGACAAGTTCAAAACCTGTTTTGAGCAGTGGAAAAAAATATCTTGATAGGTGTATTGCATCAAATGGAGAGTAGTGTGAAGGTGACTGAAGTTTCAACATGTAAAAATAAATGCATGTTTTTTTTATAAACAAATTCCTGCTTTTTTGCCCCCCCCCCTCCCATTAACACAAATGAAAATCTATCCAAACTGACTTGGGAACCAGTTTTCTATCCTGCTGCACAGTCCTCACTTCCTTAGTAGCAATGAATTCCACTGGCAACACTGCAGGGCTCAGTATCTTTTAGATAAGAGTGCTGAAAACTTAAGGTGACAGATAGACCAACAAAGCACATGTTCCTAGTGTAGGCAGCAAATTCTACATCAGAGCTCTGGAGAGCCCTTGCATTCTAAGTAGCCTTGCATTAGCCGAATGCTTTACCTTCTCAAGTGCTGATGGCTGTTACATTTCAAAAGATGGAGAAAATTTCCCTCCTGTCTAGAGAACATCTCTTATTCATTCCTGTTGATTAAACTAAGGCCTATCCTAGCCTATTGGTAGGCAACCGGCCTCATTTTAAAAATGGTCACTCACGATCTAGAATGATCAGTATTTATAAGGACTAGGCTGCATATTGGTGCTAAGTTTTCCTTAGGTTATCATGAAAAAAGAATCCTGCACCTCCCAATATAGCCTCATTACATTTCTGCAATATCATCTCAAAATGTACACCACAAACCTTTCCTCCTGGTGTCCACATCCTTTTGAATGAGACAGACATTTTGCCCTCTACTACTGCTCACTAATAAGTATACTGTAATAAGAAGTCTGCAATATTACTTCAAACATCACAAGATTCTTCCATGAGAAGCACAGATAATAGGTTTCTTGTTTGAGTGGCAGACACCTCACACATATCTTCAGTAAATCAAAGAATATAATCATTTTCTCTAAAATTAATCAACACCAATTCACATCATGTCAGTTTTTTCATGTATCTATCCCATATTCTCTCTTAAGAGGAATGACGTTGTCTCAAATATAAAGGAAAGGTTGCAAATATCATTTTCTGTGCTACAAGATCTCCAAATACAAAGTCCAATACTACCTGTACACTGGAGAGACCAGGAAATGGCAAACTTCTGGAAAAAAAGGGTTTCCATAATTTGGATTTGCTGACATCGAAGCTTATTCTTAGTGGGGACTCATATTGTTGAATATTGAACCAGACCTAAGAAAGAGTAGCTTTGTTCATTATTATATCTTTCAGTAACAAAACTAATTTTGCACTCTGTTGGCTTGGATATATAGAGCTCTTAAGGCTCATGTACTCTGAAGAATGTCATGCACCACCCTAATGGAATTTTGACACATTGTTAATAGCTGAACTGCATGGCATACCACATAGTGCTTTTGAACCTCTCACTTCAGATTGACATCTGGAAGTGACTGGGTGCGGGGAGCTCGTGGGGGGGGGGAGGATGGGGGAACAAGTCTAGGGCTGCCTGAATTTGCAGGACTAGTTCACACATAGGTGGGATTGTTGCTATAATTTTACAGCATGCATTTCCTATTTTCTTGTTGTGTAAAAAACTGGTATAGTACTTGAATGTTTCCACTTAAATAAATTAGTACTATTCTGATGTGGGCTGTGCAGAACCTTCTTCAAGCTAAATAGCTAGGCAGAAGGCTACGGTCATAAACCAAAATTACCAACCCTTCCCTCCTTGCCTGATAAACAGCTGAATGAGCAGCCGTTTCAGGAACAGGAAGGAGAACCTGGCACCCTCACGCTTCCAAGGGGTTTTTTCCCCATAAAAATGTTCAAAGGAGACACGTAGTGGAGAGCGTCACAGGCATCCTTAGAGGTTCCTGTGGACTCCTGTGAATACTGATACCTATACAACATGCTTCCTTTCATTTAACAAAGAAATGTTTATTGCATTCTGATAATTTGAGAACTAAATAAAGAAAAATAACAATGGCCTCATGATCTTACTACTGCAACTCCACAGCCATGTCCAACCATGAATGGAAAACAATAGCTGACTTTTAAGTCCAGTGGTTACTCACCAGAATATATATTTCCCCCCCTGCCAGAGCAGAGAAAATGTGTGCTTTTTTGGGTGGAGGGGCACTTTTAATATAGTGCTTGCCAGAGCCACAAGCAGGAAGGAGGGCTATAGCCATGTAAATGAGATGTCCTAAGATGGATTGGTTTGCTGGCTCTTGCAGGATTTCCATCAGGAGTGTGCCAAAGTAGGAGCACCCATGAAACAAAAAACTGAAAGGGGGCCAAATGTCCATGATGGAGAACATGCTTTACATGCAGAGGGCTGCTGGCTGGGCTGCTGGCATCTCCACTTAAATAATGGATCCCAGAAGACAGCCAACCCTATGAGTGTGGGGAGCCCCTGCTCACCACTGACACTCTTGGTCTACTGGATTGGTGGCCTGACTCAGCCTGTGCTCATTAGATAAGTGACAGATTCCGGGAGGTGAATTACTTACGTTGTCATGGGAAATTAAGCAGCTTACACTTTGCAGTGGACAGAAAGCATCATATTGTCTGTAAAAGCGGCCACAACTGGGATTCCAGATGACATACTGGTTTTGTTCCCAAGTAAGCACATATGCTGTCGGTCCCTGGGAATACATTTTTAAAAGTCTCTTATTGTGCAGAATATATTTAAATTTTAATGCAGATTTTACCCTGTGATCAGTGTAGGTTGTCTTGCATACTATATATGCTGCAGCTCATTTTTTCTGCAGTAATTTCAGTGAAGGTTATCAAGTACACAGCTTGCAGATTCCATCCATAATTCATATCATGTATAAATATTATTTTCTCATGAAACCCTAGCTAAGCCACTAAACTGAGGATGAAATTACAGTTTGGTTTAACTGGAAAGCCTGCATATTCCACTGTCAACAGAAACTGATGGACAAAAAAATACCATCTTAGGGAGGTCACATGTGATGTACTATATCCAGTGAAGTCCAAATATTAATCCAACTCAACTGCTTCCCAGGGAAGTCTTTATCATCATGGAGCTTGGCAAATGCCCTCATACAGCCTTGTAATCTATCCACATAGAACCATTCTACTTAGTCTGAAGCTCAAAACATGGACACTAATTCTATATTGTAGGCAATATAAAAACTGAAGTGCCTGTTGCATCTAGTCTCAGGTACAAACTTATTTTAAAACCTTTGCTTGTACGATAAAATGCAACCATTGTTTGTGACGCAGCACAAACTGTGAAGAAATTACATAGTCACAGACCTGTGGAAATTTGCTTAAGCTTAATAATTGTCTTACCTCAGGAATTGCATTTCCAATTAAAAGCCAGGCCTTCTTGCCAAGAGCAAGAAAATAATTACACAAGAGCACAGCATGTTCTTCCTCATCTCCAGCCAAAAGATCAAGGAATTGCTAATGAACAGTAAGCAAACAGGTTTTATTACTAGCCGTTTTAATATTCCTACTATATTTGAATTAAGCAGGATTGTTCTCTGTAAGGTACAGCTCTGTTTGTCTAGAAATGTTCTAATGCCCACTGAGATTGCAAGTCAAAGAAACTGAATGATGATTGAAACTGTCAAATCATCGACTCTCACTTGCAGGAGCTGCTGCACTATGGCTGCTAGCATGATTTCATTTTTCCTTTGGAGTGGTTCAGCTTATGCAGCACCAAGGCAGACTATGAATATTTTTAATAAGTAAAAAATTCCATGTTCAGCCATGGTACATGATTTATGTATGAAGAATATTTGTACCCTAGTGAAAAAGATGAATCACTCAAAAGGAAAGCAGAAAGGCATCTCTAACCCACGTTGTGGCTGGGTGCAGTCCTGGACTGGACCTTTGAGACTGCTTGCAGCTTCTGTGATTCTGGAAATTCCATGCTTTGCAGGAATGTAAAGCATGGCTGCATTCTCTGAGATGTCCAATCTCTCCAGGTGCAGTTCAGATATTAAATTTCATCATTCTGGTATAATTTGGGCTTTTGGCTCCAACTGTATGTCTTTGGGAGGGCTATTCATGAGCCACGAGTTTTTATCCTTACTGAACAGAGAGGGAGGCCCATCCCCTTAAGGGGAGATTGAACCATGACCCCTCCTCCCAATCCCCTGCAAAAGGTCCTGCTTTGCTCAGGGACATAGCTTGGTCTTAAAAAGACCCTGGGCATCTGTAAATACACATTTAGAATTGCTAGAATGTATTGAAATCTCACTAACATAAGCACAAACAATAAGAATGAACTGTAACGAGTGCCTCTGAGCAAATACAGAATGCTTTTCTCATACCACATGCTCCTACACACTTTATAGTAGCAGAATATAACCCACCGAGATTAAAACCTCAACATTCCTATTTTAAAGACAGAGCACTGACATCCTCAGTTACAAGTAAACAGTAACCAGATTACATACACTGTTCTTGGGTTTTTTTTGCAACTCTCCCCTAGCTCTTCCTTGTTATAAGCAAGCTCTCTTTGTTTCCTCTTCCCCATAACTCAGTATGTACCAACCCTTCCAGGACTCAGAAGTGTTTTACTGCCCCCAACACCAGGGCTACATTACAGGGGAAGCACTGCTGACCATGTCTTTCTTTGGAGCTGACTCTGCGCAAAAGGAAAAATGCTACTGATAAAGCATGCATAGGACGTGGCTGAAAGGGTAGCCAAATCTGTCAAGTGGAAGGAGGCAGGCAGCTCAGTAGTCCTCCAGTACAATGCTTGGTTCCTGAATGAACACTCAGAGGATCCGGATGCAAAAAATAACTACAGCCTACATTCACTTTCCTGGGCACAGTGAAACCTATACTGAGTAGACAGACACAGGACTGTGTGAGAGAGTAGTATTTATCTCCCCGCTCCTCCTGTTTTAATTCAAGCTTGTTCCATTTGTGGAAAACAGCAACTATCAAACATGATAGCCTGGAATTCCTTCCTCTGCATCCACATGGTTCAGAGCTTCTCCCACTTACCACCCTCAAGCCTTGGCCAGGATGGTACAAAGGGGAGAAAGAGAGAACAGAGTAGGGGAGGAAGGAAGGCTGCTCTGAACAGCCAAAGAGAGACTCCCCCAAAAATGTCTCCTTTGGAGATGGAGCACTTCAGAAGAATGTGGGTGTGGATGGGGCAGAGGTCTGAGAGGGTTGTACGTACTTCAGCTAACCTTCCAAGGTGAGATACCTGAGAGTTTTTGTTCTTGCTTTTTAAAAAAATGGTAGAACTTATTTAAACGCCCTGCACCAGTTGGCAACACAGGCTGTTCAGTATGCTCTGGAGTATGACATTACATAACCAGGCCTATCTTAACTCTTTTTTTTGGGGGGGGGGGTATAATCTGCTGCTTGTAGCTTTGTGTAAGGGGTTCGAAGCCGGGGGGGGGGGAATCTTTGTAGGCTAATTATATCCCAGACTATGCTGAGGCCAGTAGGCTTCTATAGAAGCCAAAAGTTTCTGTTTAGGCAGCAAAAAGAGATGTGTGAACTACCAGTATTTTACAGGAAAAATTTCCTGCTGTTCCTGCTCCTCCAATGTTCTTTGCAAGTCATCTCCTAGCAGTGGGCAGGTAAGAAGGACTGTGCAACCTATAATAAAAGGATCTAATTTGCATGTTATGCTAAAGCTCTTATACAGGATCTTCAGAGAAGGAAAAACCAGAAGATGGAACAATATTTTGTCCCCTTTGTTTGTTCCAATGAGAACTAGACAAGTTATGTGAAAATAAATAAAAATTATAAGGCGTCATCACAATATGGTAGTTCCCATATGTGCCACCTTACTAGCTAAGCCATTCCACAAGCCATGCTTCTTTATCAGGCCTTCACTTTAGCTGTTCTAGACATGCACAAGAAGGGGGAAAGAAGAGAAGGCTAGCGAGAGACAAATAATGAGCTGACAAGAAGAAAAAGGGACAGCGTATCTCAAAGGCTGCTGCCTTTGTGCTATGCCTCCTTGCTGGTCTACTAAGGCGATGGGTATGACAGTGTCCTAGATATGTAAAGCTAGTGAAGAGGAAGGCTTGTGTTGATGCAGTTGTTGCCACTGGGGGAACTCCAAAGGCTGGGCCACAGATCAGAAAAGGCAGGGTACATGTTCCATGGAGTCACTTATCTTCCCAACCAAAGCTCCAACATTAGAACTGGCTAAAAGGGGCAGTGGTATGGTATGCGCAGACTGGGGCAGGCTTTGGATCCACAGGCCTTGCTGGTCTCCTATCACACCATGAACATGAGGTTAAGTGTACATCAGCGAATAATTTGCAAGCAAAGGGATCAAAATGGGCCACACACCCCACAGAGCAGGAAAGGAAAACCATGTGGCACCTGCTCAAATTCTGCCCTGATGGAACAAGCCTGTTGGATGTGTCAGAAGCTCCCTTATAAGGGTACTCTGAAGCTAAAGGCAGACTTTCCTGTTGTGCACTATTAAGGACTTATATCAAACTCCTCACCTAAGCATCTGTGGCACATAGACCTACTAAATAAAACCTTTCTGCTTTCCTGTATAATGCATACCATGGACTATCTATATACTTTACAGTTCCAGCAAACAATTTTTCATTGTAGAAATATTCCATGCTTTTTCTGCTAGTCAGGTAAGGTAGAAGATGAGCTCAAACTGGCAAAAGTGAAAGACCTGGCAACCCCTCATAAAATTTAATTATCAGTTTTTCCTCCCAAGGTGTGTCCAGATATATACACATTTACTTGTTCTGTTCTGAAACAACTGCTACTTCAACTGAAAAGAAACTGAACAATTTGTAGACAGACACTAAAGATAAATGATCTATCTTTTACTTACATCTGATGTGCTCCATAAATCACAGATACCAGCAAATGATACATTATCTGGTAAGAAGGGAATCAAGGCAACGTAGCGGGCCACCAGCTCCTACACACAGAAATCAAAAGCACTCTCATTAGTTTGGTGCTGACTAACTGGCTTTAGCACAGTGGCCCCCAGACTCTGCTTGGAATATATAAAGAGGCCACTTTCCCTTTTTCAAACCATCTTTACTTCCAGCAGTGGCTGGTGGCTCTGTGTCCATGGGGTGGCAAAATCCCTTCAGATTTCAGTGGGAACCCTAAAGGAACCACCTGTGATGCTGATCCTATTTGGGGAATGGGTTCAGTGCCACAGACAGCTTCTTAGCAGTTCAGGCTAAATCTCAGAGTGGATACCATATCCCAGTGACGCTGTACTACCAGTGTTTTTTCTGTCTAGTTTGCCATAACCCGCAGCAAGTAACTGCTGATTTCCTTGAGGTTTCTCCTTGTTGCTCCAATTCAGGCAGTATGCAACCAGGGCCTTATCTCAGCTGCGGATAAGTGATTCATTTCATAGAATGGGATGTACAATGTTTAACAAAAACAAACAAGAATGCTAATAGGGCTATTTGAGAAGGTATGAATATGGAAAATGGTATAATAAACTACTAAGCTGATTATAATATTATTTGTAAGGTGACACTTGGGCCACAGACTATTAGAATGTTCCCCAGTATGAGCTTCCCTGAAATGGCTGACAACTTTGAGAGACTGCTATAATGCTAGAGAACCTCCTGGTGGATCTCGGTTCCTATGGCAAAGCTTCTTATCCTTCCAGACTGATTTTATCTGGGAGGATAAGGGAGGCTCCCACACAAGTCTAGAACACAAGCATATTCCCCACGGGTCTTCCTCCTCCATTACTTCCAGCAGAACCTCTTAGGGTGTCTCAGTGGTAGGGAAAAGAATCCAATCTTTGCATCCCTAAATATACCTTTTATTTCCTTGCATACAACACACTTACACAAGTTGCTTGAAGATTGTCAGCATGAACCTGCAAAAGTTCCTCTGGTGGGTTTAGGGATTTGAGGTATCTAGTAATGAAGACTGTTTTTCCACTGATGTCAATTACTGTTGTCAGGCACTGACGGCTTGGAAACTTCAGTGCACATTCAACTTGAAATTTCTCAGCTGCTTCGAGAAGCTTCTCATCTTCTTGGGTGTCAAACTTGAGGGTAGGGAAAGAGGAAAGTTTATTTACTAATGTCCTGAAATTCATGACAAAAGGCCTAAATGTGTACTCCATTCAAGCCTAGGAAAATGCATACATGCTGAGGTGTGACATGACATCTGAACTGAGCCCTGGCATTCTGCATGCAACCTCCAGGTCTTCTGAAGTTCTACATTATACAGTGGTGTAGTGCTGCAGGACCTTAGCTGGCTTTTGATGACCAAGATGGAAATGTTAGCGTTTAATCCTGACATTGCCAGTGTTCTTTCTAATCTTGATTTTATTCATGTTATTAAAATACTTGTATCTATCATGAATCTTTTGGATCAGCAAAGACAGGAATGTAATTTAACTGCAGTCTTGAGTGTTTTTGTGATCACACATCTCAAAGGTGTTGATGTTTAACTGTTTTCCCATAACAGTGGAGGCCAATTCAAATTTTAGGTAAGATCCAATGTAAATACTATTTAGAATAGACTCATTAAAATGAAGGTGGCTTAAGTTAGCCATGATAACCTGAAGTCTTATTCATTTCAAGAGCCCGACTCTAAGTAAGGTTTATTTTGCATTTTATTTTGGTTTCTTTGAATTCTAATGGGAAAAAAATGTATGTTTTGGTACCATCAGTTATGAAGGAATATGCGGAAACTGAGTGACCTACAGAAATGTAAATAACTGGCTTTTACTGTAACTTGGTGGCCTTGTTTCTGTTTTGCTACTTAAATTGTCTGCTCTTTGCACCCACATTCAAAATGTAAATTTAACTCCAGCTGGTTTATAGCAATAAAGAGCAGTGAGGTTGCCATGCTTTATATCCAAAATGCACTACCATAAATTTAATTTAACAAGTAACTGCCTTTCTAAAGGGCAATTTACAAGTTACAACAATGCTGTACAAGATCTGGTTTAAGACTGAAATAAAAACATTCCTGTGGATATTTAGAACAGATTTCTATTCTCTGTCTAGTCCCCACTTTCTTTTTACTAGGGCAATTCCCTCACAATTTGTCCCTCTTCTTCATTTATTCTTCCCTTTTTCACTTTTACACAGCCTCCTTAGATCCCAAAGCTATTTCCCCTTTCCTTTACCCCACAGTTTGCACCCCTTCAACTTCACTTTTATTTTTTGATTCACCTCCTTCCCTGAACAGAGTTTCATTTGACCAGGGACTCTCAGGGCAGAGTTCCAAAACCTCCTTCAGTGATCAGACTGAGTTCTGGAAGGTGTGCAGTCATAGAAATAAGGGGCTTAACATTTGTGGTAGGTTTGAGCCTAAACACTTCTGAAAGCAAAGGGTTGGAGGTGCCAGAAAACACCAGCAAAAACAGGATATGCACAGATCCCCAGCTCTCCCTTACTTTCTCCTAGGAAATCTTTTGGTGCCTATATTTTTCAAAACTGTCTGTATCTCTGGTTTAAAGTATTTTATCACAAATCATTTAAAAACAACATCAAAAATCTAACGTAATGTGCATTATGTGAATATGCATATTTTATGAGAAAACAACACGTCTAATTCTTAAAAATTGTGAAATGCCTAATCCGAATCAATCATCACCCTTTAAAATTATATGTATGCATATAAAATAGTACCTTCTTAAGCATTTCATTCATCTACACAAATTCGGGAAGGTTAGCAAGAGGAAAAACAAAGATATGAACAATATAACATAACATACAATAATGTGAAAGATCAGAAAAGCTAAGCAGCTAAGTCAATGCAGGCACACATCCAAGTATTTAACCTTAATGAAACCTTAAAAGTAATGCAATGGAACAGGAGCAAGTGCTAGAACAGCGGGTGAAGAACATAACTTCACCAGAGCACATAAATGTAAGCATAACTGCTCTTGATCTCTAAAACCATGTAATCCAACCAAAGAGGATCTTGTGGCACCGTATGAAATTTAAGTCCTCCATGCAGGCCCTACTCCCATCATACTGATAGACAGTTGATAGCAATAGAAATAAAATAAAAATCAATGTGCTTTTCATAGTCTTCATACTGTTATCACAACAATGGGATTGTGGTTGCACAGCTTCCAAAGGAGACCTGCTAGGAAGTTTTGGAAATGAAGAGGTACCATCAGACACATTCCTTTGATAGTGTTTTCAGAGAGAATGTTCCCAGTACAAGCGTTACAAACAGTGAACATTCATTTCCCACCACTTCTATCCTTATCTTTCTGTTTCAGAACACAGTAAACAGCTGTTTGGCTATGCTTCCTTACCTGAATTACTTCTTTCTCCAATATTTACCATTTAGTTTGATAGCACTGTCTAGCTAACATTTTGATAGCAACTGGCTTTCAAATGCTCAAACTGAAATGTCTCTTTATTACTTTTTAAGTTTGGTAATACAGCTTTTTGTTGCAATGTCAAAGTATATGGTATATCCTTTCCTTTCTAATTCTTAAGCAAATTTGTTTTGTCTTGAAGAACTAGCTAATGCTGTTTCTGAAAGAGAATAAATGAGATCAGCACAATCTCCTGAAAGAATTCCTGAAATGCACGGCTAAGTTTAAGTTAGAAATAAACACCTTGTGGTGATAACTGCTCAATCGCTATCTCTCTGACATTTTCTAAAACAAATCGCAAGCTACTAGACCCAGGCATCCCTGCCGTGTGTTCCAGCCTGTCCTTACTTTTAACCTTTGCTCTTCCCACTCTCCTTCCCTCAACCACCCATAAGACTCCAGCTCCCATCTCTCTACCCCAGGGGTCCTCACACTTTTTCAATAGGGGCAGGCGGGCCGGTGAGGCATCTCAGGTGTGCACGATGTGGTGTTGGGTGCATGCGGCGGCGGCGACTCGCTCGCTCAGTCCAAAACCATCTCCGAGTGAGCAAGCCACCGCCTCCCACGCGTGGACGGCGGTGCGGGCTGGATGAAAGGACATGACGGGCCGGATCCATCCCGCAGGCCATAGTTTGAGGACCCATGCTGTACCCCATTCTCCCCTAAAAATACCTACCTATGCCACGGAAAATGGCAGCAAGCCATTAAGCTTGGAATTCTCAAAAGAACAGTAGCTGCATAACTATGGAAGTTGCTGTTAATTATAATAAAATATGTGTCAGATAGGATTAACCACTCTATGCTAATTTGATTTACCAATTATAGGCATCCTAATAATAGAAACTGAATTTTGGTGAGCACAAATAGCTACAGAATTTAGACAACACTGTTTACAAGGTTTAACATGTAGTCCAATTTTAAAACAAGGACTTCCATCCTCTGTTACTGTGCTATATCCTTCTATAGATGGATACGCCTTTTTTTCAAATGCCCTTATTTGTAAATAAAGGTGCATACACCTGCTAAGGCAGCAAGGCACAATAAATTGCCTAAGCCACAACTCACAGGTCATTCATACTGAGTTGGCCTCACAACCTTTGATACAACTAGAGCTGTTACATATTAAGTGAATGGCCACCCTACCAAATGTAAAATAATAAGCAGATATAAATCCTTTACCTTTTCCCGAACTGATTCTCCAGGAATGAGCTGGGGTTCAATAGTAATAAAAAGTGATAAATAGGAGCCCTCAGTCAGATTTCGAAAAGAATCATAGCCTCTTTCAGGTCCCAGATTTTTTCCCTTAATATATCCAAGAAGAACTGGAGGAATGTCAATCCTAAATGTTCCATCAATCTAAATGAAGAGAAACACAACTACATTTATTAATATGCAGTAGAGCAGTAACCAACCAAGAAGGGCAAATTGTTTGTTTTCTTAATAATAAAAAGATGCCTTATTTTGATACCTTTTTTCACTGACCCAGATTCTGGATATGCTGGTGCTTCACTGCCTATTTACTTACTCGTGATTGAAAATACACTGTTGTAAATGGAATTCGAACAGATCCGAGCCAGTGCTTCTCCACCCGAGTGTGGACTCCACCACTTTCTCTTTCACGATCATCCTAACAAAGCAAAGAAAAACAAAATCCACAACCACTTTGACAAACATTTGCAAAAAGGCAGGTTGCTTACCTGTAACTGTCATTCTTTGAGTGGTCATCTGTGCGTTCACACCTATGGGTTTGCTGCAGACTGCAAGGCCTCGACTGGATTAAATTTCCAAAGCTCGGCATCATGGAGTGGGCGGGAGCGCGGCCCTCCCCCTGCGCAGGTAGCATAAGAGGGGGGGCTCCCACCCAGTCCCTCAGTTGCCTGAAGACCGTGCTGTCTCAGGCATGCGAGTGATCGGAGGAACCTACGAAGGATACAGCGGTGGCTGCGCCCTGCTCCAGCCCACGCAGGGCGAGAGGCTGACGATAGCCAGTGGGGCGGAGGGCAGGTTGTGTGAATGCACGGATGACCACTCGAAGAACAAGTTACAGGTAAACTACCTGCCTTTCTTCTTCATGGTCTCTGTGCAATCACACCAATGGGCGACTAGCAAGCTTACCATCCAGGAGGGGGGGGCTGTCATCACTGGAGAATCGCAGAGAGCACTGCCCTTCCAAAAGCGCAGTCCTGTCTGGTGCGGATGTCCAGCTGGTAGTGGTGGACAAAGGTCAAGGGCGTGGACCACATTGCGGCCTTGCAGATCTCTTGGAGCGAGACACCAGCTGGCAGTGCAGTAGGTGGCTTGCGCGCGTGGAGTGGGCACGTGGGCAGTCTGTTGGGAATGTTGGCCATCTCATAGGCAAGGGAGATGGTGCTGAAGAACAACTTACAAGTCTTTGACTGGAGATGGGTTCACCTGCTCTGGGGCCCTTGTAGCATATGAAGAGGCACTCAGAGCAGTGTAATGGCTCAGTCTGGGCCATATAAAAGGGTCCACTAGTGTGGACTGATCCCTCTGGAGGGGTGCCCTGCATGGACTGCACTATGACAGAGTTGGTCTTGGGGTGCTGGAGGAGCAGAGGGAAGGCCTTGATGGTCACCCTATAAGCAGACTCAGCCCTGCATGAGTTGGCCAAGGGCCCTGCAGGGGCTTTCCAGAGCTGTGTGCCATGCAGAGCAGTGCAGCGAGCGGGGATGATCATAGGGAGGCTATCCCCTGAGGCCAGTGCATCGTAGCATGGGACGGCCTCAGGCTTGGGTGGTTGGGAGGTGTCAAAACCAAGGTCCTCAGCCAAGTGGAGAACCAAGTCAGAGAAGCCTCCCCTCTTTGGCAGGAGGGAAAGAAAAGTCCTGCTCTAAAGCCTGACCATCTGGAGAGTAGAGCAGCTTGTCCCTGGAGGTGGTGGCATGGCTCGGCTCCCTGTGGGGAGAGGCATGGTGGCAGCAGTGAGGGTCCGCAGTGTGGTGGTCCCTGCCGCAGGCTCCTGGCTTCCAGGATGGCTCCTCCTGGTCCCACACTGTGCTGACGTGTGCATGCGCTCTGCCTTGGGCAGGGAGGCGGGAGAGCAGCGGCGGCACTGGTGATGCTCATAGAGAGTGTAGCACTTCGGGCACAGCGTTCACAGCGGGGCCTGAGTCTGGGGGCCATAAATCAGGCTCGGGCACAGGGAGTGTGGTCCTCCAACAAGGTTGAGTCAAAGTCAGCTGGCATGTTCTCCTTGTGCGCGGAGTCAATGGAGGCAAACTGGAGCAGAGAGTTTGATGACAAAGTCCCCCACGACTCCTAAGGGGGGATGTGGCATGTCTGCCGGCCTCACAGTGAGATGGTGGTGCCCACAAGCACCGGTAGCAGCTGGTGATCCCCCGAGAGGGTGGAGGAGTGGATGACAGCCTCTGCTGCTGAAGTGGCCGCCGGACTGCGTGCGTGCCGGTGAAACGCCGGGCGTGGGCAGGCTCCCAGCCACCATGGCATTGGGATTGCAGGGGTCTCCAAGGCCCCAAAGGCTGGGGACCTCGGCCAGTCCGCAGTGCCCTCAGCTGCCGGGGGGGGGGGATCTTTTGTGGTGCTGTTTCCTCCTTGTAGGAGCTGTGGCGCTGGAGGGGCCCTCACCTGGGGAGGCCGCCCATTTCCTTGCCCTGTGGGGCCTTGGATGTGTCCTCTGTGCGGGGATTGTCACCCTCAGAGGGGTCGACTGTGGTGAGGGCCCTCTGCTATAGGGCCTACTGGAGGTGGGTGGCCCTCTGCTGGCACATTTGTTTTTTAAAGGCCTGGCAGTGAGGGCAGGTCTCCACGATGTGCCCCTTGCCCAGGCAGAGGAGGCACTTGGAGTGCCTTTCTTTAGCAGGCATTTGGGCTGCGCAAGAGATGAAGTGGCTCGAACGGGAGCACATGTGGCAGAGGGAAGAGGAGACTGGAGAGGTTTGTTTAAGGAGGGGGGAGGGGGGGACTTCTCCCTCTAGATGGGAAAAGAGATGAGCAGAGAAAATATGTTTGTTTGTTTTTTAATAGTGAAAAGAGAAGAGAGAGGGAAAGAAAGACAAAATGGGGAACCAGGTTTGCTTTGTGAATGGAGATCTGATCTGAAGCAACTCATAAAGCAAGGGAGTCCCCCGCTTTTTGCTACCAGCACAGGGGAAGGGCTGGGCTCCTGCCCACTCCTGATGCTGAGCTTTGGAAATTTAATCTGATCAAAGTCTTGCATTCCGTGGCAAGCCCATAGGTGTGATTGCACAGAGACCATGAAGAACAAACTTAATATTTATGTCTCCTCTGCATTTCCATGCTTATTAATGTATACATTAAGTTCCTGCATGGTAAAATGTCTAAGAGAAAACACACATCTTTTTTTATGTACTGGTGTAATGTACATCTTTGCTGTATTACTGTTTTTATTTAGTGTTATTGTTTTTTACTACTATGTTTTATCTTGAGAGCATCTGGCAATAAAAGTAGGATGCAGACCCCATAAGCTAACAACGCAACAAGAGAAAGTCAGTTAGGTCACATATAATTGGTCCTATCACAGAATGTCTCTGGGTGCTACAGGGCTCACTTGCATGTTGTTGCCCACCTGCTCTGCGTCTCCCCATGGGGGCAAATGAGGTTAAGGCTTGTGGTTCACATACTTCCCCTTGGCACAACCCCATGAGTGAAGTTCTCACTTATCAATTATAGATGCATGGGATCTCTTTGTTCACTTCTCCCCACAATAAGGGAAACAGGGAAAATCTCCCCCTGCAGAAGACTCACCTCGAGAAACAGTATCTAAACAAGCTCACAATAAGCCAACTGTAAGTCCAGGAGAGCTAAACACACATTTGTTACCTATAATTTCATGGTAACCACACCACAGAGCAAACTATTTAATACAGGTAGCTCAAATACATCCCTGGTAATGTAGAGGTATAGAAAGTTCCATGATTAGAACAATGTTGTCATTAGAGTCACAGGTCCTACACTGGTGAACGTACCCAGAAAATGCTGGAGGATAATGGTGCTTGACGAAGAACCAAGGCAGCAAAGCAAGAGGAAGAGTGTTTTTTCCACCCATTTTGTGCCTTTCATGACTTGCTTCAGCACCATTTCTCCCCTTTTTATTTTTTTTAAAGTTCTGCTTCTGCCTGCTGAGAAAAGTTATCCCACTGCACTTCGTGAAAACACCATCAAGTCAGTAAGGTTTGGCTAGGTGGCAATGCTATTAAGCAGTTCAAGTTGAAGCCCAGGATTCCTGCATTTGTTCTAGATATGGGGAATGGAAATGGGTTGAAAATGTTTCCCCATTCAGTGTTAGCAGAGGCTCTTTTTCCAAACGGTAAAAGTGGTTCAGCCAGCTCCACTGTCCCACTCACACAATGCAAAACTTGATGGTTCATACTGTCCAACATTGTGCACAAGGCTCTCACTGGTGAATCCTGGGGGAACCTCAGCTTTGGAAATATGGTGCTCCTGTACGCTGGAGCTCCATCAGTGCCAACTTGTCTGTCCTAGATTTTCATACCTTATTCTTCAGATGCTTTGCTCACCTCTAAGACATCATATAGTGCTTCATCAAAAATGTTAATGAAGATGTCATCCTTCACTGACTGCAGGCTGGAAGGGCTATAGTCACCATTTGGAGCTCTTCAACCATGTGAGAAATATTGAAAGGAAATCATTACACAATTTGTAGCCATACGTATAAAATGTTAGTTCATAATATGCTTCCTTCTTGTTTTCTCTTCTCCTCTGCCCCTTCCTTTCATACAGAGCAACTGTGCCTTACCCATTTCTACAGAATGGGTAGATTAATGCAACTTCTATTACAGGAAGTTTGTGACCACCTGGTGAGCCAAGGACTAGCAGAGAATGGCTTGCCTCCTATCTCAACTATGCTGTAGCCTTGACAAGCCAGTGGGAATGATCCATTGCAATGAGAATAAATATACAGACTGCATATCTGTAACCAAAGCTCTTCAGTCTTCTGTACACTCACACACATATGTGTGTATGTCTTGTTCACCAGTCTGTGCAATATCTTAGTCAGACTATTCCAGAGTTGAAGAGAGTTGGAGGAAAGCCCTGCCTCCACTGCAATTCCCTGAGACTAGAGTCTGAAGAAAGGAATGGATAATGGGTTAGCAACCTACACTTAATTCTTTGTGGATTTTGTGCATCACACACCATATGTGTGACTAGCAAGCTGTGCATTTACCCTAGGTGAGGAGAGCACTGAAGAAATGACAATTTTACCAAAGGCAACAAATCTCCTGATGAAACTGTAGATCAAGGCAGTAATACTGGGTGAAGGCTGATGGTTGAGATCAAGTAACAACTCTGCAGAAGTCCAGAACTGAAACCCATTTAACAAAGGCAGAAGAAGAGGTTGTAGCTTTGGTGCAGTGGGGCTGCATGGTGCATGGGTGGAAGAGGTGCATGTGGGTTCCAACAGACAACCATGAAAGAGGTGGGACACTGTTGCCACCACAGGAGAAAGGTACAGTGGAAAGAGGAGACAGATGGTCAGCCCAAGCAGGATTAGAATAGCAGAGGAGGAGGAGAGCAAAAGCTCAGGAGCAGTATGGGTGGGGGATACTCAGGGCAGCAGCAACCTTCTCACAAAAGCACCTTTCGTCAGAAAGTCTGGTTGGGGTGTGCCTGCTTGGAAAAAAGCAAGGCAGTGATGGTGAAAGTCTGTTTGGTGACCTTCTCTAAGGCACAGAAGGCAGAAGGAGTGGCTCTAAGGGGTTTAATTTACTCCCCAGCAAGTGCATTTTCTGAAAGGTCAAGAAAGCCCTAAAGAAAAAGTAATTGCCAAAACTTAAGGAAGTGCACTCCTCAGAAATATTCCTACCTTCAGTCTCCTAATTTCTGCAGAACGCTTACAGAAGATTGCTTGGTGGACAAAAAGGAACCAGGGAAGGCAGAAGCCACACAACAGATGGGGCTCCTGTCGAAACAGCCTTTCCCTCTAGAATGTCCTAACCAAATCTCTCTGCAAGGCCAGTTGGCATGTGTGTGTGATTCACAGAGACAAGGAAGAAGGAAAGACACTTCATGGGCAGGGAATGGCAATCTAGTAGATTAGAGATTCCAGTTTCAGAAGAAGGGGAGAGGATCTGCTTCCTTCTCAAAAATGTTCCTGGCTTTGCTCCCTTTAAATGTTCTCCCAGAGGTCGCATACAACCCATTTAGGGTTAGAGGTGAATACCAAGACAACCAGCCTATTATACAAAGGACACTTATTTGGGCTTTATACAGAGCATTGTATTATTGACCCAAGTCATCATCTGTCATATTGAGAGAAATTAAATGCTTCAGAAGATGCATTCCAACCTAAATGGAAGTTCAAGTTCCTCATTCCAGTTTGGGTTTGGTCCTTCAGCAGTAGTTGTCCGACAAACTGTTCTTTGAAAAGAAACTTCTACAAAAGGCCGGACTGAAACCTATGATTAAACAAAGAGCATGTGTTTTCCCATGTTTGAAAATAATTTAGCCAAATAAATACTATAATATTGCTATAGTATATAGTAAGTGTCATGTGGCACTTTCATCTGTTGATCATGCTGAATTTCCGGGTTATACGTATTCTTAGAGCCAAGTAACAGGTTCCTCAGTCTATGGGAAGAGGTGGCTCCAAGGAACCATCCTTCAGAGTGGCTACCGTTGTTTCACCAGTTGCTGTTAGACTGAAGTTGAGAGAAGCAGAAGATTCTGTTCTGGCCTTAACCTTTCAACGAAACAGAATCTCAGATGGTGGGACAGTTGGTGTTATAATTGTTTTTCTTTTAAAGCTATCTATCTTGAAACATAATACACAGAAAATAATACTGCCTGCAACAAATCTCTTAAGCTTCATTTCTGAATGGAACTACAGAATAGTTTGCATATTACATTTTACCTCAACATGTTTTATGTATATGCATTAAAAATTACATATCTGTTTACATAGGTGTTGATTATACAGCTACTTTCACTAGGGAGCAGAGTTTAGGCACATCTCCCCAGAAGTGAGTGCATACCACCTACATGGTATTGCCATCAGTTAATGCACAAAACTTCTTCAGCCTCAAACATCACTACTCCAGTGGTGTTTGTGTTGCTACTCACAACTTTTAAATTATGAATGTCTTTTTTGCCTTTCGATTTTCTCTAACACCATGTTTTACATTCTGTTATGGCTACTAATATGTGTATATACATTTGCCAGTTTGAAATTAACACTTCATGTACCTGATGATGTGGCCAGTGTCCATGAAAATTTATGCCAAAATAAATTTGATAATCTTTCAGGTGCAACAAGATTCTCTTTTATTTAATCTCAAGGAGCATTTTTATTTTAGTTTTCTTATCCAGTTAAAAATAACACACAACATGAAGAAAGTTATGATACAAAATCAGGTATTGTATCAATAACAAAAATGCATCAATCACAACCGTTACCATGACACTAGAAAGGAAGTACCAGACAAGGAAGGCAATCTGGGAGAAAAAAACAAAACTTACTGTGAGGTCAATTCATTGCTAGATAGGGGACTTAAAAAAAGAGATCGAACTATTTTGAATTGTTGATTATAGTTTTTGTAAGCTACTTTTATGTGTATGTTAATATTTTGTGACTGTTTCTCCTATGAACAGTATCCAATGGAACCACTGCCAAAGTGGTCCCTCCTGCCAACTCCACCACACAGGTGGGGCTGACTGCTTGCACGGTGTATATTTAAGATGTCTTACAGGAAGCCTGGCAAAAAGTGAAAATGCTCATTCCTGGATCAGGACAGTGGAGCTCCCTTATTTCAGGCCCAGCAACCTGCTTCATTCCAGGAATTAGTATTTGGACTTGTTTTCGGTTGCTCCTGGAAGCACTCTATCTTTGTTGTGAAAGCGATGGGTCTCCTTTGCAAGACAATGGGGAGGGAGGGATTGGAGGGGGTGCAGTTCCCTCCCAAATATTGTCGTATCTTGTGCAAGCATTCTGAGAAAGTTTTTGAAAGGTAGAATATAAATCCTTGTAATAAGTAAATGATTTTTTTCTTTAAAACAAGTTTTTATCACCCATTAGAAAGCAGACCAGAAAAATAAATCACCACATGGTTTCATTGATACAGTAAGCAAGCAAAGCCATTTGAATTTTTTTTTTTACACAGCAGAATACCGAAACACTCAATAAGATGGTCTTCTGTATCAGATCTTTACTGAACTGATGAAAGAGTTAATGGATTATTTATTTCATGCTATCTTAAAAGCATAGTGTTAGAGATAAACTTGGATTATTTATTGATCTTTTGACTGTTACTCAAGTGTATATATTAAATTCTTGGAAAGGGGCTTATGAAACCTTGTCTAAACTCTCTGAGCAACTGTAAATAAACAGGAGAAGACAAAACCAATTTTTCTATAAATGTATTTGCTGAAAACCATAAATCTTACTTTATTTTTAACTATAAGGTATCTAAAAGCTATAAAGTATTTTGAACATATATATTTTAAATAAAAGAAATAACATTTATAATTTTCAACAAATAGAAACATTTTAAATATTTTTAAAATAAAAACAAAATAATTTTATAAATATGAAGTAAAATTATATTTTTTCCTGTATTGACAGGTTCTGTAATCTTTATATTTTTTTACTATTCTAAGATAAGTTAAAAGTCAAGTAATTAAAGGTACAATACTACATCTATTTAGACAGAATAAAATCCTGCAGGGAGAAATTGTAGGACTCCTACCTAATAAATGGATAGGATTGTGTCCCACCCTAAGTTAATTTACCTGGTTAAATGCCCATTCTGGACTGTGTGTTGGGCTCTGTGGTGCTGCAGAAGCCGCAAACATTTCATTGAAGGACCACGATGATTTAGATGGTTGCTGAAGTTTGCTAGAAAGGGAAGTAATAAAAATTTTGGTGAACTTCTGAAATTAAAACAATATAGCAAAAAGTAAAAAAAGGTTAAGATAGTCTTTTTTTTGAGGTGGGGAGAATACAGTCTCTTTGTAAGGGAATAATGAGAGGTAAGGCATGTTCTGCAGTAGTATTTTCCATTGAAAAAGTCCCACTGTTTAAAGAATCACTTCATAAAACTGACCAGCAACATATGGAATAGATACAAAACAATGCCAGTTAATCGCCTGTCTTCAGGCCAGCACAGGACATAAAATGACTGGTGCAAAAAGATGACATTCCAAGCAGATGACAATACACAAATATCCAGTGTGGGCACACATACTTCCTATCAGCCTAAGGCAACAGGAAACCTTCCCAAACCCAAACAGTCTGGGGATGCTTCCAGATAACAGCGTTACTGCGCAAGGACCCTGCCTTCAATTACTCTTCAGTTTGTAACCCTCCAATGTCATTTCACTGTGTCTTTTTTTCTTATCAGGAAAAAATCAACTGGAGAGGAAAAGATAGAACGTCTTTCAGGTGCTACCGTGTTTAGTTAGTTTGTTAAGCATGCTTGTATCCCACCCTTCTTCCAATTTTGAAATGAGGACAACAAACAACCAAAGATGATAGAACAACAAGGGGACACTTACACCCCCAATGATTCTTCTTCACCCCACCAATTCTGCTGCACAAGGGGTGGATCCTGTCAACTGTGTTGTGTAAGTGAGACCCACGACTTGCTCAAGCAGGAGTCACCACTGATCTGCCTCCTTCTAAGAACGAGTTTTTCTCCTTCTTTTGGGACTTCCCTTAGGAAGTGCAAAGTTTCCCTTGCATAAAATGGGGGTCCTACTTACACAATACAGTCAGTGGAGTGAAAGCGATTCGACAGGGCAGAAGCACCCTGCTGGACTCTGTCCATAGAATATAATTAACTTTTGTATTATTTTTACCACAATAAATCTGTCTAGGGTCACACGTAACACGGCAGATGCCAAAACCCAAACGACTAAGAACGTCTTGTTTTTGTCTGAACAGTTGATCTGTGTGGCTAGACCTAGTATCACTCTGGGGCTTGAGACGCAATGCCACACAGAGAATGCCTTGACTCATGTCACCACTTTCCTAGCTTCCTCTGTTTATAGGCCAATGAACAAGATATCCCCTGCTGAGCAAAGCCACATGGTAGACAAGAAGAGCAGCATAATTTATATCATATGGGGAACAAAATGTTCTCTTTGGGTAGTCTCAGTCAAAAATAAAGAAGCTTAACAAAAGCAATGAAGATCTCAGTGGCATTTCAAAGATTAATAGATTTATTGCAGCATAAATAATGAGTTTTCAAAAAAGCCTTTAAATGTTATTTTTGCAGCAATTATGTTTACCTATTTCAGAACTCTTCTGGATAATAGCAAATGGACGCTAAAACTACACAAAACCATCTTGCATACTTATTGGATCACTGCTGTCATAGTTGCTCACAAGCAATAAATACGAAGAACCGTGTTTTACTACCCTCAAACATGCTCCAGTCACACATGAACTATAGGACAAGATTGGGACATGCACTCCTATATTATGGGTGGCCAGGGAACTGGTGAAGGCAAGGTAGGAGCTGGGCAGAAGATGGGGGGGGGGGCAGGAGCAGCAGAGGAAGGGAGGCGGGGCAGAGAGGCCCAGGAGAAAACAGAGGGGCAGGGCCAGCAGCCTCTGAGGGGTTGCACTCCCTCTTAGGGACAAGGTCTGCAGCTTGGGAGTGCTCCTCGACCCAGAGCTTTCATTGGAAGCTCAGGTGACAGCAGTGGCGAGGAGCGCTTTCCTTCAGCTTCGGCTGATTCATCAGCTGCGCCCCTACCTGGAGTATGACTGCCTGGCGACAGTGACACACGCACTGGTGACTTCCCGCCTTGACTTCTGTAACGCGCTTTACGTGGGGCTACCCTTGAAGACGGTCCGGATACTTCAATTGGTTCAAAATAGAGCTGCCAGGCTGCTGACGGGGACTGGGCGTTATGTTCACATGACTCCAGTTCTCCGTCAGCTTCACTGGCTTCCCATTGAAGTCCGGGCCCAATTCAAGGTGTTGGTGATGACCTATAAAGCCCTAAACGGCTTGGGTCCTGGTTACCTGAAGGAGCGCTTGCATCCATATATGCCCGCCCGCCCCTTGAGATCTGCAGGAGAGGCCCTTCTCCGGGAACCCTCCATGAAAGAAATTAGCAGGGTAGGTACTTGGAGGAGGGCTTTCTCTGCGGCGGCGCCCAATCTATGGAATGCGCTCCCCAGAAAGGTCCGCCTGGCGCTGTCATTATTTGTTTTTCGGCGCCAGGTGAAGACATTTTTATTTAAGCATCATTTTAATTGTTAATAGTATTTGCTTATTTTATCTGGCCAGGGCGACTTATTTTATATTGTTATTTTTCGTATTTTAACTTCATGTTGTGAGCCGCCCCGAGGATTCGGCAAATGGGGCAGCATAGAACTGTTTTAATAAATAAATAAATAAATAAATAAATAAATAAAGCTGTACTCAGTCAGGCGTCGTCCCTTGTCTGCATCCATTCATGAGCAGAGCCAGCTGGAGCTGGGGGTCAGACTAGATGGCCCAGGAGGACGCTCCTGCTCGATAAGTTTCTATGTTTCTATAATCAAAAGATGCATCCAGCCAGCTTAGTGGTCTGTGATGGGCATCAAAGTGCAGAGCTGGGTAGGGATGCACATCTGCATACATGGAAGCCTACTTCTATGCACTCTTGCAGGAACATGGGTCACATGCTACGAAATTTACATTCATGAGTTATTGCTGCAAGAATTAGAATAAACCTGCTATTGGGTGCAGGAGGTCTAATTTGAATATATGTTATGAGGTGAGTGAGTTTATATATTTTTTCCCATAACCATAACAGACGTCCTGAATGAATATTTGAAAGAAGATATTACTATGGCTCTCGCTGCAATCTATACCAATGTCCCTAGGCATAAGGCCACTGGACTCAATGAGGCCTACTTCTTCGCAGATATGAAAGGGCTGCACAGAAACAGTAATCCTATGGCCCCTAAATAACATCTAGGGGGTCATAACATTGTTTGGAGTTCCAGATCTGAGGCTGAAAAAGAGTCCTGGCCTCAGAGCTGGAGATCTGCACTTTCACTGCCCCCACCCCACCCCACCCCACCATCTTGCAGCCAGCATGGAAAGAAACACATCCATTACTTACCTGAGACTGCAAGAATTACTTCAAAGAAAGGGTAAAAATGGGGTTCCCAAGAATAGGGAAGGAAGGAGGCTGGTGCTCAAGCCTTCCCTGCTCTTCTCTGAAGCACCAACCACAGGGAGGGAGAAGTAGGAAAGCTATGATCGCTTCGGCACTCCTCCTGCTCTGCACAGAATGCTGAAAAACCTCCAAGATCAGAGGCTCATGGGCATCCACACTAAAGTGTCCTATACATGTACTTAAAAGACACTTAAATGAAATGGTCATACCTTCCAGCAGGCTTTCTAACTGGAATCTCATAAGCTCTAATAATGTTCACCAAGAGTTTTATGTCACCATCTGAGAGATTCTGCACAGTTACTTTTTTTCTCTCCTTTCGTCTTGGCTTTAAGGGTCGTTTAGCCTCTGCCAGTTTAAAGAGGCCAAAACCCAAAATGCTAATCCAAAACAAACAAACAAAAAAGAGTGTCAAAGAGACTGCCAAATGTGTGTGCATATGCATATACACAATAAAACATGGAGGTTTTTGAATTTAACAATGCAATTAAAATATACAGTGGGCATCTAAACTATGACAATATTCTACAACGTATGCCTATTTCAATGCAACAAAAATGAAGAAATATGTATAAAGACATACCCTGGGCCATCAGAACTTAACAGAAGGCAAAGCAGAACAAAAAGAAAAACCAAGAATAAAACAGTTACATAAATACAGACAATGTTATCCATAGCATAAAAACACAAGCAAAAAGAATGCATGCACAAAATAAACTAGTTTAGCATAAAACATTCCACAAAAGTCAAAACACACTCAAAGTCAAATTCCAATAGTAATTCAATTTCCATTAAAGAAAAATAAATTGCTTGCTTTTACATTTCTGTATGGAAAAATTAATTGCTGAGCTTTCAGTGAAACAAAATAAGGCTGCAATTAATTGCCAATAATTGTAATTCTAGACTACAACTAGCTGGACAGTTTCTCAACCTCTAGTAAATCGTACTGCACCTGACATTAATGTTGAAGATAGCATACAAGGTAGAAAACCACTAATAACTGGAGTAAAAGTTGAAGTGGCAAATTCTGGGGCACAGTGTTCTCTCAGCCCAAGGACAAGGAACTCCTGGGTTGCTCAGTTATGCAGTGGAAACAACTGGCAATATAAAAGCAGGCTACTTGGTTTCATGCTTCAAGGGAGCTTTGAGTTTGCATTTCTTGGAGGACAGTCTGACCAACAAGCAAGACAAGTGAGGCAGCACTTTTCAGAAGTGGAAGAGCTTTATTTTATTGAGGAAGAAAGACAGATTCACTGGCTGCTGCCGCCACCACTGCAGAATTCCATCTTTTCCACATTTTCTCCTCCTCCTCCTCTCTAACTTAAAATGTGAGCATTCACTGTTCCTGCACAATTCTACCACCTGCTGCCTGTGCTTCCAGGCCAACTGGAGGAGGTGAGGGGCAGAACAGAGCACTAACAGCACACACAATCTCTCGGCTTGCTAAAGTGGAAGAGTTGCGGTGAATTCACTGCAGCCTTTGCATTGTTGCCCCAGCCAATTCTCTTGCTCTCACCCGCTGCCCCAAACCACAACTCATTGGGCGGGCTCATTTATTAGCAAGACCTGGGATGGCAGGAAGGATAGTGGAAAGCCAAGGGAGGTGCGGAGAGCTCCAGTCAAGGATCTAAGCAAGATGTAAATGCCAAGAGAATATTAGTGAACCTGGACTGTGGTAAGAACATGTTGGATGGAGGGGTGAAGCATCAGAAAAGGCTGAAGACTTTGAGATGCAGGTGCATTTTGGCAGGAGAAAATGGAACATGGGGAGGTTTTGTGGGAAACTACATTAACCTGCATGTATCTGTGTATGGAATATTTGAAAGACACACAGGCTTGTAGCTACCTGGTGCTGTGTTTGAGAAGAAGCACCAGGTACAACAAGAAGCTTTCTCATTCACATTGAAAAAATTGCAGTTAGAAAGCCCTATGGGAGGCCTGAGAAGCATGCATGCAGTAGACATCTTGACCGTCTATGGAAGGCACAGAAATACTGTGGGTGAGAGAGATGGGGAGGGGTGCTGCATTTGTGGAGCTTGGTATGTGACAAACTAAGAGAGAGTGCTCTTGCTACAGAGTTGCCCTAACCTTTCCCTTATATGGGCAGCACCATGTCTCATAAGCTTTCAGCATCAGTTGAAGATTTACCTGTTTACCTTGGACTGACACTCAGTATAACCTCTATTCTTTTGTCACATAATGTCAATTATAATTTATCTCTTAACTTTTATATTTATTCTCTTTTGTGTCAGTGTTGTGTTAATGTATTGTATTTTATTGCTTGTAACCTGCTTTGGGATTATTTTATATTAGATAAGAAATTTCTTTACAAAGAGTGATGTAAATACGGGTGTGGATGGAGTCCTGCACAGGATCCACACTAGCAGTCTGATGGCTGATAGACAAATTAATGTGCACCCAGTTTGCAGTAGACACCCCTGTGTGTATTCCATTTCATCTAATTTTGGTCTCTGCATGTGAGAACTCAGGTTCCTTTTCCTTGTCAAGAGAAATTCACATGCAAGGGGTAGGGTATATGAAGCACTGTCTTAAGTTGTGCCAGAAATCTTAAGTTCAAAGGAATTTGCTTCCGGCTAATTAGAGCTGTAGTCTTTGGAAGGGAGGGGAGGACAGATAAAGGCAAGAACTAATGTCTGAATGGTGCAGCAAGACTTTTGAAAATGGAGAACTAGCAGGTAGATGGGTTCATTTCAGGCCACAAAATGTCTTGGGCCAGCAAAATGCCAGAACGTAAGATTCTTCGGTTTTACTCTCAAAATGTCATGCAACAACAGCAGTGTAAATTATCTCAACACACACAAGTGCCTTGGTGCATGTATAATCATCAGTTTGAGAGGGCTATCACTAACATTTAAAATGGTTATGAAAACTAAATTGATTAATGAGTATTATTTCTTGACTAAAGAACAGACTAGTATCTACTTTTGCTCTATAAATGGTATCTGCTATCTTTGAACATCCAGCAGAGTTTAAGTTGATTCTACAAGATTAAAAACTAGCAACCTGTCTTAAAAGCAGAGTACATTTCTAGACACTCCCAATATTCTAACAGCAGAAAGGAGCTGTGCTCATCACAGAAGAGAGATGCTCCTTCCAAGTGCTGACTCCAGAAGCCATTTTCCAGTGATCCATCCAAACCTCCATGTCCCTTGCTCAGTTAAGCAGTGTAAAGGACATGCTTCATTGCTGGCAACTTCCTTCTCTCCAATCAGCATGCAAACTCTCCAAAGCATCTCTTTTCTACTAATTCACCTACACAAAAGCCTCTTTAGGCAGATATCATAGCTTCCCTTCTCTGCCTCAGCAGTCCCTTAGCTGCCCATCTACCATCAACTCCTTTCTCTTGCTTGACTCCCGAGAAGTCTTCATGTTTCTCAAGGACACATGCTGGGGTATTCATGGGTCTGCACTACAAGATCACTTACAATCCTACCATACTGTTTTCACACTACAGCCCTCCCCTTGCAATTACCCAATTACTTTCAGGGGATATGAAGAAAATAACTACTTGCCATAAGATTTGATGTGATTGCATTAAAAGTTACTGATAATGTTGTTTGGAAACTGTATTATTTTAAAAACAGGTTAACCATTCAACTTTACTGGGATGCAGAAGTATTTGCAATTAAGAAAGACAGACAGACAGACAGAAAACAATTCAAGGAAATTACAAAAGAAGAAAGCTGACAAAAGGCAAATCATGCCTGAGAATAAACAGAAATGTAGCTGATGTCACACACATCATGATTTTGGTCAATCTTTACATTTTCTTCCTTACCCCAGAGTAGGGATTTCATCTTCATTGACCAGATCAGAAAGGAGAAAATGGTGCTTTGCAATCAGGAATCTGTTAATTACTGATTCCCGAACCTGTGGGGGAGGGAAATCCATAAAACATTTTGAATATGAAAACAGCCTGTATAACAAGCAGCTAACTCAATGTAGTTGCTCTTTTTAAAACAAGTATTTCTGGGGAACTTCGTTACAGTACATCAAGTCCCTCTATAGGCAACCTCGTATTTTGAAGCAAATATTTGGCTTTTTAACTGGCTGCATAATTTCATAATTGTTCACTCTGAAATTCTCTTGTAAGCAATTAAACCCTATGCCATCTCCAGCCCCAGTTGTACTAACTTTTAAGTAAGCTTCAGCATTGTTTGAAATACCCAGTAATAGGGAAATTATTAAATTAGAACAGTTAGGCCACGTTTCAACTACAAGACCCCTAAAGGAAGCATAGAATCACTTTTAAAACACTAAAAAAGGAAACAATTACTGAAATGAGTGGCAAGACAACACAATAAAAGCATGTATAGCAACAGCTAGGTAAGATTAAAGGGCCACCTGAACAAAGCATAAGATTAGAGGGTAGCACAAGTAAGAAGGATCTGTCCTGAATACTCACTAATTAAATTACTGAGTGATGCAAACCTCTCTGGCAGATTTCAGGGGGTCAAAATAAATTAAAAGTATTCAGATACAAAGGACCCTGTCTTGTTTATTACCTTTTGGAGGTACTTTGCAACTAATGCTCTGTGTGCGTCCAGATGGTCTTTGGTATCAACTACATCCCTCTCACACAATTTTTTCTCATAATCCTAAAAGAAACAATGCAATGATCACACACCTTCAGGCAGAGAATGTGCTTACAAAAATATATAGATATTATATTTAAATGTTGAATCACTAATTTCCTCTGTCTTCTGATGCAGTAACCAGCAGTCCAATCAGATCTTAAAATATTGTACACCTTTCCCTCAAAAGGAAGAAAGTAGCAGCATGTAGGGTAAAAAGGCAGTAATGTTACCAGTTTTATTTCCAATCACAGCTCAAAACTGTCTATACATATCAGACATTAAATGCTCTTTCTGTAAGATCTGGAAGCACTGGAAGTAATTCTTATAAATTCACTATTGAAGGGAACAACACACACAAAAAAATACATACAACCTCTACTGAGAGATCAGAATCTGTAAAAATCTAACATTTTAAAGATCAGACTTAAAAAGATATAAGCTCTGAATCTTCCTGCTAATGGACTGCACGGGATCACACCAAGGACCTGTTTGTTTGCATAGTGACCCATCAGACTTCCACATGGAGGATATGAGTGCCGTAGGATCCTCTCACTTGTGTTCCCAAGCTACTGGTACACAAATCATACAGAGTGCCATGTTTTGGTAGAAAGGTGGAGTATAAATCAAATAAATAAATATCCAAAGGCATATTTCCTCCGATACTGGAGGTAAGATAAACCATCATAACTAGTAGTCAAGCAGATTTGTCCTTCATAAATCTGTCTAGTCCCCTTTTATTCATTTAATTGTTATTATTTCCTGAATTTCCACCATTTGGTTGCATAGGATAACCTGGATTATACAAATACACACAGACGTATGTACATGTGTGCCTTTTCTCACAGGGAATCCTCCAAACCCTTTAAAAGGAGGTTCATCAGGGTTTTTAAACAAAATGACAATAAAACAATAATTTTAGATGACTTCTCACCTGCAAGATTCTTTCACTGATTTCCCTTTCCAGTAATGGAATGAATTTATAATTTCGAAACTCAGCCACTTCATGATTTCTGAGCTCAAGAAGTCTGAATCTTTTGGATCTGTTAAGTTCCTCATTAGAAACAAAATTGAATTCTTGTTGCAACTGTTCCAGCCTGAAGAAATCAGGAACAGAATCATCGCCACTTGTAGCAACCTAAACAATAAAGGTTGGTGTATAAAGGAAAATGTTTAGTGGCTTCTCAGCATTTGGTGTTCACCACCTCCACTGGGAAAATGGATACATCCCATGCTTGGATTGGCCCTAGCCTCCCAACACCCTCCTTGCTAACAAAGCAAAACTAGCTGCAAGCTAGGGCAGTACATATTTCCACCCACCTGCAGCCTGTCGAACTTCTTACTGCCCGAGTTAAGGAGAATTAGGATTCCTGGCTCTGTGCACTTTGACTGAGGGCCTACCTGGGAATGCCTACAATGACACAGATTTGGAACCCACAAAAGAAATGTACTATGAATACTTCTCCCTCATTGGTTTACTAACAAGAGCTCCAAAAGGAACAACCATACTCCTATTTTTATAAGTGGATTACTGTTAAATTTGTAATGATTCAAACATATACAGAAATATGTTATGGCTCCCTATGCTTGGGGTAGAAATGATATTCCCTTTGAAGATTGTAGAGGGGGAAAATAGCAAATCTGAGGTTTCTTACCAGTATCTGCTGCATCAGGGCTGCATTGCTTGGGTCATTTGGATCAAGCTTTGTCTCTGCCACCCACCTGGCTAGTTTCTTCATATCAGTTAACCCTGATGCACCAACTGATGCAATGGCATCAATATTTTTTAAAGCACTGAAATTGTGGCAGATAAGAACAGCAACAAAAACATGGTTAGAAGAACTCTTCCAGTTCTTTTAGGGGCAAGAAAAGTGGCACTGGACCTTGTACAATATATGACTTTGCTTTCCTGGATATCAAACTCTGAATATGGGGCAGCAGAGAACGGGCTGGGCCAGGCTGCTGCTTTGCTTTTCCTGGGGCACTGGGGGACAGTGGGAAGCAACTTGTAGTGGGTTTGGTAGGTGGCAGTAGTGGGTGTGATGGCTGGGAATGCACTGGCGGTGGTCATGGTGCCTTTCTTTGTCACATGCATTTTGCTTGCCTTTTGTGGGTATGCAGATCGTGTTTACCTGCATTTGTCTTTCTGCATCTGCATGTGGTCTGTATTGGCTTCTCCAAGCAGCATCAGTTTAGTTACTGTGAAATTGTTTGTTGTCATAGTAATCTGTGAGGGCACATTTCTGATCTCAATTTTGGGGCTAAGACCTCAGCAGTTTCCTGGGGAAGTCACTTGTTTTTTGTGACTAAGAACTGCCCCCCCACCTCACAAACACACACACAACAGCCTTTAATCAGTGGGCAGTGCATCCATGGTGACCATTTTGTGGTGGTGCCTAAAACAGTGCCTCAAATTTCCAAATGTCCCTAATATTAAAGACTTTTTGTGTAATTTCCCACAGTTAGCGCTATATGTAATTTTTGTATAGGGACCCTTGGTATCTTTTTCTTTCTTTTTCATGTTATTTTTTCTTGGTTTCTTTCCTTTTATTTATAATAGTAATAAATTAAAACAGAACAAACAGATAGATCATAAAAAAAAATCTTTACAAGCACTGACAGTACTTGTAAAGAATTACCTTGTGATTCCAGCATTCTTCTGTGATATTGGAGGAATCAAGGGTACTCCATTTTCTCCAACTGCCCAGGAAACACTGCAAGACACTTTGCCAGATGTCATTAAAATCATTTTATTGCTACCATCAGCTTCGAATGAAATCGGTACACCTGCAAAAAGATAGCAAACACATTGACTGTCATAGATAGAACAAACCATATCTTCTTTGTTTGAGCCACGCAAAAACCTCAGGTGAATGTTCTGCCCTCACTCTTTCATACATGTGATTGTTTAAAGCATCCTTTCTGTGCCAGCAGCAACTCACAGTTTATTGGTACACCTGAATGAAGCAAATGATAGCTTGTTTAACCACAGTTTGTTAAAAAGTCAGAATATCAGACCCAGATCATTCTGCCTTTTGGCTGTAACAAGAAACCATGGATGTTGTTACATGTCTCAGGACTGAGAAGGCCAGATTCTGAGGAAGAGGATAGGGCTCATATTTTTATTATTTTGTTTTTTACCCCACCATTTGTCCTAAAAGGGAACTGCAAATTACATACATAGCAATAAATACCTAAAAAGTATCAATAATCCAAAGAAATAAAACAATCCAACAGGCATAGGCATGATGTTTGAACTGGCAGGTGGAAATGCATCAGAACTCATTCAGTGAAATTAAAGGACAGCAAATTCAGGAGAGACAAAACTTGGCAATTTTCATAATGCATCGTTAATTTATATCACAAGTGATGGTTACTAGCTTAGTGGGCTTGAGAAGGAGATTGGACAACTGCAGCTGATCTAACAATGGCTAATAGTCTTGACGGATACATAGAGTTTCATGTTCAGAGACAGTATGACACTGAATTCCAGTTACTGGGGACTAATAGAGGGTGAGGGCCATTGCTTATCTGCTCTTCAAAGGCACCGGATTTGCTACTATGAAAAGAGAGGTTTCTAACAGATCTTAGGAAGTTCATTCTCAGTCTACTGTATTGCTATATACCAACAATGGGAAAAATGTAGGCAAACCTGAATTTCAACAGGTTGGTTTCTCATTTTAACTCTCAATAATACAAAAGATGTACCCTAATTTCCTGAGTGCTTTGAGGTGTACAGTTTGAGATTCTACTACCTTTTTCTATACGCAATAAGTTATATAAGGTTTTTGGGGTTGTGGTCATGTATAAATATATAAAAGGCTCTGGATATTATACTGCTGTCAGATTTAGACATTGGTTTTCCAGCCAGGCAATCAAAATTTTAGTCCAAAACGGACTTCAAAATTTTAGGTAACTGAAGAGGTTTGAGAAATAGAGTCCTAGGAACTCAGCCAGTAAAAATCTCTCCTTCAAATATAAAAAACACATTGTAATGTGAAAATTTCTTGTAAGCAATTATGATTATATAGAAACAATAATGAAAGTTCTGGCATATTTGCGGTATGATTCTGTGTTTGGAATATGATCTTATATTTTAATCCTGCAAAAAATCAAAATAATTGTTTATGAAAGTGTTTATATAACATGCTATGCTGGCGGGCTTGTAACAAAATTGCAAGACAATACCTTAAAAATCTCAGCAAGAATATTAAAACATTATGTAAACAGCTGCTCGCCTCTATTAGAGAGCTACTGCAGTGGATAGCATATTGGATATGCAAGAGGAAAACCTGGATATAAATTCCCATTCAGCCATGATATTTACTGAAAGATTTGCAGCTTGTCACCACATCTTAACCTACCCTTCCTCACAGAACTTTGCTGAGGACAAAATGGGGGCAAACAATCAAGTACACAATCCTGGCTTCAGACACCACCTGAAAAGACAGGAACTCAGAAAGAGCACTAGACTGAGCCAGACACCTCCTTGTGAGAAACGGCCTGCTTGCACATAGGAAGCTTGCTCACAAGACGAGCCTTCTCAGCTGCACTCGCAAACCACTCAAGCTTGGGTGTGGCTTTCACAGCATCCTCATCTAAACAGCAGTGGTTGCTAGAATTAACATCAACCAGACCTCCACTAAAGCAGCTTTTCTTGGTGTCAGACTGCTTTCTTAACTGATTTCTGACGTGAGTACTTCTGGCTCTCTTCCTTCCTGCCCGCCCCTTGTCTGCAGTGTTGCCTTGGAACTTGTTGCCTGAGACCTGGACTGCTGAAACCTTGTCTTTTGCCTGATCCTTGTTTATGCTGATCACCTTGGAAATATTGGAGCCTTGAACCTGCAACTGCTAGGCTCAGGCTTGGGAAATGCCTGGCCGCCTTGAGGAAAGAAAGGAATGAAAAGTTATGATAAAACTATTCTAGCCATCGTAATATTCATTTCAACAAATGTACTGTAATGCAAGGAGGGCGAGGCAATATACAAAATAGCATTTCTCTTCCTTATCTTTGTAAGAAGTTTCTTAAACTGAAAAACTGAGATTAGCCCATGGCTGCCTGGAGATTTTACATTCCAACAATGTTAACAAATGCTAAGCATTAGTAATGGAACAAACTCAGTACCACTCCCCACTCCTTCATGGTCCAACAGCACATGCTGGTCACTGCTGAATTCTATTTCTTCTATTGGAGCTCTCCCAGTCAGAACCGTAGTCTCAGGAACTGGTATAAATACTTCCATTACCAAGTTAGCACTGCCAAGTCCAACTGTTTCATATAGCTGTGGCAAAGAACAAGAACATAGTTGTCATTTCCAGACACTGTAACATATTTTGAGACCTCAGAGTAAATTTACACATCTTCTGCTGCCTTTGTACTGTGTTCTCATAAAAGTAAACAAGACTATGTATTTTCAGTGACCGGAACTCATTGACTGGCCACAGAAAACTCTACAACAGCTGTGAGAAGGCAGGGAATAGGGCTTGGTCTCCTGGAAGAATCCTGAAAGGTAGTGGGCTGGATAAACAACCTCTGTGTACTACACTGGGCCTACAGCCTGGAAGTTGCCCTCTCCTAGTGTCATGGGGGTATAACCATGTGTAGGAACACTCTCAGAGGAAGGTAAAAACACCAACCTATACTTATTCACCAAGGAGTTCCACATAGGTACACATGTAGGCCACTAGAAATCTTTGTTGTCAAGAAGGGGCCAGACTCTCACTGAGAAAGCAACAGCAGAATGTAGGGCATGTTATTCATATTAAGGATGTATAAGAGCAAAGTGTTAAGTATGAGGGAACACTGGGTAGTTACTGTGAAGTTCCATTCCAATCCACTTTGCAAGAGACCTCTATCATGGGCTAACTCTTCCCACTGCCAAAGACTGTTAAGGTACATGGGCCAGTCTTTCCTTTGGTTCTCCTTTCTGTGGCTTCTCTGAGCTTGATCTTTTCTAGGGGAGTTTTCAGACAAGTTAGTGATTGAGAAAGAAATAATGAGAAAAACAAAAAAACCCAACTCAGGAATCAGCTTACTCCCTTTGGAAAAATGCATTGAGCTTGCTCAATTGTATCATGGGATGCAAAAAACCCTATTCTTTCCACAGGGTGGCCCCCAAAGCAGTCTGAACCCAAGTTTCAGAAAGGATCTGCTCAAATACTCTGTATCTGAAGGCTGGTCCAGTCATAGCATACTTGATTAGTTTTGTAATGCCCAATGAAGGTGTGATGCGAGGACCAGGTAACTGCCCTAAAGATTCCTACTAAAGGAGTGATAGTGCTGAAAAATCAATGAGACAGGAATAAAGGGACCATAGAGTCACAGAATGGTAGAATAAGGCCATCAAGTCAAATTCCTACTCAATGCAAGACTCCAGGTTAAAGCATCCCTAACAGAAGGCTATCCAGTTGCATCTTGAATGCTTCCTGTGTTGTGCAGAGTACATATTAACTTATAATGTCTGGACTGGCCTCTGGCAAGGCAGATCAGGGAAGAAAATATGCAGTCCCTCACCTTCCCAATCTGGGCAGAAGCTACTACAACTGCTTTTGTTTGCTACACTGCATGAGGGCTGGTTGCTGTAATGGTGTCAGAATCAGTAGGGTGAGCGCATTGGCCTTGCCTGGACAGAACACTTCCCCCTTGCACCCAATGAGCATCCTCACAATCAGAATCAACAGCAATCAGACACTCTTCTGATCTGAGTGAGGGTGTTGCTGCATGAGCAACAATTTGGGTTCAAACAACTCCTAGTACAAGTTACAGGCCCCTCTTTTCACTTTCCAGATTGGGAGATTTTCTTGTTCAGTGAAGCCATCTTGTCGCCAAGGAGGACTCATTAAAGAGAAGGAGAACAATTAAATCTGTATCTTTTTTTCTAAAGCAAAGAACAGAAAAACTGGAAAAGGAGTGAACATTAACACTAAAATTTGTAGAGCTAAAGAAGAGGAAAAGTGGTAAGGAACTAACATGCACTGAAGAGAGTACATTGAAAAACAAACTAGAACACGTTCTGTCCTGTGCAGAAATAATCAACAAACTGGCAGGGAGGAGCCACAGAGGGGCCAGGACCAAGTTCCTTGGCAGCAGAAGTTAGGCCATGACAAGCACCTCCTCACATCAGACCTGAATGCACGTACAAGACCATGGTTGATTGTTTGCTTACTTCTCAGTGAGAACAAGGCCTAAATGACCATTCCTTCTGGGGTCTATAGAAATCCATTACTTCTTCACAACTCTTGATAAACAGTCAGGACTCAATATATGTATACTTTGAGGAGCGTAAAAAACATAAAGTATAACTTACCTGTAGTTTCAAACTCTCTGGCCAGTTGAATATTTGCAAGTTGAAAATCTGCCCAAAATGAACCCTGAAATCTGAGCTTATTTGCCGGGAGACTGTTCTTGATACTTCTTTGGAATTGAAAAGAACTTTTAGGAACACAGATCGTTTCTTCACATCTTCACGTCTTAAAATTTCTGCCCTACAAAAATGTTTTAAAAAATTACTTTAAAATGTGACTTTTCACCTGAAAATAGTCTTTGGAGAGCACCTGTCCTGACCCTAAGGCCTAGCTGTTGCCATGAATATAATAGATGAAAACAGGGTGGATCTGATTTAAATCAGATCAATTTAAATCACGATTTGAAACAACTAGTCAGGAACATTAGAATTAAATTATTGCTTTCTACAGAATTTGCATGCATGCCTGCCCTACCTGTATGTAGAAGGACTTCATTAAAGTATTTCCAAACTGGGTCTCTTTTATGGCCTGCTGTGCTTATAGGTTTTCTCCTCCAGGGAAAGAGTAAGTATGATAAACCTCAGGCTATACAGAAAAAGACTTGTGGAGTACTCTGCTCAAAAGCGTTCGCTTTCATTTTTTCTGCTTGCCCATTCCTCCTCACATTTAGCTGCTTGTGCAAAACTATTCTACTCTCCCAAAATCTATTAACTGATTTTTTTGTGAAACTTCAGCACTTAAGAGGTAAGAGGCTGATTCTGTATAAATAGATTTGCAAAGGAACAATGGGATTAGGGTCTTTTTCTCAACTCTGTATTTTTATTTTAAAACATTTTGCTGTGAAGAAGACGCATGTGATTTCTGAAGACAGTTCACAGTTTTGAGAACTGTAAAACCAAGCACCTGTGATCATGTCTTTCAGACAGAAAACTTGCCCAATAATCTTACAAAAACCTCTGGAAGAGCATGGTATTGTGAATGGATTAATCGAATTCATTTACCAGAAAATTTAAACATTGTATGAATATACAGTCTCATGCTACATAATTAAAAACGAATCCATACTTCAATATGAATATCCTTTGGACTATAATGAATCTTAGATCAGATTTTTCTACAAAGAGCATGTTATTTTAAAAATCCAATTTAAATTTTGATTTTCGATATTAAGAGTTCATAGTCACTACCACATTCTGTTCCTGGTCTTGTTTTGGTAGCAAGAATAAAGCTTATTTATCTCCTGCTTCTGCTTACATACCATATTTTTTCTTGTTTAAGATGATACTTTTTCTTACACACGGGGGGCCGAGGGGAGAACCATGGGCGCGCTGTGGGGGAGACTGGCATGATCGCGGGTGCAACTGGGGGGAGACTGATGCAGGTGTGCTCTGGAGGAGGCGGCGTGATCAGTGGAGGTGGGCGCAGGTGTGATTGGGGGAGAATGGTGTGACTGGGTGCATGAGGGGAGATGGCGGGCGTGTGCGCAGCAGCAGTTTGCTTGTTCAGAGATCGGTAAGAAAAATGGGGGGCATCCTATACATGGGGGCATCTTATAGTCGGAAAAATACGGTAATCTATTTGATTTCTGTATTGATGATCTGAAGATGTCCCTGTATACAGTCAATCTGATTGGTTGCCTGAAGTATCTATTTGCAGTGAACTGATAGTTGGCTTCACAGAATTCTGTGGCTTCACAGCTGTTGCATTATAGCCCCTTACTACCTGTGCTACACCTGACCTCAATAATAGAGCTCCTCTTTTTGCTGAGTTAGTCATTTCCAAAGTAAAACAAATTTACAATGCTCACAACGTTTAACTATTCTATTTCTCATTTTACGGTTTTTAGTTTTCCTGGTATCATACTTTTCATGTTCCATGTTCCAATTGTATGTACTGTGTACCATCAGACTTTCCTTTCACCTCTGGGCATATCAGCCACTAGACTTCCTAACCCTCCACTGACTTAGGCCCCATGCCTGAAAAAGTCTTTAAAGCATCATGAAAGCCTTTTGTTTTGATTTTACAGTCAAAGACTCTTGCTCATCATCTATGTCCTGCATTAAGTTCTAACCCTCACACACATTTAAAGTTCCATCCAACATTATTTAACTTTTTTTCTCATGGATATAAAAGAAATCCTGGGTTAAATCAATAATTAAATAAATAGGCCCAAGAACTCAAATACCAGTGGCTAAATTAACAAAAACATTTTCACATTAGTTTAACAAAAGCAGTGCTGTGCAAACTCACCTAGGGCAAAGCTCATTTGGAGTGATATTCCCTGTTAGGCTCAACTCAGGAATTAAAACTGGGTGTCCTGGTTTCCTTCTAATATTGCTAGCTTTCTCTCGAACCTGCAATTCCACCTGTAGCCTGTCAACTACTGGTGGAGGATTGGGTTTTATAACCTCTTCCACATATTCAGAGTCTTCTATTTCTTCATCTTCTGGATTTTGACTTGTTTTCTTCTTTTTCTTCTTAATTTTCTGTGTATATAAAAATTGACTTTTTATCCTCACCAAAAAGTAGTAACATGATACTAAATCAAACTAATGAAAACATTTGAAATATCCAGAAGAAACTCTGAAGAAAAGTTGCAGATAAGGGGCAGATTCATATTGAATAGAAACTCCTTCAGGCACCTGAATCTCAAGCTTTGTAATCCACAGTAAAGACCAGATTTATTATTTTCCCTGGATATTATAAGAGAGAACATGAACAAGACAAGAGAATTAATATCTTTACACAATTTTGAGCACAATAATTCATTTTAATTTGTAATTTTTCATTTTCTTAAAAACTTGCCAAAAAAGGGAGGGACAGAACTATTATTCTGCTTCTCTACCATCACAACACCTTGCTGTAAGGGCCTGATGATAGTAAAACACAGTGGATAAACAGTTGAACAGAGAACCAGGGAGTCCTTTGTTCAAACTTCACCTTAGCCATCAAGTTAATAGGCGGTCCTAAGCAAGTCAACATAGCTAATCCTTTGGCGATAATAATGCTGACCTACCTTACCAGCTTTCCCTTGTTTGCATTAACTACCACACTAACTTTCTAGATAGGAACTGTTAAAATGACAGACACTTGACTTATACTGTTTCTTCTCAGAGTTAAGGAAGACATCTTGAAAAAGTGGCTCCTCATAGAAGCATGTTTTTTTCAACTGCTAGGGAAAGCTTTGCCTAGTTAGGGACAAGAAGTACAACAGAGGAAAAGCAAAAGAAAAAAAAAATCACAAAAAGAGCTGCCAAGGAGAGTAATTCCCCCGCCTCCCACAACAACATCTGAACCCAGTGCAAAGTTTGGGAGCTCTCCTGGGCTTGATGTTAACTCAGGAAGCTCCAATGACAGCAATGGTAGAAGTGCTTTTTACATGCTTAGGGCTCTGTACTAGCTGTATCCCTATCCAAAGAAGTCTGACCTTGCCTCAGTTATCCATGCACTTGTGGTATCCTGGCTGAGCTATTGCAACAGCTGTTCTCTTCTTTTAAGTGTCAGCCGATGCAGAATACAGCCTTTAGCACCTGCTTGGGGCCAAGTGGATGATTCATGGGATTCCTATAATGTGCCAGTTGCATTTCCAAGTACCAGGTTTAATCCTTAAACACCAAAGTCTTAAATGGTTTAAGATGAGAGCCAGTGTGGCGTAGTGGTTAAGAGCATGGGACTGGGACTCAGATGACCTGGGTTCTAGTCCCCGCTCAGCCATGGAGCCAACTGGGTGACTTTGGGCCAGTCACAGACTCTCAGCCCAACCTACCTCACAGGGATGTTGTTGTGGGGATAAGATGCAGGAGGAGAATGATGTAAGCTGCCTTGAGCCCTTTGTAGGAAAAAGGCAGGATATAAATCCAAAATCCAATCCAATCCAAAATGAAGTCATATGTTTCCATCTATATCTGTCCACATTTTCAGATTCACAAGGGTGACCCTTTTCACATGCCTGCCTCTTACAGCAATCAGAGACAAGCATGTAAGCACAAGGGGGATTTTAGTGGAATATATTACCAGATGAGGTCTGCCAGGTCCCATCATTGTTTTAATTATTCATTTGATCTGTACCCCACCTCTCTCCCAAGACAAATGTCACTCAAGATAACTTGCAATCACAAATAAAATGTGATTTAAAATAATAAAACAATGCATTAAAATGCAAATAAAACACAGTGATAACAATATGAACAGCAGATGGCCCAATAGACCTCGTTAAATGTCAGAAGGAACAGGACAACAGAAGGGAAGTGAACAGCCACAGAGAAGGTCCTCTTCCCCCACCAAATAAGCCTCTGAGGATGGCAGTATAGGAAGAAAGTCTTCTCCTAAAGATCTTAAGAGCTGGGCAAGCATGTATGGGAGAAGCTGCTATTTCAGGTAGCCACAACAAGCTTTTAGAAAAGCCTTAAAGACCACTGATATAAGTTTTATTGAAATGCTGATAGGATATCGTTGTAATAATTTATTGGTTTTGTGCATATTTGGTGGCTGCTTGTTTTTATCATTGCTGCATTTTTACTTGATATTCTTAGTTCTTTGGTGGTTTGGTTGTGTTTTGTAAACTACCCAAAAATGAAAATACTGAAAATAATGATAATAGCAACAAATTACTACTGCTACTTAATATCAAAAGCAGATAACTGCTGGGCCCTGACTAGATCAGAGTAATGCAACCCAGGCAATAACTGCTCTTACTCCAAGGCTTGGAGGAAAAAATGGCACTAAAAATGGCACTCCATTTCCTGCATTTTGCCTGACCTTTTCTGCATTGCTTCTGATTTGCTGTAGTGTATTTCAGTGCCTACATCACACCTGACCACTGTTGGATCTGGTTACTACTGTGCTGATTCTTCCTAAATCCCATCCAGTTAACCTGCCTCAGGTATCTGCTCTCTGCTTTTGCTAACTTCCTCGTTCTCAATCCTTGGTTTGTTTATAACTGTGACCTTGTCTTGTCCTGCTAAGTACTTCTTGTTCCTAATTCCAGCCTATTCCTTGACTATGACCTCACTTCTGAATTCACTACTGGACTTTGGGCTGTGTTTGGATTCTGCACTGCCTCGAGTTCTGTTGCCCTGTTCCCAGTGCCTCTGTCTTCACTCCTGCTGCCCTACACCCTGGGCCCTGACACTACCTAATCCAGGAATTTTGTCACAGTTTCCAAAGAACAACAACAACTGTTCTATGCTATATAGGTGCTAACAAAAGGCTACTCACACTAGCTCACTGAAGCACATGTAGATTGCTAGGGAAGCAAGTTCAGGGAAGGAGCAACATCAAACTTGCATGAGAGTTTCCACTTTCCTTCCAGCCCTTCATTGTCTCCTTTCTTCCTGACAAGCCCTGATAACTCGTGTTGGAATTAAGATTTGGCAAGGAGGATGTAAGACAAGACTTGAGTAGCCAGGCTTAGTTGTGTCCCTTGTTTGTTGGTTGGTCACAGCCTGGATGATGGACTGCAAAAATAGTGATGAGCTCTCATCATATTTCTGCCCCAGAGCATTACTGAACTTTGAGAATTGTGTCTGTAGTCATCTGTTTGCTTTACACTCTCACTACCCTCTCTTTTACGCTGATATGTCCTGTCTCTTGTACACTGTGGAGCATGACCAATAAAACTTTTGAATACAAGGTGATGTTAACCCAACCTGTGCCTTCTTCCAGGATTTCCATGCCTGAAGTTCAGTTTTATATTCTTCCATTTTCTTTTCATATTCTTCAGTGTTTTCATCTAACAATTCAGCTGTTTCAGTCTGAATTTCTGCCTCATATGCCTCCTCATCCAACTTTTGATCAACTTCTTCCCTTAAAAAAACAATTAATTTCTTATTCATTTTCTAGTAAACTGCACCCTCTGTGTATCCATTAATCAATCTGGCCCCTTATGTTAACTGAAAATTCTGCTTCTGAATACATATACACAGAAGCCTCAAAACAACAAAGGTAATCTAAGTATGGAAGTAGATAACTGACTAGCATAATTGCAAGTATAAACTGAATGCATATTCAACTATTTATGCAAATGGGAATTCTCTGCAATTGGATGTGCACTTGAATAAGTGGCTTTCTTTACTGCTGTAAAGCAAGTGAGAAGTTTCTTAACCTTGGATGAGTAAGAGGAGCAAACCTGACAGAGCCAACATATAGCATTTGGTGCCATTCTCACTGAACTGGTATAGTTGTATCTGGACTGTATGCTCTCAACTTGCAGATGAGGACTAACAGACAGGCATCTGGGAGAACTCTTCTAGCCAGGTAGAAGAATGCATCCTTTCTGGACCTTCACTCAATATTCTACTATCATTCATTTGGTATCATTCTGGATTATCAGGGAGAGCTGGAAGCACTATTTTGCAGTAGCTTTAACTGAGTAGGTTCCGGAAGGTGCTACTAGTTTCCTAGTAGCACCTTCTGATCTTTCCCATGTGTCTTTGGTTTTCAGAATTCCACAGGTTCTATCAGGTCCAATGCTTTTTTGCACTTATAAGAAGTTCTTGGGGGACATAATTAATCCATAATTAATCAATTTACTTCTAGCATTTTCATCTTGTCTTACAGCCAAAAAGGCTTCCTCTGAAGGAGTAGGAATATGTTTCAACTAGCACTTGTGCTGGAGCTAGCCCTGGATTTTTAAAATTTATTTTTGTAAAATTAGGTTGTTATACCAGCTGTATTCTTTTCTGACAAGATCCAGCCTCATCACAATTAGGTGTGCCTTGGTAAAACAGCTACAGTGTGGGTTCCTCTGAAAATGGTTGAAAGCTTCAACTGACACAAAACGCAGCTGTGAGAATTCTGGTAGGGCACGCCCAGGGCATGTATAACACCAGTGTTGTATCAAGTACTTTTTCTTACCATTTACTTCCCAACAGCACTGATATTAACCTGAACAGCCTAAGATCACAGTATCTAAAAGACTGCTTTTTTCATAAATCGTCAGCTCAGCCCTACTCTGTGTCACAGCAGGAGTGGAGCATTCGAGAGGAGGTGGTAGGGCACACAAGATGGTGCTTGTTCAGCTACTGTATCCAAGGCTCTAGAACTCCTTTGCTCCTCAGGTGATCCACCTGCCCCCCCCCCATTCCTCATCCTTTGAAGTGATGTTAAAACCTGCACTTTAGAAAGCTTGGGAATTCGAGGGTTAGTTTCAATTATATTTTCCCTTGCTGATTTATATGCATATTTTTACTCTAGTTTGCTGCTTTGAAGGTTTCTCTTAACAAAAGAGCAGGGTATGTATTTAGAGTAACATCAAGTAAGTCTTTCCCTGAGTTATTAGCTTTTATAAGAAGAGACTTTTAGCCTATTGGGCTGGAGAAGCATTTGGACATGCGAACCCTTATGTTCAGTCTGAAATGCTGCAGTGGTGTGCCCCCTCATTGAGAACTAGATTTTAGAGATGAGTAACAGCTCTTAGCATTAAAGCAATGTTGATGATACACTGAACAAGGGAATGCCTGTCAAATACATACTTTCTCAGGTAGAGCTTCAGGGGGGTGTTAGTGAACTTCTGAAAGTCTCGTAGGGATTTGATTTCTTTCCACACTTTGATCAGGGCTTTAAGCAATATTCGATCTTTTTCTTGTTCAATATCACGAAGTCTTCTGGTTTGCCTGTACATATATATACAAATTGTATTAGAGGGAACAGCATACTGAATACATATGCTATTGGAACTTAAATGATCCAGTTAGCAATATTAAATTAAATTTCTTGCAAGAGTCCAAAAGGAGAGATATAAATGAAACAATAAGAATGATTACAGCCCTTTTGAGCCCCAAGTCCAAAACTGACATGATTTTCAAACAAACATCAATGCAACCATGGGACAACAGTGTGGATGGGTGCTTAACCATTTCCTTGTGAGAGTCATTTCTACACTGAAAATTGCCCCTTCCAAATTGCCTGTTTTTCCACGGGAGAAAATAAATGTTTTAGTATGTTGATACTTGGTATTTGCTATGTTGGTACTTGATATGTCTCCCCTGGCTGAAGAAATTAGATGGGGAAGTAGTGATTTTGTTTAGGAAAAACAGTTGGGGAGGGAAGGTCTAAGCATCCAGGCTGCTTTGCTGTTGCTCCACACAAATACTCCTGCACCTGCTTAAATGTACTGGTGGGGTGGCAGGCAGGGATCCAAACTTTTGGAGACAGGATCAAATGAAATGTGACACAGAAGTCCTAACTTAAGTACCTGGTACAGTAAACCAACAGGAAAAGATTCCCCCTTTTACACATAACATTCTCGTGCGGAAGCCAAGGTTCCAAGTGAGGAGGTGAGGGAGGGAAGTGTGGCAAACCCAGCTGATAATCACAGTTCATAATCGCAAGTAAGATCACAACAAGGAACAATTCAAAATCTAAAAGTGTATCAATTACATGTTTATTCTACATCTCCTGCTTCAGTGATCTCTGTTGTATACAGTTCAGCTCCACAATCTCCTGCACATGCACAAAACAAAAGCTGCTCCTAGGGGCTGAGGGAAAAGTCAGGATAGCGGGAGGTCTGCAATGCTCACGAAAGGTAACGCCACCTGATTTCTGCCAGTTCCCCTCTCCCTGTCCCACTGCTGCCCCCCACATTACATGTCATTCTGGAAGGATGCCTCAGGTCTGGCAGTACAAAAGCCTTTCTGTTAGTTAGACAGTGTGGAGCCAGAAACCTGATCTACAACAAATCTTCTAGCCATTTGCCAATATCTCGTAATCTGTCCACCCTACCTACATATTTCAGTTAAACAAAGCTTTGTGTTATAGTAAGACTTAAAATGTTTTAATGAAGATTTCATGGGGAGATCTCCTTCCTAGTTACTTCAGAAAAACTGGACTTTCAAAAGTCAAGCTGGGTAAAGTTTTCTATGTACAAAGAAATGCAAATAATAATAATAATAATAATAATACCGACGACAATGTGAGATTCATCTACTCACCTTATTGCAAGTTTATATTCAGTTATGCTTTGCTGTGCTACTGGGTTAAGAATCCCACTTTCACTAGTGTCCAAAATACTTTGTAAGGCATTTCTCAGAGCACACAGCTTAAGAGTAAAAGAAGATTTGTGAAAAAATATAAGCATCGTACTGTGTTAAACACAAACTTTGATTAAGTCAGAAGGCTACCATATTATTGTTTCACTGTGAAAAAGGTATAAATCTGCTTTCTGATAAAAAAGCCCATAATACATGAAACCCTCTCCAAAGTAAAACTAAAAATAGCTGAAATGGAAAATGTGGTATGAACACTGAAAGCTAAGGTGATGGTGTACTAAATTACACATTAAAAACAATTCTAAGCAGCTTAAAATTCTGAAAGCTTCAGCTCAGGATTCAAATGTAATAAGGGCCTGCTGTTCATCTGAGAATTTACTCGCCCTTTATTTTAATTTCCTAACCCTTCCAGTATCCAAATATTCCTGGTGTTTCATTCTGCAGTCACAGGACAACTTTTCTATGTTACTCAGCATGTAGAAAGAACTGCACCGACAATATTTCAAGATCCCCAAGTTCGTATGGGCAAAGAAAGCAGCTAAGTACTATGACAGACACAGAGACAGGATTTTAAAGAGCATCATGTAGGTTGTCTTACTCCCCAGCACCTCCTTTTTCCTTGGCCTCCTTGGAGAGAAACCAGCTCCAAATTATCTAGCCAGGTAAAAGGACTCTCATCCCCAAGATCCCACAGTATTATTTAAACCAAACTGCTAGCAGTGACAGCTGTTTATTTTCTGCTTTTAGTGCTGCTCTTGCTTCTCTATTTGGCTCTATAATTTCATTGTAATATTGAATTTGACTAGTTGATTTTGTTCTATTTGAAATTGTTTTGTAATGACTTGGGTTTTATGCTGTAATTGGATATGTGATATTTCTTCTAAGATTTCATTATCATCCACACTGGAAAAGTGATAAATAACCTAAACAAAACTAATTATTAACAGACGAAGGAATGGAAGCTGAGCTATAGTAGCTTTGCAGAGAGTAAATGAATGAGGTAAGATCACAACAGGGCTCTTCCTAGTTAAGCAAGATAGACAGAGGGCTCTGCAATTGGCATTGTCTATCTGAAGCAAGAGCCAAGCAGGACAAGATGATGTCAGAGGTTCCCATTCCTCAAATTTTCTTACTTTAAGCTAGATGAACCTCTTGGCCTGTGTAGCTTCCTGACTGTCCAGTGGGCAGGGATGGGTTTTGCAGAACAGGGTGTCTCCTTCCTCTTGCCCTCCCACCAGAACACCTCCTCTCCACCCTCCTCAATCTTTTTCAAAGTGACCTCAGAAAGAAAAGCTGCTGGAAGCTTATGTGTGAGGGAGAAAGATCCATGATGAATAGCTCTGTCCTCAGGTACAGAGGAGACCTGCAGCATCCAGTGGTGCCCTGGAATGCCACTGGACTGCTCTGCCCATCAGCACTCCACACCAGTTAGAATGCACATGTTTATTCCAAGACATCATAGCAATGGGGCCAATGTTGAGCTCACAGGCAGGTGATAGCAGCAGCTCATTTTTATTCTACAACAAAGATATACATGTATTTTTAGAGATTTGGGAACCAATGTATCATGACTAAATATGACACATATTTAGACATTTACCAGAGCTCGGTAGGATTTCCATTTCTGTAAGTATTTCTAATATGAAAAAACCAGTGAAATTACCTTATCTGTAAGAAGCTGAGTAAGATTTTTCTGTTTTCTTGACAAATACTGATCAAATAACTGAGCCAGTTTAGCGGTTAAGACATGTTCACGGCTAAAGCAGGGATGATGTGTGAATATTAATCCAGCAATATCAATATCCAACTGAAATTGACCCTGGGGGTCCTCAGATCCAACAATATACTGATTCGCTAGCCTCATATGTATTGCCTAAAATAAGAATAAGTGATTGCGATGAAAGGGATTAGAGCTGGAACAGATAAGCTACAAGTCACTTCTCCATTTTAATTATAAGGTCCTGTTCTTTGGACACAATAATCCTAGTTTTCTCAAAGATGCTTTAGCAAGCCATGAAGAAGAATAGGATATCATTCTTCCCTCTCCTCATACACAGACTTCATAAATGTGATTCTGGTCTTTTAAAATCAGAGTTCTTGGCTATGTCCTAAATGGGGAATTATAGTTTAATATTGGTTTGCTGACTAGAAACAAGCTATGCTTATGTTCTTTGTAAGTAAGGCAACGTTAAATCAGAATTCTTGTTTTGAACACAGTATTATAACAACAAAGCCAGAATGAAAGAGGAGATAGTGAAGGAAAAACCTGCAGATCCATTCAAAGTGCACTTTAATCTTGTGAAAAATCCTCTTACTTCAGCAAACTTAGAACTTTACACAAAAGTTAGCATAATTCATTTGTTTCAAACTCCCAGAGATGAACATAACAGACAGATGGTTAAACATGCTTCAGTGCGTTGTTCTGTAGCTGAGTCAACTTTAATTAAAAGCAACAATTACACCAGTCCAAAAGTGAAACTGTCCCAATCACGAAGAAATTGCAAGAGGGTTACCTTTTTATAAAATGTTACTAGTTCTGGTTGTTTGCCTTCCTCTGCTGGAAATATTGGAGGTCTGGTACAAGACTGCTTAATTGGACTGGGCAAGGCCAAAATTTGGCCATCATCTCCAAACCACTTTTTCCCCTACAAACAATGAAGGAGAATTTTTAAAAATGTGATTTTACTGAAAATACATTGCAGACTAAACCATGTTCAGGAAATGAAAGGCCAATGAACTAGAACATTTTTAAATAAATAAATGTACACATAATGACCATGAGCATGTAACAGATTGTGTATCCACAATCTGCATGATTCTCTTAATAATCACTCGGCTTAACGTAAGGCATAACTCAATTCCTTACAGGAGTTGCCATTCACAATCAGTGCCAGACTCAACAAAGCATGGTTTCCTCTGCATTGCCATGGATGCATTACACCAGGAATTTGCTTTTGTTTGGTCCACACCTTCCCTTCATCCACTGTGCATTACTAAAGGAGTGTGTGTGTATGTGGGGGGTATATTCCTTCATATGCAGATTTTTTTGAAACAAATATGTCTGGATGATAGTACTGATGCAGGAGCAACAACAAGAAAAGTAGTCTGTGATGGATATTAGCTAAATGGTTGAAGCATGGTCACCTAACTTGATCGGTTCTATATCTGAAACCCAAATACTCACAAGAAGGAGCTGTTTGCTTAGAAGGGTGCCTGTGATTTCTTTGTGAATTAAGACACCAACTAAGTCCCCTCACTTGTTTGTCATCTAAGGGCTATTTAGAAATTCCCACTTTTCTGTTGAGGAAACTTGGACCTCCTGGGTCCCACTTCACCATTCTAGCCACCACACCCAACAGGGTTCCAGGTCACGGCTACAGGTGAGATCAAATTAACATAAAGGACATGCCCTTCTAATATTGGGAGCTCAATCTTGTTTTCTGCTGAGCCGTTATGTCAATCACAACCTTAAAAAGAAATATTTTGTCCAATCATTTATAAAAGTTTCCTGTGCACTAGAAGATGAACATAGGAAAAGCTTTTCTTCACAAGAGCTTTCTGTGTATTTTGGAGGAAAAAAAATCCCCATGGCTTAGAACAGCCTTCTCCAATAGTCCTCACTATCCCCAGCCTTCAAAAAGAAATCTGATGAGGAAGAACCCGCAATAATGAAAAGCGAGTTGATAATCCAATCTCCTGCAAGAGCAACAACTATAGAACCATTGCACTTATTTCCCATGCAAGTGAAGTGATGCTTAAGGTTTTACAGGAAATAATTTTACCCCATCTAGAGAACTGATGCATTTGAAACATGCTGCTGCAGGACAGCTTTATGAATACCCTGGACCAACAGAAGGAGAAACAAGTCAGCCCTAGATCACATCAAGCCAGAATTCTCCCTGGAAGCAACAATTATGAAACTGAAGCTGTCATATTTTGGGCGTTTTGTGAGAAGGCAAGGCTCCATGGAGAAGATGATAATGTCACAATAAGTCAAAGGCAGAAAAAGACGAACTGTGAGGTGGTGCAATTCTATCAGGGGAGGTACAGCTTTGAGTTTACAAGAGCTGAGCAGGGCTGTCAAGGTCAGGTTATTCTGGAGGACATTCATTGGTAGGGTAGGGTTGCCATAAGTTGGAGATGACTTGTCTGGACAAAACAACTCTATTATATTTATTGTCCTGAGCTCTCTGAGAAGGGGGAGGTGGAGGAAGAGAAGAAAACAGGTAATAAACAACACTTTGTAATATACTCCTTTAAGTTTAAATAAAAAAAGCGAGCCTTTCAGTGAGAGGAGAAACTGTAAGACAAATGGCCCAATAAATCCTAATGAAACATACAGTACTCTTAATAGAGTACACTATATTTAGTGGTTCATTAAAAAAAAACCTATATTTAGGAGTTCATTTACAAGATGTATATATACTTCATCTAAAATCTATCACACTGGAGTATGACAAGAAGTTATCTCTACATGGAGTGGGAAAATGTACACATTTTAAAAATATTGCCATCTTGCAAACTGCAAATCCTATGCTGGCTGGGGAATGTTGGAAACTGTCGGACTTGTTTCTGTCTAAATGGGCATAATATTGCATCCTAAATTACAAAGCAAAAACAAAAATCCCCTCAAAGTATGATGAGGCTGATGTTCAGCATCAGGAGGAACAAACAAAAGAAAAACTTAAAGCAATTTACCTGATCCTGCTTGAGTATTCTGTTCTCCAAAATGTTTTGGTTTGATGGTGACACGACAGGACGCTTTCCTGTATACAGACCTTCATCCTCAAGGTACCTTGGCTGCTTGTTTTCAGGTACCTTCACAGAGGCAGGCACTAAAAAAAAGCAAGATTAATATCTTCTATCATATTAATCCCTATGAACACTATAATCACTATTATCACTTTGAAAATACATATTACACTGCAGTCTTTTCTTTGCCTGCCCTTACAACAGTTGTTGAGATGGGTTGTTATTCCCATTTTATAGAGAGAGGGTAGTGAATTATCCAAGTGGATGGCAGAGAAGGACTATAAATGTAGGCTGCCCAGGTCCAAAAAAAAAAAAAATCAATGTAAAGCACACATGGTCAGGTAAGAGACAAATGTTAATAGCTTCAGACAGACACAGACAAATTTACCTTATTGCATAGATACTGTATATCATAGATATTGCATAACTGCTATTAAGAGGGCCTGCTCAGAAGCATCAGATAGAGAGAAATACACAGATAAATATGCAATAAATCTTGTACAATTAACATTTTTTATGAGGCACAAAGGTGGGAACTACTGTTAGTAAAACAATAGATTTACGACAAAGTAGCATACAACCCTCTCCATTTAGAGCAAAGGAGTAGGAAACATGGCAGCTGCAGGCACTGGTATTCCACCGGGCACCTTTCTTGGCACTCACCAAAGTGCTCTACCTCACCCACTTAAATATGTTGATGTTACACATTTTCTTACCGGCAGCTGGAAATGCTTTAAATGGATCTTTACTGGTGCTGAAAACTGGATTCAAACTAACTGCTTAGTGTGTTAGGACTCAGACCTCACCTGACTTCTGCAAGATACTCAACCTTTTGGGAGGTCCCTTGCCCTGCGCAGCACTTCCCCAGCAGCCATTCTGTGGTGGTGCTTAGGACCATTTCTTAGAATTACCAAATGTGACCACAGTCTGAATGTTTGCCACCCTCAAATAAGAACCTCTGAATCAGCAATCCTTACTATAACGGGGAGGCCAAATCATGATATCTCCAGAGCCAATTATCTGTACTTGTATTAATAAACGTGGAAATATACAACTCCTTACCACAATTAAATCTTTGTGCCAAAGAGTCTAGCAATGTCCGCGCACGAGTGGACACCAACAGAAAATGAGGCAGTAATTACCAGCTGATTATGCCAAACACCACCTCCACCTGCCATCATGATGTGACTCTCTCTGACTCTGTACTGCCATTCTGTGGCTGGTGGTCATTAGAAATTTTCAGTTCTTTCAATGGAGCAGGCTGGAAGGAATGAGTAGAAAGCCCGAGAACCCTGTTTTATACCTTATGGTGCATTTCCATACTATTAGATATTTAACTTCTGTCCCATCTTCTGGTTCTCCTCCCATCCGGCCTGTCCTCAGGCTTGGTGGTGGTGCTACTGAACACCAGGTTGGCTGAGAATAAAATCTCCTTCATCCACAGTCTTATTATGGATGAGGGGTACTACCTGACCTGGGTGGGACAGACGGGAGACTTTTTCTCCCAGTTGTGCCCACCTGGGTATTCAGTACAGCATCAGCTTTGCCCTGGGAGACAGGGAGAGGAGTAGCCATAGTCTACAGGAATATGCTCCCACTCTTACAGCTTCCTGTCCACTTAAAGAAAGGTCTTAAGTGTCTATACCTGATGATGGGCAACTGGAAAAGATGAGAGATTCTGCTAGTGCACTGCCCACCTTGCTGCACGTGAGACTCCCTACGTGAGCTGATGGACATGGTCTTTGACCTGTTGTTGGGGACCTCAGTTTCCATGCTGAGGTTGCTTTCCTGGGGCAGCTCAGGATCTCATAGCAGCCATGAGAACCATGGGGATGTCTCAGTGTGTCACCAGCCCAACACATGAAAAAAGTCACATTTCTGACCTGATTTTTGCATGGTGATCTGGAAGGGGGGGCTGGAAGTTAACCCCTTTGCCATGGTCGGATCACTTCCTCATGAGACGTAGACTTGTGACTGTATACTGTCGCCCTGCCTATTTAACTTATATGCAGAGCACATCATGAGAAAGGCAGCTAGATGAATCACAAATTGGAATTAACATTGCTGGGAGAAACATCAACAACCTCAGATATGCAGATGATTCCACTCTAATGGCAGAAAGTGAAGAGGAACTAAAGAGCCTCTTGATGCAGGTGAAGGAGGAGAGTGCAAAAGTTGGCTTGAAACTCAACATTAAGAAAACTAAGGTCATGGCATCCGGTCCTATCACTTCCTGACAAATAGATGGGGAAGAAATGGAGGTAGATTTTATTTTCCTGGGCTCCAAGATCACTGCAGATGGGGACTGCAGCCAAGAAATTAAAAGACGCTTGCTCCTGGGGAGGAAAGCTATGGCAAATCTAGATAGCATACTAAAAAGCAGAGACATCACCCTGTTGACCAAAGTGCGAATAGTCAAGGCTATGGTTTTCCCAGCTGCAGTGTATGGTTGTGAAAATTGGACAATTAGGAAGGCTGAGCACCGAAGAACTGAGGCCTTTGAATTGTGGTGCTGGAGGAGACTCCTGCGAGTCCCTTGGACCACAAGGAGATCAATCCAGTCAGTCCTAGAGGAGATCAATTGAGGGCAAAAGAACAAGGGGACAGCAGAGAATGAGGTGGCTAGATGGAGTGACTGAAGCAGTTGGAGTGAGCTTAAGTGGACTCCAGGGGATGGTGGAGGACAGGAAGGCCTGGAGGAAAGTTGTCCATGGGGTCGTGATGGGTCGGACACGACTTTGCGACTAACAACAAATGTGCTTTACATGGAGCTGTCCTTGAAAATGGTCCGGAAACTTCAGTTGGTACGAAATAGGGCAGCCCTTCTGTTGACAGGGATGGGCAGATATCAACATATAAGTCCTGTTCTTTATCAACTGCAGTGTTTGCCAAATTAAGTCTGAGTCTGTTTTAAGGTGTTTACCCTGATGTATAAAGTCCTAAACAGCTTAGGGCCTGGATATCTAATGCAATATCTCCTCCTCTGTCCACCTACTCAGACCCTAAGGTCATATACAGAGGTTCTTCTCCATGAGCCAGCACCTTTAAAAGGAAGGTGGCTATGAGGGAAAGGCCTTCTTGGCTGTGGTGTCTTGACTATGGAACTAGCTCCCCAGGGAGGGGCACCTGGTGCCAACCCTTTATATATTTTGGCACCAGGTTAAACCCTTTTATTCTCCTACTATTTTAACTGCTGAATATAGGATGTTCTGATTCTTATACTGGTTTTATTCATTTGATTATGCGTTTGCTGTGGATTAGTTGTTTATTGTGTTATGTATACTATTTGTTTAATCGTTGTCAATTATATTTGAACCTTTATAATTATTGCAGAAGTATTAATTGACATTACATGTTATTGATGTGCTATGTTCTGTTTTAAATTATTGTACTGATTGTACAATGTTCTGAAAATTTTTAATGTACAACAGTATTAAAAAGTTTTAAATAAGTAAATAAAAATAAATTCCGTATCATGGACTGAATATGAACGAAACTTAGGAGCATATTTTCATGATTTGATACAGGTGATGTATATATAACTATGCTTCAGACCAGGGGTCCTCAAACTTTTTAAACAGTTTACTGTCCCTAAGTCTGCTGGGGGTGGACTATAGTTTGAAAAAAATATGAATGGATTCCTATGCACACTGCACATTAAAAATTAATTTAAAAAATTAATTAAAAATAAAAAAATGTTTGCTCTGCTCCTGCCAAACCCGGGGGCAGCCACTTGACGGCAGCAGCGACTAGTCCATTGAAGGCCGTGGCTTCTCGGCCTCCGCCGCAAGCTGCGGCCACCTCGCCAAGCCTGGGGGCACCCTTCTATGGGCAAGCCACCGCCACCATTGAGCGGCTGCCCCCAGGCTTGGCGAGGAAGCCGCAGCCTGGCCCACAGCCCAGGGACGTGGCTCACTTAATTAAAAATAGATTTGAAAAGTTATATTTTTCTTACCTTCAATCCTTTTTTAGTGTCTTCGTCTCTCTCTCTCTCTTCCGCCAAACTCTCTTCTGTTTCCCACTACGTATTCCCACTCTGTATATGCATGCAGTGGTGGTGGGGGGGGGGCGGGGAGGAGAGAAAGCCGGTGCAGGCGCAGTTGCGCTTTTACAATTAGGCACATGCGCCGGCTCTCTGCTCAGTTTCAAAGACCATCTGCACTGGCTCAGAGCTTATGGACTTGCTGGGAGATCGTTTTCTGCGGTGTCCGACCCACAGGCCATAGTTTGAGGACTCATGCTTTAGAAAGTTAGGTACATTTTGGTTTCATTTGGGTACATTTAGTTTTTGAAAGATGGTAATTAATAAGGCTTTACTGACACATATTCTAGATAGATCAAGGTCCAAATGTAATGTTTAAGAAATGATGCTTCATGAGTATTAGCTTTCTTGGCAAGGCCACCACGCAAAAGCAGTTCACAACTATTTTAGTATATACTGTGTTATATGTCCTCAGTAACTTCATATTCAATAATTTTGAAACAGGCAGTACTTTAACTTTAGTTTTGCAACCACAACAAGGAACTGTTGCAAGTAGTTCATAAATAATCTAACTCATACAAAAACTCACAAGAGTACACTAGACCTACCTCTTAGCATGCTGGGAATGAACAATATTTCTCTTTCTTTCTGCACCCGTCCAGAGTAACTTTCATATTCTGCAGGTCTAACCACAAGGAAGTCAAGAGCTGTCTGTTCTAGAATAAAAATGTCATCATCTTCTTTATCATGAACAAGATGCTCCTCTTCATCCTATATTTTACATACAAATATTTATAAAACTTTTCAGAGTACTAGGTCAACAAAAATGCATTTTGCAATGATACACAAATAAATGCCTTGTTTTGGCCACTATATTAAAGGCAATGCAAATAATTTCCACACACAATGTGCATTAAACTAGTGCATCTTCAACACAAAGAGTACATTTTCACATTTCAGACCTACATGAAGGAAGCTGCCTTAACAGGTCCATCTAGGTCAGTACTATCTTCATCCATGGCAGTGGACTTCCAGAAGGTCAAGAGAATGATTAAGCCTAAAATTGTGCATTTTGGGTTAAAGTATAAAAATTGACAATAAAACACGCACACATATTAAATGTTTTTTGATATGAATCCCAGTAAGTCATGAAGCAGCAAGCTTCATTTGATCTCAAGGCACTGTTAGGTACATGGACGTAAGCTACAAATAGCCAGCAATAATAATAGCCAGCCAATAAGGAACTGTGGATGTGTACCCCCTATGAAGCCAGCCTAGGTTATAGACTGAAAGATGAAAGAGGGCAGCCTGAATAAAACATCATTTTTATTTATTGTTATCTTTCAAGCAGGAGCCCTCCAAAGTACAACAATAAAATGAATAATAAAAGCCAATGTGGCATTAAAAACATTTTTTTTCTCCCTGAATATTTGTGTACTGCACCAGAGGCTGAAAGATGCCTATCACAACAGAAACAATGACCTCACTCCCATCACAGTTGACTACCCACCCACAGAAAAGACTTTTAACTGCAGAGCAGTTGCCTATGAGAGGGAGGGGAATGCACAGGAGACAACCCTCCTCAGTTGCTTTCTGTTGTCCAGGAATGAAATTCAGCTCAACAGATGCACAGGAGCACTTATTTTCTTCCAAGTAAATTCCTTTTAGTAAATGTTTTTACTAGTAAAAGTAAAAAGTATAAAAATTAAAATGCATTCATTTCAAAACAGGAGTAAATGGGGATGATCAATATCAGTTTCATGCACTTAAACCAAGAACCATAATTTGGTCCAAAATCTTGGTTTAACTGCCCCTCTACCTGATTCTATGCCTTATTCTATGCCAGACTGACAATGAGATCCAATGTGCAAGAAAAAGGCAGATATGGATGCCACACTTCTATTTTGTTTTCTATCGAGTACAAATAACTAACATTAGAAGATTGTCTAAATAGGAAGATACATGTATTTTCATTGATACCATTTCATTTTCTCCTTGTTCTTCCTGATGGTCCTGTGTAGGTTCCTGAGGTTTATCTTCCTTGTCATCTAACACACTCTTCCTCTTGTTTTGAGTTTCATCACCTACAGTCTCTGGTTCATGATCAAAATTGAAAGTAAAGAAATTATAGGCTTCTTCAGCAGAAGGATAGCCAAGTGGCACCTAATGGAAAAAAGTATTTTTTGATTAGACATGAGGCTCACAATGCAATAGATTAATAAAAATAATCAGCTAAAACCATCTTTCATAATATTTTTAACAGCACCATTTTTAGCATCCTATCAAGGGGTGGACAAAGCTCAAAGGTGAAGGTTGCCTGCATGCTTCTTCTACCTATAAGGGTTCTATGGCCAAGTTTTCCTGGAGGCTGAGGTAATACCAGGATAGATTGTATTCTGGCCAAACCTCACTTCCCTCCTCCCTTCCCTCTTGCCCATCAAACACAGCCTCTGAGGTTGGTTTTATGATCTCAGAGCATCAGGCAGCATAATTCTTTCCTCACCAGGTGGCCTCTACAGCCCCACTTCTGACCTTGCAGCGGGTTTCTGAGGTCAGAGCTGGGACTCCTAAGTCTGCTATGGACATCTAGACAGCGTCGAGACGGTCAAAGGATGCCCCTTAGGAAAATGAAACGGATACAACTGAAATCAAAGTTAGTATCCATCATTTTTAATGAAAGGGATGCTGCTGCTGCTGCTGCTGATGATGATGATGATGATGATGATGATGGGAATAAATCATACACAGCATCTGAGAAACCTCACTCAAGCTAGGCATCTTAAAAATGAATGCAGGGATGGAACTTGGGCTCCTTATTCTTACAGCCAGAATAAACAAAGCCACTTTTACTCTGCTAATTCATCTTGGATTGGGTGTGATAGAACAATGTTACTTTTGAAAACAGCCATGGAGGTGTCAAGTTAAAAACATAGAATATTGACTTGAACATGCACACCAGCATCCTGACTTAGGAATGCTGGGAAGATTTTTTTTTTAATTCAGACATATAGGGTTGCATTCTAAGTTACCTTTATAAGTTATGTAGCGATTATGGCCTGAATAAAAATTGGATGCCCATGTTTTTGAAGTATACCCAATAGCAGTCTAAATGAGAGGACTTTTTATAAAGAAAGATGGAAGAGAAGAATAAGCTGTTTTTACTAACAACAGGACTGGGCCTGTCAGAACAGCTGCTACACCCTCCACAATCCCCCTGCTGCTGGTTTATGTATTTCCCAATGTCAACCTCTACCTGTGCCTTAGTGGAAAGCTAAATCTGAATGAAGAACTGGCTGAATCAGTCATATGTATGTACACTGCAATTATCAATTATACTCATATTATTTGATATTAAAGTAGTGCATGATTTGCTTACTATATGAAATTCATAATCTCATCATGATGATCCACAGGTTACACATACAAGAAAGCCATACAAACAATCCATAAAGACAAGCAGTCCTGACTAAAGGTCAGCCCTCACCTTTAATTTTTGCTTGACTTTTCTGACAGAATCATGGTACTTCACTCTAGTTGATACCTTGTGTTCATTCTCTTGCATTACACTTAATGCACTTTCTCCTATCTGCACATACAAAAATAATGATGATGATGATGATGATGATGATTTAATTTATTTAATACCACTGACATACCCTTAAACTTTGACTCAGGCTGTATATTAGGCATTTTTAGAGGCAAGACAGTTCCCATGTGAAAGATATAAATATATTAGATTGTAAGTCTGACAGCAGGTACTAATTATTCTTTTAAGGGGCTCTGTGAACCTTTTGGCTGACAAGTAGGATAAAAATGCTTTGATTAAATATCATATAATATTTTTGAGAAAATACACAGACATACACACTCTTTTCTATCAGCAAAGGACAGCTTGGCCAGAGTGTCAGAAAGGGCAAACAGGTGACCAACCATGCACCAAATTACGAATATGAACGTCCAGAAATAGTTAAAAAAAATCCTGTTCCCCGTCATTGTATTCCAACTAATGTTTCCCCCCCAAAATAGGGAAAAATTAACAGCTTTGATTATGAAATATTTTCTTTTAAAATTTTGGTCAAGGGGTTTATATGTTGTTAACCAGTCTTTAGTCATGTCAAATGATTTCTGAAAATTATGCAGTGGCAAATATTTTAAAAAATGACCAGAAATTCAAAATGTCTGGAAATAATGAAACCACAGGGGAAAATTTTTTATCCCTCTGTAAGATTTCCAGCAACTTTTCTTCAATTCCTTATTAAAATTATTCATTTAATGTCTCCTTTACTGCTAATTATTTAGGGATGCTCTAAGTCATGCTCAGTTTTCTAACATGTAAGTTACCATTTCATACTATGAAAAGAAAATGTGCATTATTAACAGTCTGGGCTTTGTTCTACAGAATCATGTGTTTCTCAGCTTGTTCTGGTCTGATGTCACTGTAATTCTAATTCATGTTGCTCAAATCTAAAACCTAATGAGAAAGAAACATTATAGGTTATTCCGCCAGTGCCACCAGATGTAATGGAACAGCATGTGGGTTATCCCATCTATGTATCTTTATTGTTTAAAATTAAGTTAGAATCTTGGATCTATAGAACTCACTGCCTCCGTTTTTAATAAAGTTCTCAATTAGGTCTTCAGCTATAAAATCTGTTAATTGCTGCTACGAGAATAAAATCCTTCTACCTAAAAGAAACGGAAAAACCTGTTTCCTTTAGCATAACAATTATTGTGATGCTACCATTAGAGAATCTTTCGAAATTAGTCAAAAATGGATATTCAGTAAGAAAAAATATTTACAAAGTGAAGCAATTTACAAAAGTGTCATTCTTGAAATAATAAATTGAGAATGCTAAAAGAGTTCTAAATGAAATAGATTTCCCTGAGCTCCACCCACAAACAGAAACAGTTTAGGAAGTTCCATAAATGCTGCATACCAGTCTTCCTTGGTCTCACTTTTTCTTGATGCTTCTATCTTCTAAGATGATTCAGATGTTATAGGGACTATTTGCTCAAGTTCCCTCTGACCATACATATGATAAAAACCTCACACATATATAATTTGGTTTGCTCATAAATCATTTTAGCATATTAAAATTTAAAATATAGTTTATTCAATCTATAGTTTGCTTTTAAAGTTTTAAAATATAACAATAAGATTACGAGCAAACTAAGCTACAAAAAGGTTGGTTAATGTTCCTGATGTAGCCTTGCCCAATGTAGTGCCTTTCAGATGCTTTAAGACACCCAGAATTCTTGACCATTGACCATGCTGACTGAGACTGGTGGGAGTTAAAGTCCAAAGTACTGGAGGGGACCATACTGGAAAAGAAATGAAAAAATGGGGGAAAAAACCCCAAGCATTTTAGATTTGTAAAGGTATTTAAAAAAAGAAGTATGACTTCAATTATCTTCCAAATTTCTGTTTCCCTCCATTGCTTCCAAATTTCTAGTAATTTTGATCTTGACTCCAAACTGAAGCCAGTTTATTGCATTACTTAGGCTCCAGATTGTGAGTTGTGACCTGCCCTGAGGAAAGATGGAAGGGACCCATCACCATTTTCTCTCTTCAAGTGTCCAGTAAGACCATCCTCATCCCAGCAGTTAACTCTTCATGGGCAAGGGAAAAGGAGAGAGCATGAGGAGCAGATAATCATGTCTACACAATGGAATTGCCTGCCCTGATGCCGAGTAGGAGAGTTCAGTAACTTGCAAGTGGATACGCTCAGAATAAGGCCCTAAACAATATGCATCTCAATGGCTACCAGAGCCTACAAAGGATCTCAATGGACAGGAAGATTCATACAGAAAGCAACAGTCCATTAGATACCATGGCTGAGGTTGTTTAGGACTTCAAAAGTCAAAACCAGCACTTTAAATTAAACCAGCCCTAACCCGGCAACCAGATTTGCTCTGTTTTTCATTCTCTTTCATTCCTTCTCTCTGGCTTCAGCCATTTTGAAGAACTGAGGGAGTGGCAGGTAGCCTTGATTAATTACAAACGAGGAATCCTGAGACTCTGGGAGGCTGGAATAAGGAAAACTATTCTATTAAGAAACAGATGCAGTAGGGATGGCTTGGGACGGCTCTTCTTCTAAACCTTTGAATGAAAGAGTATGTGACCTTTTATGAATGGGTTCTTGCTTCATTTTTTAGCAGTGTGTATCAGTTAACAATCTCTTCCCTCCTATACAACTCTAGTGTGCGGCTTCTAAAGCATGCTGAGAATTTGTAATGCAAGACTGTTTGCCTCTAGAATTGGGTGGGTTGTGGTTAGTCAGTGCTGTGAGAAATGGATTAAATGATAAAAGGCACCCCACATGATAAAAGGCACCCCACATGTTCAGGGCTGATTCCGCTTAAAATTAAGCCTCCCGCAGCGGTAATGCTGAGAGATTAGATAAAACGTGCATGGGGGTGCATGTGTATGCACAGAAAACAACAGATACACAATTGAACTACAGGAAAAACTAGGATGTTTTGACTGAGGAGGAACAGCAGGCCTGTAGAAAAATGTGGCAAATGACAAGTTTCTATAGGAAAATGAAAAACAGAATCATGTTACATCAGAAGTATACAATGTATTTGTTAGCAAAAAGGATAAACCAACAAAAAGAATACTGAATTGCAATAAAATTAAGAGCTACAAAAATGTCATAGGGAATCTATGAAAACCGAGTCTACCTGTACATGCAAGATAGAAATAAGTTAAATGACACAGATCAACATTATATAATTGATTTAAAACAATAACAGAAAAGGCATTTAGAGTAAATAATAAAGCACATAAGGTATGCATTGTAATAACAGGATAATATGCCCCAGAGAAAGCAAATGTGAGATCAACATATTTGACATAATCATATATAAAGTTAACATTAAAAATGGATCTCTCTAGAAAGGTTAAGAATAAAAGGAGGGCTCTAAGCCATATAAACTGGAGATCTCTGCCTTTATAATGGATTCTGGCAGACTTCAATGAGATGTGAGGCTGGAGATCAAGAAAATTAGTGGGCTGCAATGGACCATGTATTAGACCCAGATGCAAGCCCGCAGAGACATGCCTGAGGCAGCTCTGCACCCTGGAAAAGTCTATGCTGGGTCTGGGTAAGGTGTTTCCTGCCCCTGGCTTGGTCTGGGACAACCTTTCCTCTCTTAGTCTCCCAGAGGACAGCATTCTTTGGATAAGTTCTCAGACACTGGCAAGGTGGAAGACCCCAGTTCTCCGTCAGCTCCACTGGCTCCCGATTGAAGTCTGGGCCCGATTCAAGGTGTTGGTTATGACCTATAAAGCCCTAAACGGCTTGGGCCCTGGATACCTAAAGGAACGCTTGCTCCCATATATGCCCTCCAGCCCCTTGAGGTCAGCAGCAGATGCACTTCTCCGGGAACCATCTGTGAATGACATCAGGAGGGTGAGTACCCGGAGGAGGGCTTTCTTTGCGGTGGCGCCCCATTTATGGAATGCGCTCCCCAGAGAGGTGCGCCTGGCTCCGTCATTATTTGTTTTTCGGCGCCAGGCTAAGACCTTTTTATTTAAAACTTATTTTAATTGTGAATTTATTGATTTAACTAGGTTTTTTTTTAATTTTTTAGCCGAGAATGCACTGAAGCTTTATTGCACTGGGGTTTTATTGTATTGGGGTTTTATTGTATTGTTATTTATTGATGTTTTATGAGCCGCCCTGAGGCTTTATTGCGATGGGGCGGCATAGAAATGTTTTAAATAAATAAAATAAATAAATAAACTACACCCAAGGACAAACCTTCCATTGCATCATTCCTTTAACTGTGACACTCCCCACCACAGATACTCCCAGTAGATTCAGTATTTTGAAAAGAACCCTGGGCACCATCACAAACTTGGTACTGTATCATAAACACTGTTGGGAACAATTATCTTTTATCTTTTTGACTGCATGTGCAAGAATGTGCACCCCTCTGTGTCCCACTCTGTTGCATTCTCTCTTCTCTCACCATACCCCAAATCCCACCAGCCTTTCTTCCATCTGTCTCTTCTCCCTCCTTCTTGTTCTGCCCCCACCTTTTTGGTCTCTCTGCTCCCCTCTGGTCCACTTCTCTCTGTCCTTGTCTCTTCCTTCTCTCTCCTACTTCACTCACACCCATGCAACTGAATGGAGCAACTTATCAGAAAAAGCCTCCTTATGAAATTGGCTAGAGGCAGGGGCAAAGTCCACCTCCCACCAAAGAGCCTATTGCCCCCAGGGTCCTTGGCTGGGGATAGCTTTTGCCTCCCCTTCCAGCTGATTTTTGACAGAGGGGTTCCTTCCCTATTTAAGCCAGTGAATACAGTTAAAAAATTAAAAAAAATTAAATTAACCATCCAGGTATCAAACAATTGTGAAATGTTCTGATGTAATGAGAAACAGTGAAGGAATTCATATGTTTTAATCACCTCATTATCCAGTTGAATTTGTGCTTTCTTCTCTTTAAGAGTTTTCCGAGATCTTGGACGAGGACCTAAGGCTTCTTGCAATAAATCATTTTTTGCTTTAAACTAAGAACAAACAAAAAACAAACAAAAAACAAAACAGAATCTTAGTTTTTAATTTATATGTCACATTTTATTAGCTCATAACCCAATAAACCACACTGGGAGCTGCTACTGGAATGGAGCAAGGAGGACAGCCTGGGTTTCTGTCCAGGTGGTTCTCCAGTATGCTCAGCTCCTGGCTTCAAGATTTCACCCCATCTCTTTCAGCTTTCTAACTTGGTGACTCTAATGGAAAGCTGTCAGGGATTCCCAGTTCCCCTGGCCAATTGGACAAAATTATGTCCAGTAGTTCTATGATCCTGGAGTAAAGTACACAACAGCCCAAGCTTGGGGAATAAATTAGTTCATTTAAAAGGATAAAATATACAGGTGGAGGGTACTAAAACATACAATCTAAAAGGCATAAAAATGGTAAAATAGGAGAAGAGGGGAAGCTGGGGAAGCTGGACAGCAACAGCAATACAGTTCACAGACAACCAAGGAACCCCAACTACCAGGAATTTGTTGGGCTAGAAAATAACAAAGCTAACCCTATCCTTAGCCAGAAATTACTTTCTGCAAGATCTAGATGCACAGGGCTTCACTGCAAGCAGAACAAAACCTCCTGACAGAAGAACAAAGATCCTCTTTCCTCACCAGCCTTTATTTGCCCTCCATCTAGTCAACTGACCCCTGGGGTGATGGCCCATCTTCCAGCCAATCATTTACTCCAGGTGCCAGACATTAACCAGTTGTTGCTGTTATCTCCAGCATCCTCTAGACCATAATTTCTGGTATCTCCCAGTATACACCACATAGGGAGGAAGATGCCTCCCAAGACCTTGGCTGCCAGATTCCTGTCGTGCTGGCACCTCCATGTATAATATTTTATTTGTTACAGAGTTAATCCTCTCCTTGCTCCCTGAGGCCCAAGGAGCCAGTTCACATTACACTGACATGAAAAAAAGGCTTGGTTTGCAAAACACAACAGCTAACCTTAGCTTACTTTATCCTCAAAGGCTTCTCCAGGAGCCATTTCTGTATGGTGCCTACAGGATGCCATGGTTTGGCATGCCATGTGTACACAGGTGGCATTATGCTGTGACAGCCAGATAATCCTTAAATAACCTATGGTATGTTTTCAGGTTATTCAAAGGGCCGACCCTCAAACAATCCTTGCCACCTGGGTTGACATAACATGACACACCATCTGCAGATGCCATGCAAAAATTGCACTCCAGGCACCCAGCATGTTTTGACAATTCCTATAGATAAATTAACCCATGATGCAATGCAGTCATATACTGCAAGCCAGGTCAGTAGCTCAGTGTAAAAATAAGTGATTTCCTCTAAGGAATACCATAATTGCAAATGGAGATTAAATTAGCTATTCGACCAAATTCTCCACTAGAAAATATGTGGAGTTATGGAGTGATGTATTAATGGATATGCCAAAAGAAAAGACATGTCAGTATGACATTTAGGGAGAAAAGCAAAGTTATGGCAATTAAACTGAACTCGGAATGAACTACTGCAGTGTATCCCTACCACTTTGGAAAGTTCTTGCTCAGGGTTCCAACCAGTCTGGGACAGGAACTGTATAGTACCATTCTCAGGAGATGGCAGAAATAAACTACACCTTTTTACAGTCCTGTCTCCCATGAGGACTCCCCTTGCTGGGCTATATAGAGCTTGTTGTTGTTGTTGGTCGTGAAGTCATGTCCAATCCATTGTGACCCCATGGACAGCATTCCTCCAGGCCGTCCTGTCCTCCACCATCCCCCAGAGTCCACTTAAGCTCATACCGACCGCTTCAGTGACTCCATCTAGCCACCTCATCCCCTGCCATCCCCTTCATCTTTTGCACTCAATTGTTCCCAGCATTAGGCTCTTCTCCAGGGAGTCCTTCCTTCTCATTAGGTGGCCAAAGTATTTGAGTTTCATCTTCAGGATCTGACCTTCTAAAGAGCAGTCAGGGTTGATCTCCTCTAGGACTGACCGGTTTGATCACCTTGCGGTCCAAGGGACTCGCAGGAGTCTCCTCCAGCAACACAATTCAAAGGCCTCAACTCTGTGGTGCTCAGCCTTCCTTATGGTCCAACTTTCACAGCCATACATTGCAATTGGGAAAACCATAGCCTTGACGATACACACTTTTGTCAGCAGGGTGATGTCTCTGCTTTTTAGTATGCTGTCTAGATTTGCCATAGCTTTCCTCCTAAGGAGCAAGTGTCTTTTAATTTCTTGGCTGTAGTCCCCGTCTGTGGTGATCTTGGAGCCCAGGAAAATAAAATCTGTCACTACCTCCATTTCTTCCCCATCTATTTGTCTGGAAGTAAGAGGATCGGATGCCGTGACCTTAGTTTTCTTAATGTTGAGTTTCAAGTCAACTTTTGTGCTCTCCTCGTTCACCCACATCAAGAGGCTCTTTAGTTCCTCTTCACTTTCTGCCATTAGAGTGGTATCATCTGCATATCTGAGGTTGTTGATATTTCTCCCAGCAATCTTAATTCCAACTTGTGATTCATCTAGCCCCGCCTTTCTCATGATGTGCTCTGCACATAAGTTAAATAGGCCGGGCAACAGTATACAGCCTTGCCGAACTCCTTTCTCAGTTTTGAACCAATCAGTGCTTCCGTGTCCAGTTCTCACTGTTGCTTCTTGACCCGCATATAGGTTTCTCAAGAGACAAATAAGATGGTCTGGTACTCCCATCTCTTTAACAACTTGCCACAATTTGTTGTGATCCACACAATCAAAGGTTTTAGCATAGTCAATGAAGCAGAAGTAGATGTTTTTCTGGAACTCCCTAGCTTTTTCTGGTAGTTTTTGGACCACGTACTGCTGGAACCTAGCTTGTAGGATTTTGAGCAAAACTTTGCTTGCATGTGAAATGAGTGCAATGGTATGGTAGTTTGAGCATTCTTTGGCATTGCCCTTTTTGGTACTGGAATGTAAACCGACCTTTTCCAATCCTGTGACCACTGTTGAGTTTTCCAAATTTGCTGGCATATATATACAGAGCTAGAGGGCTCAATATCTCCACCCAAGTGTTGGGGTTTTGTTGGGTTTTTTTGCAACTGTATTTTATTATTTTAAGGTCTTAACTCTGGATGGGAGTGCCTGGGGAGTGAGTGGGTGCCACCATTGGGGTGGTAATGGGCAGGGGAAGATATGGCGTTGGGGTCTAACAAGTCAGTACAGAAGGAGGGACCAATGTCTTATATCTCTCCCCTCTTCTGGTTATTCCCCCAACCAGAAGGTTTCTGGTAGCAATATCAACCGGCCCCTGGGCCTGATGGTGCTGCTACTGAACGCCAGGTTGGTCCATAATAAAACATCCCTCATGAGGGGGCCGACCTGGCATGTATCATGGAGACTTTGGTGGAGGAAGGGGGAGATGTTCCCCTCATCCAGCTTTGCCCGCCTGGATACCTGATGCAGCACTGGCCCTGCCCAGAGGGAAGGGAAGGGGGGGGGGTCGCCCTGGTTTTCCAAGACTCAATCTTCCTTACAGGGCTCCCTGTCCCTTCGAGGCCAGGCCTTGAATTTGTACCTGGTATTGGGCGACTGAGATAGATTAAGGATTCTGCTGGTGTACCGTGCACCCTCCTGCCCATCAGACTCCCTGCCTGAGCTGACAGAGATCATCTCAGACTTGGTATTGAGGACCCTCAGATGCTGGTCCTGAGGGACTTCAATTTCCATGCCGAGGCTGTTCTATCTGGGCAGCTCAGGACTTCATGGCTTCCATGGCAGCCAAGGGGCTATCTGAACATTTCACTGGCCCAACCCATGAAAGAGGTCACACTCTGGACCTGGTTTTCTTGACGGGGCAGGAAGAGGAAGTTAGGAACTTGACTTTAACTCCTTTGTCATGGTCAGATCACTTCCTTGTGAGGTTTGACCTTGGGGCTGATCTTTCCCTCTGGAAGGGTGCAGACCACATTAAGATGTTCTGCCCCGAGAGTCTTATGGATCCAGATTAGCCCAATACAAGGTGCTGGTTGTAACCTATAAAGCCCTAGACAGCTTGGGACCAAGATACCAGAAGGAACGTCTCCTTCCCCATATGCCCTCATGCCCCTTAAGATCGGCAGCAGAGGCCTTGCTCCAGGAACCCTCTTTGAAGGAGGTATAGAGGGTATCCACCTGGAGGAAGGCCTTCTCTGCGGTGGCACCCAGATTATGGAATATGCTCCCCAGAGAGGTCTGCCTGGCGCCGGCGCACTACTCTTTCTGGAGCCAGGTAAAGACCTTTTTATTTAATCACCATTTTAAATAACCAATATCAATAATTTTAATTAAAAAAAACAGTAACATCAATTTTATACAGTTGCTTTTTCTTTTCTTATGAATTGTAGCTTTGCATTATTGTGGACTGTTATTGGTATTTTATATTGTTATCTTTGTAAGCCGTCCTGAGGCTCCTTGCATAGGACAGCATAGAAATGTTTTAATTAAATTAAATTTTTCCAACCCCAGCCCCCTCACTTCTCTTACACTCACTATAAGCAGCAAAGGCTGGTACTTTTTTTCTGTGTGTTTTCCCTGCAACTTATTCTAGTCTTCTGTGTCTCAACTGTTCCCAATTACAGAATAATCTGATAGACTCACATATTCTGCAAAAAAAAGGAACTGCTTATAGAAAATAATAGAGAGTTTTTAGTATAACTGTTACTGGATGACAAATAGCCTTTGAAAATATCCACAATAAGGAGGTCTTCCCTTCGCTATTCAGTATAAAACTAAAAGGTCCTTCTCCAGACAATGAGATAAGCTATTCTACTTTTTCCTTCTCTCTATGTCAGCAACCCTGAAAGCAACAGGTCCTTATTAGGCTATTTTTGTATTTTTCTTTTAATTTACAAAGGAATACTTCTTCCTAGGTATGTAGAAACCAAGTCCTTCCAACCTAATATGCATTTTACCACATTTTATCACTTCAGAGGGAAAGTTCAATTTTGCATGTGGAATCTCACCCGGGCAGCTTTCAGTTTCTCTCTCATTCGTTCTCTCACGGAAGACTCAGCAAAGCTTGTTCCTGAGGTGGATGGAACTGGAGGCAAGCCTACAATGGAGCGTTATGTTAATATATTTCAAGGCTCTTCTAACTAAACAGCCATCTGAATCTATTAAAGATATTCAAAACATTTACCACAGTTTGAAGAAAGACATTTTAAACCACACTCTTTATGTTCACTTTATTATTAAATCATGTCATTAAAAATGGATGCTCTCAGCAAGAATAGAATTCCAAAATGAGTTGCATCAAAGGTGGTAAGATGCGACATAATGCTGAATGCCAGCATTTCAGAACATACTAAATTGCTTCACTGGATCAGACAAAGGTATCTAAGCCAGCACAGTTGCCAAACAGAAGAGTCCAGATGCTCACAGATATAATAAAGGTGACCATCCCTAGTTGTAGTATGTAGTACTCCAAAGTTTAACAGGGAAATTCCACAGCTTCCCAGGTAACCCACAGATCCACCTGCTTCAATTTCTTCCAACCCTTCATAGAGCATTTAAGGACAAAGTTACACTTTATTTATGATAGTAATGCAATGATGTGGGAGAGAGGGATATTTCCAGGAGCAAACTGGAAATGGCACAGTCTGCCCCGCTAAATCTTATCCTGCATGCTGCCAGACTAGAAGCCAGCCCAAGGGAAAATCAGTGGGAATGGAGAGAATTTTTTTTTTTTTAAAGAACTGGCAGATTCAAGGGCAAGCTCCCCTCCTATCTGTCCTTTCTTCCCTACAAATGTTCCCACACATTTGGCTTTAGGGGTGGTGTGTGGGTGGTGACTGGTGTTGTTGTTTTACTGTTCTGAATCTACTACCCATCCATTTTCTTGGATGGGTTTTTGACTTTGTGCTCATGGATAGTCTAGTGAAATTCTTTCCCTACTGCACCGAAGTCCCTCCAGCAATGACAGCCACCAAGATCTTTTCTCCCCTCCACAGCTGATTCCTCTCCCAAATGGTTTCCATGTGTCTGATTTTTGCTTCTGCATGGTTTTTATTTTTGTTACACATTTCCATCTCTGTTCTGACTGGTTGCAACAGGACTTTGGATAAGTTTGAAAGGGGGAGAACACCCCAGTGGCTGAAGACAAAATATCACTATGTGAATAAAGAACGGCAAGACGAAGTATCACTATTTGAATTAAGAAAGGCAGGCAACATTGAGTTAATGCTGGGGGCAAAGAACTAGTAGATGGGGCTGGGGCTGGAGAAAGAGCAGCCAAGGTAGTATGGGGAGGGCAGGACATATGACACATTGAGCTGTGGCGGAAGAGCAAGGCAGGTACAGGTTTGTGTTTTCCTGTGCATACTCTTTGGCTCTTTGATCTGAGATTAGATGCAGCAGTGGGATGAGCTGGCTGAAAGCAAAATGAGTGGTGTGAAAGTCTGGCTTCTGTGAAATGAGTTTTTTTGTAGCATGCCACACATACCACATTAGCCATTTTGTGAATGGGCACACCTTCCCTATTGGAACTGAGGGCTTCCATAACTCTCTCAGAACTGCAGATGTGCCCATAAAGGTTGGAAACCCATTCTGGAAATGCTTATACATGCATGGAGAAGGCAGGGAAGGTGTGGTGGAGAAAATTCATTCTTCCACTATTGGGCATGCCCTACGATTATTCTAAATTCACCTCTAATAAGCTCACTCACAATAGAACTAGCAAGAACATTCCGAATGAACGCAGTTTAGTATGTTAAGTTTATTAAATTATTTTCACTGAGGTAATTTAAAGCAATTTGTTTTCAGATATAGTTATGGTAACAATATTTACCATAACATAAATGGTAGTGAACATGCAGAAAGTCCAATGAAAGGGCATGTCTTGAAACCAGAGAAAATATGGCACAAATACATTAGTTGGCTCCATATATATTTGATTATAATACATCCCACCTTTTTCCTTTCAAGGAACCCAGGGTGGCTTACATAATTCCCCTCCTCCCCTCAATCTAATCATCACAATAATTCTTTGGGAAGGTTGGACAGAGAGTCACTCAATAAGCACCATGTTTAAATGGAGGCTAGAACCCAGCTCTTGAGTGCCAGTCCTGCATTCTTAATCACAACACCATACTGGGGGGAAAAGAAATTTGGCCATAACTGTGAGCAAGTGACCCAACCAATGAATGAGCAACAGTTGCATGAAATGGTCACTCACCCAGTTTTGTTTTTCCAAATCAGTTCACCAATTCTTCAGTGTATTTGGTTGCACCCTTAGACACACATAGGATTGCATTGTTCTGATTCCCTTCTCACACTCCCTTTAAGCCTTTGGGTCTAACCAATAAAAATTGTGCGGCAAGTTCAAGACCAACAGATTTATTTATTTCTTGTGTTGATTTAGCTGAAGTGGACTAGCACAGCTACCTTCTGGAAATCTCTTGGACTTTTTTGCAGCACATTCTTATACTTAAAAGTGAAAAAGAAAGATAAATGTAAAACAAAAGTTTTTTCCTAGTAGTTCTGGTTTAGAAATACAAGTCAGGCACACTGGGAAATTATACTTCAAAAAGCCTGCTTTAACTACTGTCCTTTCCTTGGAGGGATAATTAATGTTGCACCAACCAAATAAGATGAGCTAGGGGAAGAACTGTGTTCAAGTGTTTGGAGGCTTTGGTAAATACTCAAGTACTGTCCAGTATAATGGCAGCCCCCCATGAATGAAAAGGAGGTGATCATTTTTAAAAAATCACAGTAGTCATTTCAAAATTTGGAAAATGCCAAAATCACAGCAGAACCTGACTTTTTGTGGGTGGAGTGGCAGTGATAGATGCTCAGATTCCACTCTCTCATCAGAATACACAGATAAAACAAAAAAGCTGATATCTTAGTTAATTCACTAAAGTCCTAGTGTAAATCAATGTGGCTTACTAATTTAGGAAAATATATTATGAATTGTAGTGTGTGTGGGAGTTTCTCTAGGGGAAAAGGAAGGGAAAAGCAATGAATTGAAGAGAGGCAGCACAGCAGAAGCCAGCTGCTTCACTGCCAAGAACACGCCTGTCACATGGGGATGATAGGCTGGAGGGAGAGACAATATTAAAGGGCTGGGGCAGGCAGAGCAAAGATCCTCCAAGAACCTGACTGGATACATGGAGCAGAGTCTGGGGTACTCCTCTGTGTTGGGGACCTGACAAAGCTGAGAGAGAGCTTTGTGTGTGGAAACAATAAGGAATGAGAGAGAGAGTGAGAGAGAGAGAGAGAGGAGCGTGAGCACACATTGAGGAGGGATAGCTTCTTTACGTAATGCAATACTTGAGCTAGGAGAGGACTAAGCATTTCCATTAAATAAAAATCAAGAACTAAAACCCAGATTTGTTTCTGACAGACTGTATACATTCACTAGTCTGTCTGAGAACTTATGTGAGCTGCTAAAACCCAAAAGCTCATAAAATTGTACAAAGGCACAACCTCTGTGAACATCTTAACAGCACTATGAATACAGATTGAACTTAAAATGTTTAAATCTTCTTGGTTTTGTCATGGGAATAAACGTCAAATCTTAAAGCTATCTCAAAACGTATTTCCTCATTATTCACAGCTGTTTTCTATTCACTATTAGTCTGCCTGATTAGTAGATTAAAATATTGCCAATGCCTTGGAGCTGAAAGGGTAGTTTTGATTCCAACAGAGTGCAAAGATTAAACAAAGGGAAATGAGATATTTTTGCCAAGGGACTTGAAAGACAAAGGAAACTATTGAATAGTACTCAGAAGGGAAAAAAAGTATCTTGTTGCAATTGTTAGTCATTCTATGGATGTTATTTTAAATGCACAGTGACAGATTGAGATGGGTATAACAAAATAAATATTAAGCTGAGTGACCCTTAGAGACATTAAGCAAGCTCTGGATATGTTCAGGTCTTACTTCTCCCAAAGAAAAGTTTTTTGAAAGGCAATGCAGATCCAATCCATCACAAATTATGCTTAAATGAGTTTTTAAAAACAAACACAGAAGCAATGTTAGGGTATTTGCAAGAGAGTGGAAAACAGAATTCTGAAAGATTTATAGGGAACAGGATGTATGGTATCATCTTGACAAGAAAACTTCCTCTCTTTCCAGCCAAATGTAGGCAAGTATTTCTGATCACATGCCATTCCATGTGTAAGCATGGTCAGTCAGCAATGCTGCACTGCACGGATGCCAGCGTGACCAGCTTTTAATAAGCAACACACTGGTTTTTCTTTTACTGTCAAAATGATCCATAATATATGTAGTTCAATGTATTCCTTCCACTTGGGGCATACTAGTCAAGAAGGAAAGAATCATTAGACACATTACCCTACGTAAGGAAATGGGTATGTGTTAGGCTTAGACCCAGGCTTAGATTAGCTGTCCCCTCCCACCCTATGAAATTTTACCATGAGCTTATTCCTTACTCAAAAAACTCTTAAATAATCATTTATTTCATATCTAATCCGTCCAATAATTAATGTTCTCCAGGCAGAATACAAGCAGTTAAAAAGCTAGAATACTACAGAACATATAAATTGGTGTACCGTGCACCCTTCTGCCCAACAGTCTCCCTACCTGAGCTGACGGAGACCATCTCGGACCTGGTGTTGAGGACCCCCAGGATGTTGGTCCTGGGGCACTTCAATCTCCATGCCGAGTCTGGTCTGACCGGGGCGGCTCAGGACTTTATGGCCTCCATGACGGCCATGGGGCTGTCTCAACATGTCTCCGGCCCGACCCATGAACGTGGACACACTCTGGACCTAGTTTTCTCGACGGGGCAGGAAGAGGGTGGTCTGAGGGTGAAGAATTTATGCTTGACTCCCCTGTCATGGTCAGATCACTTCCTGGTGAGGTTTGTGCTTGAGAGCGACCTCTCCCTCTGCAAGGGTGCGGATCCGATTGTGTGGGTCCGCCCTCGGAGCCGGATGGATCCGGATGGATTCCTGAAAGCCCTGGGGGAGTTTCCGGCTGACAAGACGGGTGCTCCTGTCGAGGCTCTGGTCGAACTGTGGAACGGGGAGATGACCAGGGCTGTGGACACGATCGCTCCTAAGCGTCTCCCACCGGGCAGAGCCCACT